GTCAAGTTCTTTCTAGCTTTTCATGAAGCTTACAACCAGTCAATAACAACTCAAAATGCGAAGGCTGGATTCCGCGGAGCTGGTTTAGTGCCCTTTAATCCAGCTTTGATTATGGAGTATTTCAAAACTGGATGTCAAGTTACGGACTCCTACACCTAATCGTTGGTTCTCAAACCACCGCCTGGAGGCGGTTGGCGAAAGCGAACTGGGACGCGAAAGCGATTGTGGGACACTTCGGGACTCGCGACGCGACACGACCGACCATGAACACGACTGACAACGTAACAATGCTGTAAATATATATAAGTTATAGAATTAAATAATTAAAAAAGATTTGGATCAATATTGTCAGGCAGTGATTGATCATCACAGCCACCGTCACTTGCATCGTGAATCATGTCATAGTCCAAGCCTGCAAAGTTCACGTACCCACTCTCCTCGATGGCTAACAGTCGGTCCGCCTCCTCCTCCTCCTCACGTTTCTTCTGTGTAACGTCTGGGTCAATGATTTCTGTACGTAAGCCAATTGGTGGCTCCGTGTCTGGGTTACTTTTTTGAAATTCATGTAGGTCCTTTTTCTGTGTACGTTCTGCCTTCCGTGCATCGATGCCAGCACGGAGCTGCATCTTACGCTCAACGTTCACCATGCGTGTTCTCTCTCTTTTCTCCCGTGCTTCTTCTAAAAGTTGCTCTTTTACCTTCTTCTCATAAATCCTTTGCCGTGCATGTTCAACTGTAATAGCACCACCTTTTTGAATAGATTTCCGACTTCTAACCTTCCGCTGTCGTTGCTCAGTCATAATAGTAGTAATTTGTACAAGCTCTGACTGGAACAGCTCAGCCTCTGTTAACTGAGTTTGGATTTCAGTATAAGAAGACGCCCACTTTTGCCGTGACGGTGAACTAAGGATCTTATCAAATGTTTGACTCCATGTTGAAAGATCATAACTTGCTTGAAATGCGCGTTGTGGTGTTTCTAAAACTTCTGGTTTTGCATATATAGCAACCTTCTCTTGAATCTTTTCATAGTTAGGTGGCCAAATACCTGCATCTCTAAAAGACTTGATACAGTTACCCTTTGTAAATGTCTGCTTACGGATAGTAGACAAGTCTCTAAAGAAAGATATAACATTATAATCTGTATCAAAATTCCGGATTGCTTGTTGAATTGCACGTCGGTGCCAATGTTTATATTGTGCAAACACAGTAACATCTAGCGGTTGTAGAATATGCATAAGATGAGACGGAAACACATGTAAGTGTATATTGTGTTGATGTGCAAGTATTATAAACTCTGGAACTTCATGTGAGACATGAGAGTCCATTATTAACAATTTCGTTCTTATAGACGGTGTATGTTGAATAAAATGCTGTAGATATTCCATTGCAAGCTCAGAGTTTGTATATCCGGAATCGGATACTGCAACTTTCTCATCACCGTGTAGATTGTCATGGTACCAACTTTCCATGTGTAATTTTCCTTGTATAATAAGGAACGGTGGAAGTGCAATGCCAGCAGCTGAAATTGTCTCTATAACTGTAAGACTTTGTCTGTTCTCTTCTTGTATATAAAGCTATAAATATTAGAATAATATAAAGTAAGATAAGTAGAAACAACTTACCTTCTTTACTGCAGATGGTACCAACACATGTTCACCGGTGCTTATTCCTACACGGAATCCAACTTCATCAAAGTTGTAGATATCACCTGCAGTAATATCTAGTTGATTACACACATCTTTAAATTCATAAAACCATTCTTTAATAGCTGATACTTCATGAGATGCAACCCGTGCTGCTTCAATTGGCCGGGTTTTTATTGTATGGAAGTTGTGTTGTTGTGTCTTAATCCATGTCTGGAACCACCGTTGTGATGGTGGTGCACGTGTTGGAGTTTCTGCTGCACGTAGTTGGCAGATGGCACTGAACACCATAGGCTTAGTTGCACCGTACCCATTTTCGTACGAGCGTTGGATGTATCTTTGTATAGCTGTAACTTGTACATCAGACAGTACTCTGTTCTGGCCTCCGCGTGGCACAGCGGTGCGTTGTGGTGATGCGCGTCGTTGTCGTAGTCGTATAGTCCGGAGCGTACTTGGGTTTACTCTGTACATCCGTGCTACTGTAGCACTCTTCTCTGTTGGGTTTTCATTTAAAAATTCAATGGCATTTAAAAGAGCTTCATTTTTATTTACTTCAACTACCGGCATAGTTGTGGTTGTAGTTGTGCTCGTTGTCGGTCATGTTCATGGTCGGTCGTGTCGCGTCGTGAGTCCGCTCCCGAAGTGTCCCACAATCGCTTTCGCGTCCCAGTTCGCTTTCGCCAACCGCCTCCAGGCGGTGGTTTGAGAACCAACCATTACTGGGCCCCCATCTGCCAATGTTGACTTATAGTGGCAACAGGGGGGCGCAAGGATTATGGTTACATCATTTCCTATCTAGGCTAAAGCTGCTACGCTGCTACACTCAAATTACGATGCTGAAAGTGGCCTATTGACTTGTGCGTGGTGTACCGGATATATTGTGCCGTGATGCTGGTCAGCTGACCTTGACTAACAAAGAAGGTGTTGGAGTTTTATTGGCGATACTTTAGTAAAGAACAAAGGTACTTCTGTAGTACAAAGTATACACACACTCTTATGCAAAATATGCAGTATAACTAGGTACCCCATGTCCCTGTGTAAGTATAACATGCACTCCTGCCTAAACCAAACCCTATCTTCTTCTTTTTTTCGTTCTCGGTCGCTCGTTCGCCCGTTGCCAGTCATAGTAAATTGGCAGAAATTAGTAGAGATTAGTGTTGTCGTTGGCACCTGTAGTAGACCAGTAGTAGGAGAGTATACGCCCGTCTGCCAGCATTTCAGCATCTGTTACTCCGTATATGTATATTAAGGCCACTGAGAGCACTGGTAATTTATATCTTTTCCTTCTCTCTTCTTAATTCTACTGGCGCCAGTTATTATTGAGCTTTCTGATCCTGATCCGAGTAATCCGTACTACTCGTACTATCTTGTGGATTTAGCTGGCACGTTGGTATTCTACTCTACAGAGTCGCACAGGTGATCCTGCACAAAGATCTTCACGCGACCCCCCAAGCATCCCTTATCCGATAAGCCTGCTCGTCTGTCACATACGGACTTCTACTACTTGCTGTTCAACACCTTCACTCACCGACCTTCCTTCCTTACCATTATCTTCTTTATTCACAAACCGCCAAGGCAACAGGAGCGCCGTATCCCTCAACAATCAATACATCCTACCCAAAGCACATCAGTGCGAATGGGACTGTGCGCCTCTTTTCGCCTCTGCCTCGTATGCCTCCGACCGCCGTTACCTGACTTCCGCCTTGGTTCGGTGGAGGAGCAGCTTCACTAGACTAGACATTCGCCCGTAACGCCTCCTGCGTCCCAAGCTCGACCTTTTGGGCTTCTGCATGACCATGCTGGCACCTCGATCATTTATATTCAGCTCGACGAAACCCTCCGCTGCGCTTCCTCTCTCGAAACAACCTCCAACATCAAATGCACAACCAACGACTGCAGGCAAGGAACAGAAAGAAATTCCCGCCTTGGGTTGCGATCCTACGGAAACCCTACCTGAAAACCCTACATTGGGAAATGTGAAGGGCGGCTCCAATCCTGTAGGGATCCCCATCCGCCAGGTTAGGGACCCCAGCCAGCGAAACCATGGCGTCAAAGGCCGGCGATACGATGGCGGGGAGACGAGTGGTCCTAGATCTAGGTACCAACATGGAAAGGCCTCTGCCGCTGTCACATCACTCCTCGCGAACACTACTATCCCGCCTCCACGGTTTAGGACACTCACTCGCCGAAACGGTCAAGCCCAACGATTAACTCTCGATGCTGCGTTCAGCGAGAGGAGCGATTCCGAAAAGGAATACAGCCCAATACTAGGAGGAAGTCCGTTGGACCTTCTTCTCTGCCCACCAGATGATCTGCCCGATATAGATCCATTGGGTAGCTATGCTGAATCGCCACCACAGCTGTCGTATATTTCTAGAAGGGCTGTTTCAACAGATTCCGTGCCATCTCTTACCGACAACTCCATTGGGGGCAGTTACCTCTCTTTTGGTTCTTCAGTTTCACCTCAATCCCGGGGAAAGCGGTTCTTGCCGACTAGAAAGCTCGAACCACTAGCTTCTACCTTGGGAGACCTACCATTAGATCATCCTTTGTCAGACCCTGAGCTAGATTCATGGGAGATAGATTTTCGGGTGTTTGGGAATGGAAATAAGGACCGCCAGAAACTAGGTGAGATGCCTACGCTACGCCAGAAATCGGCCTTTAAATCAAATTTAACTGCGTCCCTACGAGCATTGAGATCAGCGGCGAAGTCCATCTCGAACATGACGGCCCCTATGATTACACCAGACGATTTTCTTACTAGATCGATTATTGCCATCGACCCAAAAGTTCCTTTTACAGATGAGCGTATGCCGCCTCGCCTGGATAAGATGCCGACTCCAGCTCTTCGCCGTTACCTGAACCCCACGACCAACGCAACTATCGAGGCTCATGTCCATGCGTCACGCCCGCAGACTACATGCTCTCAATGTACTGCTCCTATTCAAATGGAAACTTATAATAAGGTTTCAAAGGCCCCGAAGACAGAAACCGAAACTGCCACCAACAGGCATTCCAGCAATTCCTCTCCAGAAGCGTGCAACGGGCCAGTTACGCGCCAACGCGACATGCGAGAGAACAGTGATTTTATCCGGGTGGCAGTCATGGAGATGAGAATGAGGAAGAATGGGAAACTAGACGAAAATGCGCCTGGGCGAGCCAGGTGGGCTCTCCCACCCAGGCGCGTATCTACCGGTATCTACGAGATAAACGAAAGAGGCGTTCCACTGCGCTGGGTTGGAGTCTCAGCCGGTCGAAGCGAGCTTTGATTACTGTCACATCAAGCAGACATCATTACCATATATTCCTTACATTTACTCAGGTGTTTTTTTGCAAAACGCAGTAAATTTTTGCGAGCTATCGCAGATCTCGACTATCGCCTGGCTTTGCTTTACGCCCACCCTTGGCGTGTTTGTCTTTGACCTTCACTCCTCCAAGCTCTCCTACACTAACCCACACGCTGTCACCCACCCTCTGGGGCAACTTCCTACCCTTGAGCCGTTGGTCAACGAGCCACACCCCCGCCACAAATTCGTCCCTGGACAACATCCCTGTCCCACTGCGATCGACCAGCTCCCAGATATCGGATAGTACATCACCGGGCAGCCGCGAGCGCGACCAGATATCCCGCACAACTAGACTGGACACACAGTCTTCTGGCGGCGAACGAAGGCTATCTGCGGTCCCTGGTTTGGTGGCTGAAATAGTCAAATTCCTCCGGGGACGCGGCGAGGTGCCTGGAACAGATTTGGTTATGGTGGAGGGAGACGTGAACAACCCTTTATTGCTTGCCCAAAGCCCTTCATAACGTTTGCGCTCCCGATCGCTCACTGCATCACGCCAGCGCTTCCGATCGCCCTCGTGGTGTTTATTTGGGTGCTTCTTCATTAGATTCTTTCTCCCACGCTTCAACATCCCCTCGTCCTCATCATCCGACGATCGTGGCGTTTTGCGCATTGTGGTACGTATACCAGACTTGCCTCCAGTATGGTGCTTCTGCAGGATGGATTTTGAGGGTGAAGGTGTGCATGATGATTGCGACATGTGACCTTGGGCATTGGCGAATATTGAGGTCGTTGAGCGACGGGTTGGAGGCGGTGCTGGTGCAGACTTCTTCGAAGGCCCTGACGGCGATTGACTACGAGAGGATGCCAATGCAGAGGCCACCATAGCATTAGCGAGAGAATTAACAGACATAGAACTTCGAGATGTGGCTGTCGTATCCCGAGATGCTATAAAGGGTCTATGTTGATTCGGGTGAATATGCCTGGGCCTGGGGGCCACAGGCTCTGGCCTGTAGTCAGACTGAAGGCCGTCAGAGGCAGATACGAAGGAGTTTTCGGAGGAAGCGTTTTTATCGTCTTCTGTATTGGTTGAAGATTCTATGTGATCTTTGTTTATATGTTTCTCAGTATATTTCTCTGTGGGTTTTGTCGTGGATATAGATGGTGGTAGAAGCCTCCTTTTTGCGAGACCTGGTTCTGGTATGGTAGACTTGGCACCTAGGCTCCCTGGCAAGGCTCTCCCTGGTAAAGTTTCCGGCTTCGGATTTGGCTTTGACTTTGGCTTTGGATTATTAAGGCTAGTCCCGATCTCCGCGGACTTCGGTGCAGGACTTGGAAGATTAGGCTCTGGTCTGGGGCTTGATAGATCGTTCCCTGAGTAAGATAGAGGGCGCTGGTATCGGGAACTTGCATCTGTTTTCGAGGGCGTAGAGGAGATTTTCTCGAATGCATTGATTAATTGTGAAGTCGGAGGTATAAATGCGTTGCCATTAGTCTCGGCCGATAGAGGGCTCAAATAGCTATTGGTATTCTCCAACAACTCTCTCGACTCTGCATTCTGTTGCCCTCCCCGTCTGTATACTGCTTGTTGTTGCCCTGTAGTTGGCTTTCGATTTGTACTTGTGCTGACGGATCTCGATGCTGCTAAATTTGCTGCGATATGTGATTCGGAATTCCCCTTTGACTGGCGTTGAATAGGCTTCTTTTCGTCCCCAGGAGGGTCGTTAAGCCTGCTGCGGACTGGTCCGCCATCCAGTCCAGCCCCCGAAGAACCTCTGCCAGTGTGGTGGCGTGCCACGGTATCCCCAACGTCGTCATCTGTGGTTGTCCCAGTGTTTTGCGACGAGATTGTTCGCCCGGCCAGATTCGAGTCCCTGCCTGCCTTGGACGCCGCAGCGAGAGCTGGGTTGTGGTTGATAGTCTTCAGTGCTGGCTTCGGTTTCACAGGCGGTTTGCCAAATGCCATCATGGCACCTTGAAGGGCAGCATTCTGTTTTGGGCCTGTGGGTGGTCTCGGGGACCTTAGTTCGCTGTCTTGCGGCGCATCACCGGTAGCCATTGGAAGCTAGAGGCAGGATGAAGCCGTAAGAGTATGAAGAGAAGCTTGCCATATAGGCAAACCCTCATGGAATATTTCAAAAGATATGCATGTCACTGTTATAACGATGGTGGTAACGGATTTGTATTTATGTTATCCGATCTGTTATTGTTGAATACAGTGCGAACAGTGCTGATGGTCGCGGCTCTTTATCCACGCGTTAAGTTAGAGTACGTACAAGTACAGTAGTTGGGCGCGGCTGACGTATGAAGGGTCCTGATTCCACTTTCTTGGCTGATTCTATACATAGTACACCAATGATTGTCTAGGCTGACGAGATGACTTTCTATGTAAACAAGGCTGACGTTTATTTTGTCGACTTGCATAATCTTTCAGTATAATCATTGCATTATTGAAGCGAATCAAATGTATTGAAACGCAAAATAACATTTCTACTCTTAACATTTGACAAAGACGTCTTGTGCTGGCCATATCTTCTCCCCTTCAACGCCGGACTAAGCCAATCCATAATTCCCAGACCGATCCTCCTGATATCCATCAAAGTACAACGCCTACAAAACACAATACAATCCATAGAAGATCAATGCCAGCAAAAAAATACAAGAAATGAACACATCATGACACCAGTACTGCTTTTATGCAGAACATAGCATCGAGAAACTCACAGCCTGCCGGTATCGTGTAACCATAACGACCAAACAAGTCAAGATTGAAGTATATGCGCCGCCAGCATATAACTTCAAAGAAGTGGTAATAACGACTTAGAAGGCATCCTCGTCTGTCCAGTTTGCCTCGCTACCAGACATGATCCGATTTCCGTGGGAATCCACAACTACATGACCAGCATGAAGCTCAGGAGGGTATCCCTTGTGCTTCTTCATCTGAGCGCCTTGGGGAGGTGCGTATCCATCCTCAGGTGTAAAACGCTTCCCTCGTGCAGCTCGAAGCCGAGCATAGTAGTCATCCGAAGCATCTTGCTCTGGCTCTGAAACCTCATCGTAGGTCTCCCAGTTCTCGGATCCTGATACCGTCGTGGCAGATGCTGATGTGTTGGAAATCTGCCTACTTGGTGGATTTGGAGGACATGAGAACTTTGGTGCACGCTCGTCTTGGCGCATGGAGGATGAGTAGGAATTCGCATTCGAGAAGCCGCGGGAATATTGCTCGTAGTTACGATCGTCATAAACATCCTCGGGAGGCACGTGGCGCACAATCGAGTTCGACTCAAAGCTTTCGCTCCTTGAATCAGAGGAGGATTCACGAGGCGGCTCAAAGAATTCTCTCATCTTGGGAGGCGGAGCGCGAGCTGGTGGTCCCATATTTCCGACTGTCCCAGTAGCGGGCCTCTTATCTGCTTGCGCCTTCCTCTCAGGGGAGTTATTTCCGTGTTTGAGGCTGGATAGCGGAGCGCGCGCGGGAATTCTTGAAGGAGTCCTGCCTCCTGCAGCTGAAACAGAGCTTGCCAGGAGATTTAGTTTGATTGACTCCTGAACGACTGGAGTCTTTGCTCCAGCTCTGGAAAGAGGCGCTCTCATGCTGTTGGCGCGGCTTGCAGGAGCCGCCTTTTGAGCTCTTGCAGGGGCTGGCGGTGGTGCTGCTGGGGTCCTTGATCGTGGTCCCGGCGCTTGTTTGACTTCGGATGCTTCTAATTCATCGAGATACCTCTCACCATGTACCATAAAAGGTCTACCATACTCGTCTTCCCATTTCTCAAGAGATTTACGCAAGTCGACTGCCACCTTCGGCAGTTCCTTCGCAATTCTCTTCCTCATCTTCTCTTCTCTCAGCAGCCTCGTAGGATCACGCTTCTCGCCCTTCTGACCGCGCATCATAAGTCTGGAAGCATCTTGGCTTGCAGCCGAAAGGTCGTCTCGGTCCTTCACAAGAGATCGATGCCTGTCAATAAGGGACAGCATTGGTGCACGTTGTTCCTTCAATGATTCGAGTCGATCAATTTCTTGTTCGTGTGCTTCTAGCAAGGCATCACTGTAGACATCTGAAAAGGCGGGAGTGAATTCTAGCATTTCCTCCTCAGAGAAGTAAAGCCCGTCCCATAGCTCCTGGAGTTTATATCGAGCATCTTCGACAAACAAATGGAGGTTTTGCCTTTTGAGCTCGTTAAGCCTTGAAAGTTCGTCTTCAAATTCGTTGATCTGTCGCACGCCGCATCCTCGGTTATTGTTGAGGAATCTCTTTCTCTCTGGCTCGTCGACTCCAAGGCGCTCCCAAAGACCCTCGACTGTGGTGCGTAGTTCTTTAAGGCGCCTCTCCCTGGCTTTCTTCTCATCGCCCAGCTTATCGCGCTTGCTTCGAAGCCTTGCGATATCATCTTCATGGAGACCGAGTTGTTCAGGAGAATCCCGATAGTATTTGACAATTGCTGCATCGGTTTGCGCTTGTGGTGTTCCAAGTTCGGCCCAGAGTTGAATGATATTCTCCGAGAGAGCTTTCACGGTTGCAACGCGACGAGTGTACTCTTCGTACATACGCGTAAACTCGTTATCAAGAGATGTAACGTAGGTCGGGGAGAGGTCAAATGTTGGAGGCACAGATGAGTTGGCGGTGGTAGGCGGCAATGGAATTCTGATAAATGAAGACTCCAGATGCGACGAATAGGATTCAAGAGCTTGGACAAGTTCTAAATAATTAGCAAAATCACATATAGAAAGATAAATTCTTGCGGGTAGTACTCACTCTTAACTTGTTCGAAACGCTCCTTGTGTATTTTGCTGATTTGCAAATGCTTCTCTTTCAAAGTTTGCAAACATTGAATCAAAGGGTATGAAACTTTTAGGGATGGATCTTCGACATTGTAATCATGGGTGTCCTTGGAGTCATTGAGGGACGACTCCATCTGTTTGATAGTTGTGATAATGCGATGCGCTTCCTCGGCCATCTCGTTCTTTTCTGCTGAAACTATTCGCACTTGGTTGTGGAGTGTTTCAGATAGCGCAGCAAATAGCTACAGCACAAATAGTGTCAGCTTGTGGTCATTCTATAAAGCATCCATGATATCACAGTGCGGGTATGTGGGGGACCTATGCATACCTCCGCCTCGCGCGACTCTCTATCATGGTTGGGTACTCCAATCTCATCGAAGAGACCATGAAGTTGGCCAACAATAGACGACACCTGCGACGACAAATAGCTGGTGTCCATGATGAAGAAGATATTCCGGGTGTTTAGTGAGTGTATATTGTGTGTTGCTGCGACTGTACTTGCGACTGTATGTGGGTCATTCGTTGATCACCGACAGCGACAGTGATGGTGAAGTGTGCCCTGCGCAGTTGGAATGGGCGGGAGCGATGGGTTGCAATGGCAAAAGCCTTTTTTGTTATGTGTTACAATTCATCAGCAACGAAGTCGGGCTGGACGCGTTCGTGGTTGTTTGTGTAATATCGTAGAGTACTGGCTTGTAGCTAGCGGAATATCGCGATGATGGGGTACATATTGGATAGGCGCGTGTTTATTTCGGGACCAAAACGTCTGTTTACCCAGCAACCATGGCAACCATATGTACGATAAACCCATGATGACTTTGGGCGGTAGGTGTTTCGCGCTAGTCCCGCTACGTCAATATTCTGCCAGTGACAACCCTCCGAACCCCACTCCAGTTGTTGCCTCATCCACCTCGCACCATACACCCCCCAGTACACTTCAACAGCCGTCTAGGCTTTCAAACCAACAAGGTCTATCTCGGCGATCGAGCATCAGGTCTTGTTGGATTTTGATAAATACCTGGGGCAATCATGGATACCGCATGGCGGGCATGGGGTAAGTAATCAGTTTTGTGAATCTTGGAGTTGACCGCCTCGAGCTAACGTCGGATATACAGAGCTCGACAATAACGTCCAGCTTGTAGATGCTCATCGCGATGCGTTGTATTCATATGACCCTACCGAGCAGAAAGCTATCAATGATGCTAAGCCATGGAAAACCAATCCTCGCCATTTCAAAAATGTCCGAATTTCCGCCGTTGCTCTTCTGAAGATGGTGATGCATGCCAGATCAGGAGGCTCCGTTGAAATTATGGGGCTGATGCAAGGCAAAATCTCTGGTGATACATTCATTGTCACCGATGCCTTCCGCCTGCCTGTTGAAGGAACTGAAACGCGAGTCAACGCCCAGGACGAGGCAAACGAATACATGGTGGGATACTTGGAAGCCTGCCGTGCTGCAGGAAAGATGGAGAATGCTGTTGGGTGGTATCATAGTCACCCTGGCTATGGATGCTGGCTGAGTGGTATTGATGTTGGTACCCAAGCAACCCAGCAACAGTTTTCAGATCCCTTCTTGGCCGTTGTGATAGACCCAGATCGCACAATTTCTGCTGGCAAGGTTGAGATTGGCGCCTTCAGAACCTTCCCCGAAGACTACAAGGAGGAAGGAAATGCATCGAGAGACGGGTATCAAACGATTCCTCTGGCGAAGGTAGAAGACTTCGGTGCCCATAGCAGCCGCTATTACTCTCTGGAAGTTACCCATTTCAAGAGCACACTCGACTCGCACCTGCTGGAGCTATTGTGGAACAAATACTGGACGCAGAAACTCAGCCAAAACTCCCTCTTTACCAACCGTGACTACAGTAGTAAGCAGATGCTTGACTTAAGCTACAAGATTAGCCAAGCCACCTCAGCCACGTCACGCGCGAACAAGTTAACAGTCGGACCAGGCATTCCTCGAGCAGCTGACCAAGAGATGGAAAAAATCTCAAAGGACAGTAAAAAGATCGCCGGAGAAGTTAGGATTGGATTAATGGCTGGTGAAGTCAAAGCGCAGCTTTTCAATGGAGTCGGAAGCGCCGAAAGTACCAAGCAGGCGGATGTGAATTCAGGTGGCGGACAGTAGCTGCTGGCTCAAATAGACCTGAGACCAGGCAAAGATGATGGTGCACTTCTACTATGAAAATGGGGTGACGGCTCTTTGGCCTGTTAAATTGATGGCATAGCGCGGCGTACGGAGCGATTGACCGAAAGGTTGAGTGTTTTATAAAGACCGGAGACTGAGCATATTTACAATGAATCATCTTGCCCACATCCGTACATCAATTGCATTCCTCTACGCTTCGTTAAGAACCTTGAAATTGGGCCGGAACATATATATAACATAATCTGTACAGTACTATACTACACTGCTTACTGGACAGGCAAAGGCTTTCTCAGACCAGCCAGCCCCATCGCCGTTACGAATAAAACTCCCCATCCCCATCCCCGCCTAGTATATACATCTCTCTTGATCTTACTTCTCTACATTGGCCACCACATTGGACCCAGGTTGACCAAGGGCAACTTTCTCTGCTAGGTCAAATCTCCGCAGGGTTTCCATCGGCCCCAATGCTGTCATAAGACTGGCACTATCGGGACCAGGTGTATCGGCTACCAATGCCCACCTTATATACTGATGTAACAATGCTGCCCATGATTTCTTCAACGCGACAAATAACTCTTCGTTATCAGAAACGTTGATTTCTCGTAGGTTTTGCGAAACTGTATTTTGTACGACATCTGAGAAATGGGCTCGGAGCCTTTTACCTTTCTCATCCGTAGAAAGTAATGGGTCTTCTTGCGTTAACATAGTGGAGACTTGCTGCACGACCTTGACGATACTAGAATTAACGACCTCGGGCTTGATCTCTTCTGGTAAATTCGATAAGTGGCATAAATGCCCGATAACAGTTATAGGCGATTTGATAGAGATGAGGGCCTCAGCAGATGGCCCATCAAATGTATACTTGTGACGCTCCACGAAATCACTGGCATTCTTATAATTTGGCGCATCCGATTTCAGGATCTGGAGAAGTCGGTCCTGCTGGTCGGCTGGCGTGCTACTCTCCGGAATAGAACATGATGAGCACTTTTGTTTTAGGGCGGCCAAGATGGGCTGGATTATAGACTGAACATCATCGGGAGTCTTAGCGGAGGTGATGATCCTTTGCGCATGCTGCCTCTGAAGGAACCAGAGCTTGTCAAATGATACTTTTGTGTCTCCTTTGGTAAATTTTGTAGAAAACTAGACGCAGAGTTCATCAGCAAGGTATTATAGGCTTATTAGAATGGGCCAACAAACATTTTTTGCCAGCTCTTGGATATCCATTGTGTCCTTTTTTTGGGTATGCGACCATCCCAAAAGTGCAACAAAGTTGGAGAGGGCATCCGGCAGCACACCCATGTTTCTGAATGCAGATATGTCCAGATCAAAGTTCCTTTTGCTAAGTTTCTGTCCGTTCAGATCGGTCAAAAGTCCCACATGCCCAAAGGTTGGCGGCTGCCAGCCAAATGCATCATATAGGTGGTGATGTGTAGGTACAGACGGAATCCATTCCTATGAAGAGTTAGATCCTTTATTGTACTTCAGAACTCATAATCATGTGCTTACTGAGCCCCTAATCACATGAGTAATTCCCATTAAGTGGTCGTCAACAACACAGGCCAAATGGTAGGTTGGCCAGTTATCAGACTTCATGAGAACTGGATCCGCATCCATTGGGGATGTTTTCGAGCTCGCCACATTTCCAAAGACGAGGTCTCTATACCGCTTCGTGTATTCGGGAAGCTTTAATCGGACAACAAATGGATCACCCTGAGCAGCTCTGCCATCAGATGTATCCTTGCTCACTCGGTTGCAGTCGTGCGATTTAAACCCAGCAGATGCATGTAGGCCTGCGTCACCCAAGTTCCGCTTTTCCCGTGGACAAAAGCATCGGTATGCTCTGCCAGTATCGAGAAGCTTACTGGCGTGGTCCCGATATATGTTCAACCTTTCAGACTACATCACGTGTCAGAATTTTGAGAGCCATCAACCAAGAGTAGCACTTACTTGTTTATATGGACCGTACGGGCCGCCCACATCTGGTCCTGGAGAACGTTAGCGGAAGTCCACGAGTATGTGAACGGACGACGTGGGAGGCTGACCTTCATCCCAGTGCAATCCTGCCCATTTCAGGTCCTCCTTTATCCTAGTCTCGGCATCTGCCACTGTCCTGGGCTGGAGAATGTTAACCCAGATTGAACCCTCGAGGGCCCGACAGGAATATTAAAAGGGGGTGGGGGAAGTTACCTGATCTGTATCTTCAATGCGGAGAAGGAACTGGCCATCCGTGGACTTGGCTAGCAAATAGCTGAAAAGGGCAGTCCTCAGTGACCCAAGATGAAGGTATCCTGTGGGAGAAGGAGCAAAACGCGTTCGTGCTGGGGTTTCCGGAAGCTTATATGTAGGCCTGGCCGTTCCAGCGGTGGCTAGCTTGGAGATCCTCCGACAGAAAGAGCATGTCCATAGAGGTGTCAAAGTCCTTCTACTACTCCCAATGAGCAATAATGACATTACTTGAAAGAAACAAAAGAAGAAATAACTGGAACCACTGGATTTGCAGGACCCAATGCCGTATTATAGAGCAACCAAATATGATACTGTAATCCTCCTTTTTCAGCGTCGCGTTAGCGTCAACGAGGTTCAGGCGAGGTTCGGACAAGGTCCCTCTGGATTTTCGGTCCCATAAAGATTTGTTAAATTCCTTAAAGGTGGCCCGAGCGTCTCCCAGCCTTCCCCCACATTCCGCCGCCCAACTTCCCAGGACGCTGGACGACGCTAAGATAATAAATAACTTATTGCATTACTCTGCAGTGCTACAGAGTCCCGAGGACTCTGGAAAGCTTAATAATCCCCATCTATATTTTACGGGAAGGCGTTTGCATCATCTTTGCTTTCCGCCCACATTTGCTCTTCCAAAAACAGACTCAGAGCCCGCAAACGATCTTGTAATGTCTTCCGGGGATGGCTCGGAAGAGGTCGACCTCTATGGTGTGTGGCAAGATCTGAATGCAACTTGAATCTCTGTTTGCTGATTGTTTTGAAAAGTGACTTTAGGCATCGAAAAGACCGCGACCAAATCAGAGATTAAGAAGGCATATCACAAGGTTTGTCATCCGGTGCAAAATCTGTTCAGTAACCACCTGTGTCTGACGTGATTATAGGCGGCCCTACTACACCACCCGGACAAGGTTCCAGAGAACCAGCGTGAAGAGGCAGATACCAAGTTCAAGAGTGTGAGCCAAGCATATGAAATTCTCCACGATGAAGATAAACGACACCTGTACGATACACACGGCATGTCCGCTTTCGATGGAAGCAGACAGGGTGGCCCCGGCATGGATGGCGGGGTTGATTTAGATGATATTCTTCAGCAAATGTTCGGCATGGGAGGTGGCGGCATGCCGCCTGGATTCGGCGGAGGCCCTGGGATGAAGCGAGCCCGCCGTGGAAAGGATGAGGAGCAGACCTATGAGGTGACACTCGAGGAGCTCTACAAAGGAAAGACGGTGAAGTTTGCGAGCACAAAGAATGTTATCTGCAGCCACTGTAAGGGAACAGGCGGCAAGGAATCGGTGAAGCCCAAGAGCTGTTCATCTTGCCAAGGGAAGGGAATGAAGATTGGCTTGCGCCAAGTCGGCCCTGGGATGGTTACGCAAGAGCGCATTGTTTGCGACTCATGCTCTGGCACCGGAAGCGTTTTCAAGGAGAAGGATCGCTGCCGCAAGTGTAAGGGCAAGCGCACGACGTCGGAGAAGAAGGTTTTGGAAATATATATCCCCCGGGGTGCCATGCAAGGAGACAGAATCGTCCTTGAAGGCGAGGCAGACCAAGTGCCCGATCAGACTCCAGGAGACATTGTGTTCACACTCGTTGAAGAAGATCACGATGTATTCCAGCGTAGGGGTCACGATTTGTTAGCAGAACTGAAGGTCACCCTGGCGGAGTCCTTGTGCGGGTTCTCCAGAGTTGTCGTTAAACACCTTGATGGACGCGGCATACATATGGACCATCCAAGAGGAAAGGTTCTAAAGCCTGGGCAGGTCCTCAAGATTGACGGAGAGGGCATGCCACACAAGAAAAGCGATGCGAAGGGAGATCTCTACTTGGTTATTAATATCGAGTTTCCGGACAATGGTTGGATAGAGGATGAGGCTTCATTCGGCAAATTAGAGGCTATCTTACCGAAACCTAATGCCCCAATTGATACCCCTGAGGTTGATGAGGTTACCTTTACGGAGGATGCCGACATCGAGGAAGTAAGTGCTACTCTACGTAATTTGATAAACTGAACGTGGCTAATTTACGATAGTTTGGAGCAAGTACAGGACAAGGTGGCCGAGGTGCAGAGTGGGAGGATGATGACGAGGACGAGCGTGCCCCGCAATGCGCACAGCAATAGATGACTATATCGCGGCTATATCGCGGCTATATCGGCGAATAGTTTTGTATGTGGAAGGTGACATAGTAACAGGCGTTATTATAATCTTGGTGCGGGGTTAAGACAGACAGATGACTACAATTGAAACGCGTGACGAAGATTTCTGCTGGAGGAGCACTGAACCCATTGTACAGTGAACTTGCCAATTGACCCGAATGTAGTAAATGGTGGCATTGGTGGCAATTGTAGCCGATGCTGAAAGAACTATGGTTTTGTAAAGTGAGATGGCCAGGACAGAAGTGGATCGTATAAGATATAGGGTACAACATCTTTATCATCTTTGGGCGCGGGGACATATATGTGATCACGTGCCTCAAGCACTATCTACGCGCCTCTTTGATATACTGGAAGCACGTGACATGCAAGGGTCTTGTTAGCGTCTCTGCACCACTCTTAGCGAGCCGAGGGCACACACCAGAGCATTTTTTGGAAGTTAGCGAAAATATTGGCTGACTGGGAGATCTTCGACTCGACTCAACGACCAACCACCAAAAATCGCCAAACCGACGTCAAGGTACGACCATATCTGCCCAGAAAACTCTGGAAGACGAATTGCAATATACTAAGTGTTCTCCAGATGGTTGCCGCAAAGAAGCATGTGCCGATCGTCAAGAAGCGTATGTCAACTCCTGCGCCACTTCGTTTCCGACCGCCAGTGCCTACACCAACACGAATACCTTCCGATTGAGATTACGCACTGGTGGCCGGTTCGCCCTCAAAGCTCTTGGCTAATTCTTTTTTTAGGCACGAAGCGCTTCAACAGACATCAGAGTGATCGATTCATGAGAGTCGACCCGTCATGGAGAAAGCCAAAGGGTATCGACAACCGTGTCCGCAGACGCTTTAGCGGCCAGGCTGTTATGCCATCTGTACGTCTTGAATGGCTTCGCGGCCTGTCGATGGAATACTTCGAAGCGTGCGACTGACTTTTTTGCGTAGATCGGTTTCGGATCCAACAAGAAGACCCGCCACATGATGCCTTCCGGCCACAAGGCTTTCCTCGTCAGCAACGTCCGCGATGTTGACCTCCTCCTCATGCACAACAAGACCTTCGCCGCTGAGATCTCCCACTCTGTTTCGTCGAGAAAGAGAGTCGATATTGTCGCACGCGCAAAGCAGCTCGGCGTCAAGGTTACCAACGCGAAGGCTCGGGTTACGACTGAGGTTTAAGTGGTTTCTTTTGGGCTCGCATGGGACAGGGGTGCGTTGTTTTCATGAGCGGCAGGCAGTGCAAAGACGTAGCTATGCTCTACAATCAATGCAACTTGCTCAAGAAATGAATTATGCTCTGTTAAAAAGCTCCGACTGATCTGGGATTGAACTGTTGAGCCTCTTCGGGGCACTACTGGGCTGATGCCTGGCCGTCTTCGTCGAAATCGATGTTCCGTGAAGTTGTGGAATGTAGCGCCATTCTACAATTGCCTGGTTTTGGAAGTGATTCATCAATTATTGATGCAAATCGGACCCCGCCCTACGCGTGATCAAGAAGGAATTTACCAACTTTACCCATACCAACCTCCCATATGCCAACCTCACCCCCAAATTCTTCTTCGTAGAGGTCGCGTGACTAGTGCAGCATTGCTTTCGGCATATTGATCGTGATCTTCGACATTACTGGGTATATTTTGAGTTGTAGTTTAAGGCATGACGGAATGGCCGGACGGATGTGGTAAAGTTCAAATAAAGACTGTGCATTAATAAAGACTGTGCATTAATAAAGACTGTGCATTAATAAAGACTGTGCATTAATAAAGACTGTGCATTTGGATCATGGCCCCTATTTGTATTTTCAGATTTACAAAGTTATCAAGTTGCATGTCTACAACTGTTTCCCTTGTTCTTCTTGAGAGTAACTTGTTATTCCTGGTTTCGTTTGATAGCCCTTCTTTGACACCGCCTGTTACCATGTAACAACCCCTGTCACACACATTCTCCTCCCCAAAAAGCACATGGCTGCCAGAGAATTGAGCGGCGTGCGACACGGCGATCAGCAGCTGCTTATTTTATGTTTAATGTGGCACCGCCGATGCTGCATACCAAGACTCGTTCACTGTCCCCGACGTCTTGTTCAAATCTTCCAACTGTTCCGCTGTGTGTCTTATTAACTCTCGACATCAGAGGTACGGAGCATAGTACAACACCACACCCACGATGTCTACAATGACGATGTCTACAATGACGTTACTGGTAGCCCCACGGCTGGCTGACACGGAACACCAATTATCCTGTCCAAATTGTGGTTCTAGAGTCTCTTTGGACTCATCACGCCTCGCACTTGATGCGCAGCAACAAATCGAAGATCTACAGGCACAAGTCCGCCTTCTGACCCAAAAGGCTACTGCTGCTGGTTCGTTCCGACTCTCTATCCCCCCACCTAACCGCTTTACCATAGTGGTCAACTTACTTACTCTATCACAGTGGACAGATGGGCAGACTATGAAGACGAACTCCAGATGATGCGCCAGCAATGTGCGTCGCAAGAAATAGCACGCACCAGCACCCCCCCAGCCGCGATACAGCACAGACTCTCATCTTTCCTCACCTCCCGCAAATCAGTACCTAATCTCGGTCAACAGCCACCTCTCCCCTCCACCACCACATCTGAGCGGGACCTCGCAGCTGCACTGAGCCGAGAGCAGGTCTTACGGCAACAGGCGGAAGGGAAGTTAGACGAAGCGAGCGGAGAGCTAGAAGAGCTGAGCCAGCAACTGTTTGAGCAGGCAAACGAAATGGTGGCAACAGAGCGGAAGGCCCGAGCGAAATTAGAGGAACGTGTTGCAGTGCTTGAGCGGAGAGACGTGGAAAAGAGAAAGAGGTTAGAACGGCTTGAAGGAGCGATGGGGAGGATTGAGCGGGTGAGGGGACTCCTTGCCCCCCCCCGGAGATAAGTGACGGCTCTATGCTTCATAGGCGCTTTGTTGCAACATTGTAGCCCGGTTGATGGGTGAGACCTGGTCGAAGGTTTGCGGTAGGTACGCATTACTTGGGTCTGGGCTTGGGCTATTGGATTCGTAGATCCTGGACACAAAAGCGTGCTATGTTTGTTATACCACTTTATACTTTTATAAATGCACAGCCTCGTCGTAGGAGAACCAGCTCAATTAAGTAGTTATTTATTAATACACGACTTTAAAAGTCACAAACCAGCCACCTCTAATAGAAGACGATGGCTAACTATGAGCAGCTTCATGAGCAACTATATACATACTACAAAGCTTCGGCTTTAGCCGTCTCTACAGAATCAACCGTTGGCTCAATGGATGCAGCTGGCTTTTTCTCAGTCGCCTCCTTAGCCGCCTCCGCTGGTGCAGCCGCTGGTTCTATGGGTGCAACGGGCTTCTGCTCAGTCGCAATGTTGCTCTCCGCATTCGACCCGGCAAAGGGCCTGTATTCTCCAGACCATTTGTCGAGCATCTTTGAGACTTGCGGGCCCCATACCTCCTCGCCCTTCGCAAGGTCCTCGTATTCAAGGACGTTCTTCCCTAGCTCAAACTGTCCCTGTCTTGTCCTGACAAGTTCAGCCATAATCGCTTGAGATCCAACAGCTTCGCCGAGATCATGGCATAAGGATCTGACATAAAATCCCGACGTGACCGTCATCCTTAACCTGACAGCTGGTGGTCCAACCTGCGGTGCGTCTGCCGCTTTGCTCTCTGCTCCAGCTTGCTCAGTGGACAGTGCCCCAGACATCTTGACAGGCTCGCTCTCTGCTGATATAGAGCCTCGTCGTCGTTTTGTTCCCTGGGGTTCGGTCACTAAGTCGTCTTTACGCTCGTCAACCTTCCGTTTCTCCGCGGATGGCGAAGTTGCGGAGCCATCGGTAGTAGTCTCCTGCTCCCTTTCCAACTTCCATAACCTCTCAGCAACATCTACTTCTGCCGACCCAGCCTCTTCGGTAGGAAGTTTGTGCTCATGAGTTCCGCCTGGCATGAACTCCAACATTTCAAGTTCCTTGACTTCAACTGCCCTTTTTTGGATTTCTCTTGGCAACTCCTTTCCTTCACGCGCATATTCGTATAACGGCTTGCCATTCATCTTTAATGCAGAGTATAGTGGCGGCAATTGCATAATTTTGCCCCTGTATTGTGACAAGGCCTTCTCGACCATGTCTTTCGTAATATGGCCATATGGCCCGCGCTTTAATATCTTGCCCTCTCGATCGTAGGTGTCAGTTTGCGCCCCGAAAAGTACGACGGTATCATATGTCTTCGTGCTATCAATGAAGCTCTGAAGAACTTTGGTGCCTTTGCCAATTCCGATTGTCAGGACTCCTGTTGCCATAGGATCCAGAGTTCCTCCATGGCCGGTCTTAACACTGATCTTCTTGTTCCTGCGCTTTCGTTGTTGATTATGCGATTCCTTCTCGATCGCGGCCCTCTGGGCGTCAAGTAGCGGCTGAAATAGATCGGAAGAATCGAAATTTCTTTGCAATTCCCTAATTACGCCTGCTGAGGTAATTCCGGTAGGTTTGTGTAGCGCTGGTGGTTGTTAGCAGTCGTTTCAAAGGAAATACCTAGACAAAGACTTACCAAAGACTCCTTCCGCAATCTTTCCTTGCGTCATTCTCCAGAAATGATGTCCGGCTCTGGCGGACATGAGTTCGAGTTTAGGTTTGTATAATACACAGGTGGAAACGTGTTGCAAGTAAAATATCCTATTACCCGTGTCAAGGTTTCTTATCGATATTATTTAGCGGCGCTTATCGAGTCATTAAACGCCTGGTACCTGGGTCGCGTCGGCACGCGCCCACATTCACTTCAAGTACAGCATAGTCTCGTGTGAACTATAAAGATACGCAGCGGCTTCAATATCTTGTGATGGCGATACGTTATTCCCAATAGAAAAGACATCCAAAAGATAGCCTCCACAGCAGATCTGTTTACCATCCATGCCACGATAAGACTTTATCTTGGACACAATGGGGCGGAAGGCCTCGACTACGGAATGCGACACTGACGCCGCCTCCCAATCGCGTTCAACGAAGTGCTTAAGTGAGGAGGAAGTCTTGCAACCCGTATCAAAGACCATCGTGTCGGACGACTGGCCAATTTACCTTCTCAAGGATGCTGTTGTATATGGGAAGGATGGCGAGACTCTGGCCAACCTTCTGCACACTGAGCTCGAGGGCCCTTTCTCAATCCGTGGGAAGCTTGTGGTTGACCGGGATTACCATCATTTCCGTGAGTATAGAAATCATATGTGCATCCCAACATTGGCTTATTATTTTGCAGGCATCTTAAAAGATAAAGAATATAAAGATTGCTTGGTGGAGGTTACCAATGTGCGGAGCTTCAGCATCGGCGATGGTCCGATAACACTTTGGGCAAACGGGAAAGCGGGCTGGTTCGAAATCAAGCCAGCACCGATATATCAAGAAATTTATAACAGGATGACGGAGGCAATTGAGCTGTATTATATACTTTGCGACATACATACGGACACAAAATCGCGGGGCAAAGGGAAGAGCCAGAAGCCTCCCGACGCAGAACAGGTTCTTGATAAGGTATGCTAAGCCGCCCAAAGATTTATGGTCTATTTTTTTAACGTTGCTCTTGTAGTGTATTAAAGAAAAAGGAAATAAGTTTACGCAGGCTAAGATGAAGAAGCTATGCTTGGAACATGCCAAGTTCTTGCTTTCGCAGATGAAAAACAGAAGTTCGGCCGAAATGGGTTGGAAGACTACACCATTCTTCAAATGGCTGGTGCAGAATTCACCAGATGTCACCAAGCAGCTTACCGGTAGGCAGGCAAGCATAAGCGCCACTGATCAATCTGGTGGCAAGGGGAAACCAGCATCGTCGCAGGCGGCGGCCAAAAGGAAGCCGATGGGCACGGCTGCCACCATTGTCCAATTTATGAACGACTTACACACATCGGGTTTCCTACGAATACCACGAATGAATATTAGGTCCCTGGCACGAATTATGTATGAACGGTTCGAAATCATCGACGAAGACCTCGCAAAAGAAGTTATTCAAGTGCACGCCAAGACGATATACCACGGGTTGGGCGAAGAGTGGGCTGGCAGCCCTATATACCATAAACTTGAAATACTTTCTATAGGGAAACAGAAGGTGTCAGATGCCGAGTGTCACAAGCAAGCGATTGGATTGGTGTTGCTAATGCGCGACGGCGTAGAAGATGAAAAGCGTGAAGTTGCAGAACTCTCGCCGACTCCTGAACCTGTGCACAGAAGAGCAGGCAGGGGGGCTGGAAAGGGGGCTGGAAAGGGGGCTGGAAAAGCCGCTGGGCTCCGGTTGAAGAGCACACCTGCCAGCCAACAGAAGCGGTCGCCGACACCATATGACGATGAGCCTGATATGAGGTCCGCAAAACGACAGAAAATGAAAGGTGCCGCTGTGAAAGAAGAATCCGCCAAAGACGAATTTGAGGAAGGTGAGGACGAAGGAGATGACGAGGACGAACTGTCGATAGAGTTTGATCTTGAGTCCACTGCCCTCCCCTCATCGGCTCCTCAAGGCCCAAATGGACTCTGGGCATGTCACAAAGAGGCTTGCGGGCACACGATCCCAAATGCAGATGAACCTGACGGCCGGGCCAAAGTGCAAAGCCATTTCTTATGGCACGCGGATGAAATTGCAGCTAGGGAGTATCTCGTTATTGAAGCGCAAAGACCCTATCTACCTATCAGTAATTTACTAGATAAGTTGAAGAGGTTAGGGGAAGTGGCGAGGTTGAGAGAGGATGATGGGGAGAAAACTGCAGCTGGAAAGGATGCGCCGGCGCCGATTAAAAGGAGGCTAGCGGCATGATCGTGCTTCAGCAGGATATAGGAAGTGTGAATGTTTACCTGTACCTCTATAGTGTTAGCGTTGGCTGGAATTTGCCGTACTGGTCTTGAAACATTTGGGTTGCTGGCGGGGGCGGTCAGGAGTTGAGAGTCGAGGGCTGGTGGACATTATGAGGAAACATAGCTTACCAGCCTTATATGATTATTAATAAATATTATGTTTCGATGGGAAATATTGCATTTGGCTTGGAAGGTGAGAGTTGCGTGCTTCCGTTGTCACGAAGGCCCCTCACAATGTGAGTGACTTGGGCCATAATTCAACCAGCCACACTTGCTACTGAACGTTGAAAATGACCCAGTGACTAGCTATAATCATGAACTAACATGCATACTTTGGCAAGGAATTTGGGTTTTTGCAAGATTGGTCTCCTATTTTGGTGTTGTGTTGCATCTCACAAAATTTGAATATCGGCAAGTGCCGTCGTTTGGATGTTTTTGGGTGTTGGAAGTGCTACGCTCTGGTTGTGTACTACAGTACGGATATGTTACTTCACCCCAATACACGAATTCATACCCTTCTCACAGTAGCTCTTTCTGTACTCACTTGGACGTAGAGGCGCCATCTAACACCGCCGAATCACATTAATACTCCAGAGGCAGCTACATCATCTTCCGACCCAACGAACAATCGCAACAAGCAGACCAAATCCCCCAGCGCAGCGGGTGTGTTGTGTCCAAAGATACACGGCCATTCCAATCTGCCCCAACTTACAACAAAACAACGCACTTTGTTCGCCATAAACTTGGAGCAGGGCGCCATTACTGAGAGAAAATACACCTGTTTGCAGGACGTATTTTACAGGCAGACTCAATTCGACGGTTTATAAAGCTCTGAAGATGCCTCGTGAGTCTGTCTCTAGTCATCCCCAAGATTCTACACCCTTGCGGAGCTTGCTATATACGGACCCCCAATTCCCACCCGTAGCAAATAGGAATTGCCTGTGTTCATAGTTGATCCTCGCAAGGAGGGAGGTTGTACTGTAAATACAGCCTCGTTTTGCTACTAACAAGAGGCTGGAGTTCCATAATTGCCTGTATTGACATATTTCTTACTTTAGACCCCGATGGCGACTCGTACCTTGAGTCACAAAACCTGTGAGCAGCATCTCAATCAAACCTCAATCAGAGCTAACTGGTCCAGGTCGCAGCCTATCGCCGAATACAGGGACGCCCCAATTGCAGTCCATGCCTCTTATTACCTCCAAAAATTCTTAGATACCCCGCCATCAGCCGAACCTCTTCTCTCTGCCATCGGTGGCTTTCCTCTCGCAATCAGAATACACATAGATGCAGACCTTGACCAGTGGCAAAAGCATGGCATTACGCCCAGGTTCTATTTCGATGGCCAAGCCACAGTTGGGTCGGAGGAGGTGGCTATGAAGGACGCAAAGGCGTCAATGGAGAAGAGTAACGCTGCATGGCAGCCATACTACCAGAACCAGCCGACAGAGGCTGTCATCGCATTTGGCAAAACGGGTATGCAGTTCAATGTTTTAGGTGGTTGTCCCCAACTAAACAGTGTGTAGGATCCGTCAAAGCCAACCACCTACAACGCTATTTCCAACAGATCTTAATCGAGCGCGGTCTTACTTTTGAAGTAGCTCCATATAGTGCTTGCGCCCAGGTCAGTCTACTAAGGAGTGCTATAGATAGTATGACTAATATTTCCAGATGGCATATGTTGACTCGAAGGATCTCGACTGTGCAGTGGGCATCATGGGGCCTCCAGAGCTCCTCCTATACAACATCAATGAGTCCCTCATAACAGAGATTGATTTCGAGAAAGGGCTTGTTTATGGCCTCGTCAAGACGCAACTGCTTAAAAAGCTCAACGTTAATGAAGAGACCTTTATCGACTCTTATTTGATGACTGGAACACCCTCTCTCCAGCCATTTCCAGCTCTCAACGACCCTGCAGTTGTGCCCAAGCAGCCGTTTACAATGTTGGATGCGGTTAACATGTACCGCACAGCTGGAAAGTCCATCGCAAATTTGTGTGAAACCTGGAGCGAGGTCTTGCAGAAACAAGATCCTAACTGGCAGGACAAGTATCAGAAATGCCGCATGGCCATTAAACATGCTGTTATCTTGTCCACAAACGGCACCCTAGAGGTCATGAAATTCAATGAATTGAGCGGGGATCATCACGAGTACATCGGCCTTCAGCTAGCCTCGGAAATTTACCATTATCAGAGCAAGGCACTCGTTGGGCCAAGAGTCTTGAACTCGTTAGGATCTCTTCGAATGTATGTCTACCCGCCGCTGGATGGAGGCGAGTCGGATGAGTATAGAAAGCTGGTTACTCAGCAACTCGTACCTATTCAAGAGCAAACAATTGCTCTTTACGCGAGCAGGTTACACAGGGCATTTCAACACAAAAATATCGAGATGAAGTTTTGGTACGACGACAAGAAGACTGTGAAAATGTCCCACCAAGATGTCACACCTGCCCCAGATCGCCAGGCCGCCACGTGGCGTGTTGACGATGAGACCATCCAAAGTCTAAAGGACGTGAAAGCGCAGTCAGGTTCCATCGGATTTGCCTTAAAAGCTTTGGAGGATGAAAATTTCCGAAAGGCGACATTAAAGAAGGATACCCCAGCCAAGCCCGGCAGTATTGTCTCCACCGAATCGGTTGTGGCCAACACTCTCTGGCGATTTCTTCACCTGAGAGGGTACATTAATGACGAGCACAAGCTCACTGATTGGGGAAGCGCATTGGCAACTACAGTGCGTGCACTTCCGACGCCTAACCAAGAAGAGGCGGCATTACTTGCGTTCGAGCTTTTGCGTCATGACATCCTCAATGCTCGTAATCGCCACGATGAGTGGATTGGAGGCCCAAACATGGGCAACGATGAGCAGAATAAGCTTTGCCTGCTCATTGCTCGCTGCGCTTGTCTTCTCAAGCTCCGCCATAAGGAGATTGGCTTCACTGGCCCGCTTAGTAAAAACCTTCTGGCACATCATTCCATTATCACTGCAGTGCGGGAATGTGACCGTGACTTGATGGAAGCTGTCGCGGCGTCAATGTTTATAAGTTCCCATGCTGAACGCAAAAATCGCACGGACTGGGAGAAAATCGGTGCCAGGTATTTAGCCCCTACCCCCTTCGTGGGTGCATATATTAACTATATTTGGATAGCCTCCTTTTCGGTGAAGACATCAGTATCGCATTTGGCATCACAGTGAAGACATATCTTGACGAACAGCACCAAGGCCATCCTTCGGCGGAATTGAAGGCCCGAGAAAAGTCTCGATATGAGAAATGGCCGATTGCTCATGCTGAGGACATCCCGGGGGATCTTGACCTGGCATTCAAATTCTTCGACGCGCTTCACGCGGGCATTAAAGCCTTGGGGGGCAAAGTAGAGGATCAAGATGTCTGGGAGAGTGCGGCGAAGTACTTGGCAGAGCGGCGTTGAGCCTCGTTGCCAAGCTTACCTCCTCCTGCCTAATGGTTTATGATACAGCGAGCAGCGAGCATTGTGCGAATCCTTGCATTCTGGCGTTTGTAGGTGGCAGGCGTTGACATCATCCGCCTATAAGGAGATATCAATGGACATGAGGGAAACAGGATCTTTGTAACCATAGTGAATATACAAAAGTCACCCCACCCCAATCATTAGTCCTATGGAGATCTATCGGCTTGTATTTGGGTTGTCATGCAAGGGAGATAACTACTGTAGTGATGCTCTATAGTCAGCCGCCCATCTCATAGAAAAACCGCCGAGGCTTGCGGCTCAGCGCTTAATCGCACAGGGGGAAGCTGTACCGTGATTTTGTACTGTAGTACATACGTACTGAACTGTAACTAAACTGGACTAGTGCGATACAAAGTACTGTACTCCGTACGGTATCGGCTACTGCCGGTACCCAGCTTTATCTGGATGGAACAAACAAAACGGAGCTGCCACCAGAATCGCCAGGTTGCGAATCTGCTATCACCAGAGCTTTCTACAATCCTCTTTCACCAACAATCACATTTCATCTGTAAGTCTTTTCACTAAACAATCAACTGAGCACTACTTCCTCGGTATTCTGTGACTAATTCGCGCTTCAGTGTACGAACCACAAGGAACTCTTCAAGATGATCTTCACCAAGGGCTTTGTGCTCGCCGGTCTGGCAGCTGTTGCAGTGGCGAAATCTGCTGTTCTCGATCTCGTCCCAGATAACTTCGACAAAATCGTCCTATCAGGAAAGCCAGCTCTCGTTGAGTTCTTTGCTCCGTGGTGCGGCCATTGCAAGACTCTTGCCCCTGTTTACGAGGAGCTCGCGCAAGCTTTCGAATTCGCCTCTGATAAGGTTTCCGTCGCGAAGGTCGACGCTGATGCCGAGAAGTCCCTTGGGAAGCGCTTCGGCATCCAAGGATTCCCCACTATCAAGTACTTTGACGGAAAGAGCAAGGACCCACAAGACTACAGCGGTGGAAGGGATCTGGAGAGCCTCACCAAGTTCATTACGGATAAGACGGGCATTAAGCCACGCAAGGCCAAGGCACCAGCAAGTGATGTCGTGTTTTTGACCGATGCAAACTTCAAGGAGGCCATTGGTGGCGATAAGGATGTCCTCGTTGCTTTCACTGCACCATGGTGCGGCCGTAAGTTGCCCCCTGGCCGTCATGCGCTTTGTTGATCTGAGTACTAATTATGTTTATAGACTGCAAGACTCTTGCTCCTATCTGGGAAGAGGTTGCCACCGACTTTGCCGCTGAGAGCAGCGTGGTTATCGCCAAGGTTGACGCTGACGCTGGGAACTCTAAGTTGACTGCCGCGCTCGAAGGTGTCAGCTCTTACCCCACTATCAAGTTCTTCCCCCGTGGATCCACTGAGGGTGTAGCATACTCTGGTGGACGCTCGGAAAAGGACCTCCTTGAATTCCTCAATGCGAAGGCCGGCACACACCGTACTCCCGGCGGTGGCCTCGATGCCCAAGCTGGCATTATTGACGCCTTTGACAAGGTCATCAAGAAGCTGGGCGGTACTACCAACGTCGCCGAGATTACTGCAGAGGCAACCAAGATTGCCCAGGAGCTCCAGCATACCGCGGAGAAGAAATACGCCAAGTACTACGTCAAGGTATTCGCGAAGTTGTCGGAAAGCAAGGAGTACGCCGCCAAGGAGCTCGCCAGACTTCAAGGTTTACTGAACAAGGGTAACTTGGCCAAGGTCAAGGAGGACGAAATGACTGCCAAGAGCAACATCCTTAAGACTTTCGAGGAGAAGGTGCAGGAGAAGAAGGCCCACGAGGAATTGTAAGCTTAGTCAGGAAGGGCAGTGCTATAATATAGCTCAGCCGCAATTTGCGATCATATAGACATCAATGAAATCGTTTTGCTTGTGAGATTCATAAGTTATGCCTACAAAGTAAACATCTAAATCACTGCACTCTGCGATTATTATGTTACAAGCCTTTCTAGGATCGCAGTGAGGAGCTCACTGCATAGAAAGCCGAACAGAAGCTGGATAGAGGGGAAGGATTCATAGGTAAAACTGTATTCTTCCTTTACTCAAGCCCCTCAACAGACTTTTGGGTCGTAAGATTATGGTGAGCCCCTTCCCCAATAGCCTGTTCAAACCGAATTCTTAATAGACTGGTCTCCAAATAACCTCCCCTGGTATCAATAGCATGCGGAAGTTCCAGCTGATTGACTGGCTGCACCATAGACTCCTTTCCAGGACAGTAATATTGGATGTGCCTTCTGAACGCCGAACTCCATTGCTTCCCGCATCACTCAAATTGCATTATCATGAAAGTTATCAGCTCACTTCTTTGGTGTGCGGCTGGCATCGTCCTGAGAGTCACGGGCGAGGATTGAAGACTCGAGATGGTCGAGCCGCCTGGCCATTTCATCCACTGTAGAGGGTGCTGTCAGTTGTGGGGTATAGAAAGCAACGTCTGAGAAAACGCACTCTTGGAGAATAATTCGGTCCATGTGGCGGTAAAGCGGGTAGAAATTCCGGCAAGAAGATCATCAACCATTTTGACGAGGTCGAGAGCGTCTTGGTTGGCTGATGGTTGCTGCGCATATATGTTAGCAAAGTAAACATGAGCATCATGAATCGACACCCGAGAGACGGGAAATATATCCTGCACATACAATAGAAAGGGGCCGGCTCGTCAAACTCTCACTAGCATTGCTCTGTGCGTTTGTAGACATGATTATCCTCCTGCAGACAAGCCGTCGTAGCCCCAGAATATACAATGTTGGTTGTAACAGTGAATCCCAAGCTTCTGGTTATTTTGGGGTCTGTGGATTCACGAGGTCGGTGTGGGGCGCTGAGATGACGGAATTTAGTTGTTCCGCCATGCACACCTTGATGGAGTTGTAAGGGAGGTTAGCCGCGCCCCCGTAGCCAACCCCCATCCTACTCGTACGCCAGGTAGCGCTTGGCGTATAATACAGCTTTGGGGTTGACCTACAGGCTTGTGAACGGGAAGCCACATCTAAGTCTTTCAGTGATTGAAGTTTGCTCATGACATGCACAGAGTGAGCTTCCTCACAGCGTGGTCAATAATGGTCTTTGGATAACTGCTCCATCCTCTTGGCTGCTATCACGCGTCGCCACCATGAACAACGAGAACCGGATTCGCTCTGGGGCGCCCGTCACAGGGCAGCCACCGCATCCGGGCTTTGTGATCATGATGATCATGATGATGTATTTCTACTCCTCGCCAGCCGGGGGACCTCCTCCGGGTATGATTTCTCCAAGGGAGCTCTTCAATACCAAGATGGCACGGGAGTCTCACTCGCTCGATGTCTTGAATCAGACGCGCTGGGGAGATTTCCTGCCAAGGGGAATCGGCGAAGATAAAGAGATGGGTGCCGATGTTCGGTATGTCAATATCACGGGCTTCAGGGAAGAAGATGGATATAGCTGGGGTCGATTGCGCAAGGTGAAAGAGCGCTTTGAGACCTTCCAGCAGGCAGCGAAGCATGGCCTAGAGAAGGATTGGGCTTTGTACAGGAATGTAACAGGTATTGTTAAGGGGCCTTGGGTGAGGAGCCAAGGAACAGGCTTTGAAAACCAGGGAGTGGGTGGCTGGGGTCTGAATCTGTCTGCGATTGCGTCAGACACGAACTGGGCCTGGAATCAATGGAATCGGAATATCACCGGCGCGGAAGGCAAGGCTATGATGCGGATCGAAGATTATAGCAGAGTCCCGGCATTTGGGGAGCCTGAGAAGCAAGAAATGAGAACAGTGATGCCAGGGGCACCCAGGGAGGTTACAGCGACACTGACTGTGCAAGATGAAAGTAGCACGGGCGACGGCTGGGATATGCAACTCCATGGCATCCAATGGCCCCAGACTGGGGCTCTAGTGTTGACAACTACGAGCAATAAGTTTGCAGGCATATATGGCTTGCCACATTTAACGTCAAACAAGGATGAGTTTAACGACACCCAGCATGCCTTGAACAAAACGTTGGGCGACATCCTACACGGAAAACAGAAGTCGGCTTGGATCGATTTGAGAGACCCATGGTCCGAAGACAGCATGATGCCACTGCCTCATTGCGAATACGTTGCATATGTACAGGTTTATCCGATGAAAAAGGACCACGTCAGCCACAGCTCTAAACTGGACGAGCCATCTCTGCAAACTGCCGTTCAGATGATTGAACAAGAACTTCGATTCCCAACGGGTGCACCACTGTCGAAGGCACCTCCACTCCAAATGTCCTTTATTGTCTTCTCTCCGGATTGTGACTTTGTGCTGGAATCAAAAGGACCTCCTTCTTACGCACCAGCCCAAGGCCTTCATCTACAGGGCTACAAACTGGAAGCCTTCATCTCGCGTGTGAAGAATTGGCTCCTCATATGGGGTACATGCCTTTTTGGCCAAGTTCTTTTGCTACTTTCTCAAATGAAGGACGCCTCGACGCCATCAACAGTTGGCAGGATCAGCTTTTACACCATCTCAGTTATGCTCGCCGTGGACTTTACCCTATTTCTCAGCTTGATGATGGTTTCCAACGCAGCGCCTGCTGTTTTCCCAACCATGACGCTCGCTGGCTTTGCTTGCGCCATGGCCGTCGGTTTAGGGTCCAGATTCTTGGCCGATATTAACAAAGTTCAAGCCCCAGAGCGTCGGGAGCGAGAACGAGAACGCGATCGCGCACAGGCTGCTCAGGCTGCCCAGGCAACGGTGCCTCCCAGAACACCGTCGGCCGAGCCCGCTCCAGTTACGACCGGAATTCCTATCATTACACCGGGAGGCGCAGAAGTCCTACCCCTAGCTACACCTACCAATGCGCCGGCTGCACCGGCAGTGGTTGACAATGGCCCTATTATAGTCCCATCAGACCAGGATGTCGATGCTGAGATAGGAGATAACTTGGCAAATGGTGCTGCAGCGATACCAGCCCCTGCAACTGCTCAGAGAGTTACTATCCCACCACTTACACGACGTCAAGAGATGGCGGCATCGCTCGGTCCCGCCCTTTTAGGTCTGATGTTCTTCTTCCTCGTCTCGGTTAGCTCGATATCATGGCCACCCGCTGCCCGCACATTTTACGTCAATATGCTATCTTCCATATACCTATCCTTCTGGGTTCCGCAGATATACCGAAATATCATGCGCAACTGCCGCAAAGCCCTACTGAGGAAGTTTGTTATTGGGCAGAGTCTCTTGAGAGCCGGGCCTATCGCCTACTTTTACCTGAGGAAGGACAACATCTTCTTTGCTGAGACCAGCGGTACGGCCATGGCGATGCTGGGAGGGTGGCTGTGGCTACAGGTGTGGGTCCTCTTTGCGCAAGAGGTCCTCGGTCCACGCTTTGGACTGCCGAAATCGTGGCTACCGGAGGCTTGGGACTATCATCCTATTCTCCGCGAGGACGATGTTGAGGGTGGTGAAATGCCTATTGGGCTTGCGCAGGCCGGTCCGGATGGGAGACGCTCGACTGAAGAGCTGAGGAAGAAACGCGATGGACATAGTAGGACGGTGGATTGTGCGATCTGCATGAATGGGCTCGAGGTGCCTATAGGCCCAGCAAGGGATGAGGGCGAGAAAGAGTCGGTGGGGACCGGCGGCGTTCAAGGGATGCTGGCTAGGAGAGTCTACATGGTCACTCCGTGTCGACATGTCTTCCACAGCGTATGTCTTGAAGGGTGGATGAAGTTCAGGTTACAGTGCCCGATATGCCGAGAGACGCTGCCGCCTCTATAGCGGTCGCGCGTGTACGGAGTATACTCGAGTACAGTACAATTGTAGTAAAGTAAATTACGGAGGTAATGTTCAAATTTGTGAGTGGATCGAGCATGGGACCCCAGAACTTGTGCACAACAGCACAAACTCATGTATCGATCACATATGAATTATGAGGGGAGATACACCATCGATTTGCGCGCAGCCCTGTACCTGGCTTTTATAGTCCCCCCCACTCACAAAACTTATCAACATAACCTCCGTAATTAGATTAGATGTAGTAGATCTCGGACTACTAGACGCTGACCACTAGACACTAGACTACTAGACACTAGACTACTAGACACTAGACTACTAGAATGTCCACCACTCATCACTCACCATCACCACCGCCACGGCAGCCCAACGCCCCCCAAAGCCCAATGTACTGCTCCGAGTACTTTGATGCGATGCTTTACTCGAGTATGCTTTGTTGATATTCCATCGATAATTAATTCCATTACCAATTCCATTACTAATTAACGTTAACTGATTAACTGATTAAACCATTAATTAAACCAACCTAACTATCCTTCTCTTTCCCTTCACAATAAAAGTAGTAGTCGTCCAAAAAGCATGGCCATTGGGACTACCGCTTTCATCCACCACCAACACACAGACACTCCAACTCCAATACACAGACACACCAACATACAGACACCAACATACAGACACACCAACATACAGACACACCAACATACAGACACTCCAACTCACAGACACTCCAACTCACAGACACTCCAACTCACAACACACCAACATACAGACACACCAACTCACAGTCACTCCAACTCACAGACACACCAACTCACAACACACCAACACACAACACACAGACACTCCAACACACAACACACCAACACACAACACACAGACACTCCCAACACACAGACACCCCAACACACAACAAAACAAAACAAACCCTCTCCAAAAAATGTCAATATATTTTAGCTTACACTTCTTCATTAATTGATATTCTTTTCACTGTTGTTAAACTCAATTCATCTTTAATTATTCCCGTTATTAATCGTCGTGGTTGCCATTATTTTACTCGGTTTACTCGACTGAGAATAGAGAGAAGGAGAGAAACAGAGAAAGAGAAAGACAGAGAAAGAGAAAGACAGAGAAAGAGAAAGACAGAGAAAGAGAAAGAGAAAGAGGAAGAGAAAGAGAAAGAGAAACAGAAGGGAAAGCGAAAGCGAAAGCGAAGGCGAAAGAGAAAGCGAAGAGAAAGCGAAAGAGAAAGTGAAAGAGAAAGAGAAAGAGAAAGAGAGAAAGACACACACGGGCCCGCCTTTGCTGCTAGAGCCGTTTCAGGAATTCCCATCTGGTTCGCCAGCCACTTCGCCCCCCAGCCCCAGTCTTCGACGTCGACGTCGTTGTCTGACTCCTGACCCTCCCACTTCCATCAAAAATTAGTCTTCAGTATCCGTTTCTCTCTGTCAGCGTTGTTCTATACGTCTCTTCCAGCACATCGCCTCGAATTCACATGTTCTAGTGTCTGGCAGCCCTCGAAGTTCCCGGCTGTCTCACCCCCCCCCCCCCCCCCCCCCAACACCCCCGAAAACACAAATCCAACCGGGCATCACACACCTCAACATCAAACTCGGCATCAAACTTGACGTAGTCATCCCATACATACTTATCGACACCTCAGCAAGCAGACCCCGCTTGCCTATATGCCAACAATCACAACAACCACCATCTCTCCAAACGCACCGATTGAGCGAAAAGACTCCCAATTCTCAGCCGTCGCGATCTAGCGAACAGTCTGCACGATGAGGGAAGTCAACTTCAGCATCCCGAATGTCAACAAGGCCTCAGTCGGCATCACGACTGCCCTGTATGATCGCCGTGCCCTCGACTGCACTTCAACCTTACCTCTCATCAATTCCCTGAACCACCTCGCATACCTCACGACCTCATCAGCACGCATCAGAGACATCCTTACCGTCGATGGCGGCGTCGAGAGACTGGTCTGCCTCCTCAAGGCAGGCCGAAGCAAAGACATGATGGATATGTGGAAATGGAATCTCGGTTTCCAGTGTGTTGTTAATATCGGCGTCCGAGGCTCTGAACCAGTCCGGACTAGGGTGGTAGAGGCCGACATGGTCCCAGTTATCGCTACAATTCTCGACAACTACATAAAGGTCGTAGACCGGTGCCGAGAGAAGGCGGAGGAAGCGAAACAGAAGGCTATCCAAGAACAAGGATCGAGTGGAAGGCATGGCAGCCGATCGTCGCAGAAAGTGACGTCGTTTGGAAACCGATCTGGCCGCGTGGACGCAGAGAATCGCACATTTAGACGCCAAGCTCCTCCTCCATCCATCGAAATTCCAGCATCATCCGCCAATGCCCCGGCGTCGGCAGATTTCGCTGCCACGGATGCAACACCAACAAACGCTGCTTTCTCCCTCACATCTCCCGAGCGGACAACGTTCGCTGGCAGCCACCATCACCACCATCACCACCATCGCCATCATCACAGAAACCAAGACCCCCGACATACCCCCCACTTTGCTCCACCATCCCGCCATCAAATCCAGCCTCTGGCCACGGCCATCCCGTCGATGGATGCAACCGACGGGTTCAACATCAGACCTGCTCGCGATGTCGAAAGGCTGCCTTCTATGGTTCCATACCACCACAGTGGATTGACTTCGCAGCCCGACTCCCCGACTACGCCACTTCCTCCCACACAACTGCGATCACCTACAACACGTCCCGTACCCGCGTCCAACCCAACTGCACGGGCTCGGAGGAGGCCATCTATCCGACATCAAACTTCGATGGGTGGTGAACAAGAGGATCCGAATGGCGATAGCATGGTCTCCGATGAGTCTGGGGAGCCGGATATCGCTACCGCAAGCACAGATATCCAGACGTCGGTCGGAATTCAGGACATTAGCATGGATGATGAAGGCGATAGTATGATCACGGCTGTGGAGACTCCTCTGGGCCTAACCACACCCACTGTATCGGAAGCTCAGGATGCAGGCACATTCAACATCACACACCGATCAGCAATTGACGGAAGTCTGATCGCCGATGCCACAACCCCAACAGGACCACCAATGGGCCTCTCCCCAGCCCAGACAAATATGGCCAACAACTCACCCGCCATCATGATTACGACTATCCCAAGATACTTGCTGGATCGGCCCACTCCAGCAAACGCACAAGTCCTTGCGGCTATGCCACGCGACGAAGACGTTCTCATGTCTTTGCAGCTCCTCGCATATGTTTCTAAGTACTGCAACCTCCGAAAGTATTTCCAACGGTCGCATCTCGTTCCAAAGCTCAAGATCGGCAAGGAGCTTCATCTTCTGGATCAAGATGACAGCAGCTGCCACGCACAAGCTGAGGACGGTTGTGAGAGTGACGAGGAGGAGGAGTACCTCTTGCCTGACGATTTCAATATATTCCCCCTCGTCGAGAAGTTTACCGTGCGTCACCACAGCCAGGATATGCAATACTGGGCTGGCGTGGTTATGCGCAACTTGTGCCGCAAGGACGACACAAGGGGAGGGATCAGACAATGTGCATACTACCAATGCGGCAAGTGGGAAGAGTTTACACGGCAGTTTGCCAAGTGTCGACGATGCCGCCGTACAAAGTACTGCAGCAAAGAATGCCAAAAGAGCGCATGGGTTTACCATCGCCATTGGTGCGTCGAGGCGTCTCAATGATGAAGACAACAACCACACTCCGACGAAACAAGCATACTGGCCAAGCCCAGCTTTGAACAAATCTTAATTCCGAATAGCGACTCATTTGCGTTCCATTGCATGGCGTCTGCATCATGATACCTCTCAGGCTGGTAACCCCAGCCTGTAGTGCGAAATACAATCTGCAAAACCCGACGAGTCCTCTGGTCACTCGTCGGACGAATTTCCTTTGTCCGCCTGCCTCTATGTCAACAAGACACGATTACGATGCCCCTCGTCAACCCCCGTCGGGCGCTGACTTGGCCGAGGGTGCCTAGCACCTTTGGGATTACCGTAGTTGGTAGTGAACCGGGTTGGTCGTCACTACCAGCGCCGGGTTGGGGGTGGAAACAATAATGGGGCTTTTCTCTCTCGAATTTGCACCACGTAGCTTGGAGGATTAAGGGTACGAGCGAGGCGTTGTTCTTATTTGTTACTAGTTTAGGATGGACATAGCACTCTCCTTGAGATGGGGGGCTTAAGCGGATGGTTAGGGGGGGATGCGGGTGGGGTGTGAGCACCGTTCAAAACGAATTATATGTATACTTATTGAATAATATGATGCATCTGAATAGGACCGTGGTAATGAAGTGACTGTTCTACGAGCTGCCTCTATTTCGGGGACAAGTATGTGATGGTGGCTGTAGTTGAAGGTGTAGGCTGCTGTTGGAGACTGCCCATATGCAAGGCCAGTATTGAATTTCCATGGGCGCCACATGATCATACGCGCGAACTATGGTCTCGATCATAAGTCCCATTGTATGGCAAGACCTTGGTCCTCGATGGAGGAACAGGCAAACTTTCCTCCACAAACTCATGTTTTTTCCCTACGAGGTTGTGACAGCAATGACCGTTGCAACCTCCAACTTCCTGTATACCAACAAATATGCACTACTCTTGTAGAATAAAATAAACTGCGGTGAGATAATAAACCGCCTTCGTAAATAGACGTGCATTCGACGTACTATGGTGGTGTTGCTATCTAATGAATACAACCAACGACTGGGGAATAATTTAACTGTTGCAAATATTAATACAATTTATTGCCTTTATAAGGGTCTAATTCCGAAAATTACCCCACCACCAACCAGAGACACAAGCCCGGTGACCTGACCTTATTACCGCATAATAACTACCTAGAACCCAATACACCACTACATACGACCACAAAACGATTATTTCCAACGTTCGTCCTGTGATGATTTATAGGTTTTGAGTATCCGAGCCATGTCACGTGCGCCACATCCAAATGTGAAGGCGGTCAAGTGAACTAGTCCCAATCCGAATACTAGCCTCCAAAAAAGCCAAAAAGTTACAAGAGAAAGTCGGTCCCGCAGATACTGCGCCGGTAGGAAAACAGCAACAAATCTGAGCAACCAGCAGTCAATCAAAATGGTCAACAAAAGCAAGCTGAAGATGGCGCTGGTCGCGGAGAAGCAGATCGACTTCAAGCAGGAGCACCAGAAGAAGATGGTTAAGAAGGCGCGGAAGGAGAAAAAGACCAAGCAGCCTGTAGCTGATGTAGCGGAGGAGGAGGAAGGTGAAGATGACGATGAGGAGGAGGACGAGGAGGGTATCCGCGAGCTCATGGAGCTTGATGAGAAGGAGAATGGCGATGAGTACCGCCGCACAGAGGTAAATAGCCTCAATTCAACTGCAAAGATTGATTCTAACCGCTCCCAGGTTGATCTTGCAGGTATCGACGATAGCGACACTGCTAGCTCCAGCGGTGTCGAAGATAACAATGGCCTCTCCGATGACGACATGTCCGACGAAGAAGACATCCCTCTCTCCGACCTTGAAGACCTCGACGACGAAGACAAGGAGGACATGATCCCTCACCAGCGCCTGACGATTAACAACACCACCGCCCTGACCACCGCGCTCCGCCGCATCGCACTCCCCCTCAAGACCCTCCACTTCACCGACCACCAATCTCTGACCACCGCCGAGCCCGTGGCCATCCCTGACGTCTCTGACGATCTGCAGCGCGAACTGGCGTTCTACCAACAATCGCTCACTGCCGTCCAGGAGGCCAGGAAGCTGTTGAAGGCCGAGGGCGCGCCGTTCACCAGACCGACGGATTTCTTTGCCGAGATGGTCAAGGCGGATGAGCACATGGCGAAGATCAAGGCGAAGTTGGTGGAGGCTGCTGCGGGCAAGAAGGCATCTGCTGAGGCGAGGAAACAACGCGACCTGAAGAAGTTCGGCAAGCAGGTGCAGAATGCGAAGTTGCAGGAGAGACAGAAGGAGAAGACCAAGACGATGGAGAAGATTAAGGACTTGAAGAGAAGTATGCTTTACCCACCCCAACATGGAATTTAGACGGCGAATAGGTTACTAACAGCCAACCAGAGCGTCAAGATGGTGACGGCCCAACCGGCACCAACGAGGCCGACATGTTCGACGTCGCCCTCGACGAAGCCTCCACCAAGCCCGAAAGCCGCGACCGCAGCGAGAAGCGCAACAAGCGCACTAAGAAGGACGAGAAGTACGGGTTCGGCGGCAAGAAGAGGCACGCCAAGAGCAACGATGCCCATACCACGGGTGACCTCACGGGCTTCAGCAGCAGGAAGATGAAGGGACAGAGCAGACCTGGGGCGGCGAAGGCGAGGCCGGGGAAGGCGAGGAGGGCGGGGAAGAAGTAGTGTAGGATTTACTCGTGGGTGACGAGTGCATTTGGAAATGGCGTTAGGTGGTTTGAGGGCAATTGCGAAAGAAAATGTAGTTAAATGGAATAAGGAGAATCTGCTATGCACACTACTGGGAGCTACGTTCGTATGATGTAATCTTGTAATTCTCATATTTACGCTCTGAAGTCTATCTAGCCCATGCCGTTGCACTGTCTTGACGTAGCCGCTGGGTGGTTTTTAATACGGATTTACGCACCTCTGACAATGGATTTACTCTGTAGCTCTCAAGATATTCTTGCAGGATGCACTTAAGGTTTTGCACATACCAGGGATTCCGCAGCAATACCTTCTGTAAACAAACCCAATAATATATTGAACTATATAACGACTAAAGCGGAAACAACGCTGGTTAGGTTCCCGCAAGTATACAATATATAACGACCAAAATGGAAACAACGCTGCTCGAGTTCCTGCCATTTAGAGAAAACAAACTCGCTAACCGCAACAAAGCTCTTGTCATTTGGCATCCTGTCTTCAGTTAGCGACGAACGAACAACCATGCCGATTGGACTGTGCCATCACCAGTTCATATGCCAGCGTTCCATAGATCGGTACCATCTAATAGACCGCCCCATACATCGTTCTCGCTATCCTCCCCGTACAGGCCTGTCTTTTTAAAAGACAGCCCACGGCGCCAAGCCTCCCCCCTTTCCCAACCACCCGTATATCTATCCTCCACCAAGCCGTCTCTGATTTGGTCGACATATCGTATCAGAGGATTTACTTTTGCGAAGTGCGCCTCGATAATCTCGGAATTGAGGCAGTACTTGTATGCGCTATGATGGCTGATCACTGCACACCTGCTCAGACATGGGAGGTTTATTCGCCCTATTCCCAGAAATGATTTGTCCGGACTGCTCGCAGCGATCGAGTCGAGACCGCCGAGCTCGTCGGACAGAGCGGAAACGTTGGACGGATCGTAGTCCTTAGAGAGGACCCATTTACCGGGCGACGCTGCCAGCTTATGCTCTAGCTGTTTCTGGAGGTCCGGGTTGCAGAAGGTCCCGTCTTCGTTGTAGACCCACTCTTCTTGGTCATCGTTGAGGTAGAATCGACCTCGTCTGTGGGCAAAGCCGGCTCCCATGCCGATGAAAATAGTCGCCGAACGCCCCAAGTCGCGTACCAGCGAGCAAATTTTGGTGAGGTGTCCAGCGACCTTAGAGTTGAGTTTGTTGATGTCGGTAATCAAAAGTGAGAACTGCACCTTCCGGACCATTAATGGGTTTTCCTCTTCATCCCACGTCCTAGCGATCTGTACAGCGGCAAGCTGTATATCTAGGAGCGCGTCCGCGGAGCGGATTGGTATCACGATTGTGTCCTTTGGTGAGAACCATAGCGTTTTTATAAAGAAGTTGAAGGGATGGGCCATGATGCTCATTTGGAATGTGGGCTGGTATCTTATGTTCCCGCCATGGAATAACCTTAACCCAGTAACAGGGAAGATTCTCCTCTTCCCTATATACCTTGATTCTTGACAGACCTGGAAGAGTACGGGTGTTCGGCCCCCAAAAAAGTTGTCGGGCAGCGTCAGAACATCCTCCTCCGGATGGAAAAGCGCATAATATCCCATAGAAGGGTCCCACAATACCCGGGGCCCCAAACTATGGTCGAACACTGCCCGACCCGGCGGTGGCATACAATGACACCAAATCTTCAATCGAAGCTCCGGGAAAAGCTTATTAAATATCGTGAATCGCTTGAGATTTTGGGACCGATCAAGCCTGTCTTCCATCCATGAGCTGCCATTCGGTTCCTCTATTGGGGCAGCGCATATATCTGCCGATATGATAGGCATGTCTAACGGTGTTATATCCAAAAGAGGCCGAAATTAAATCCGATGAATGGCTGGTGAGAGTAGTTATGATTCGAAGAAAGGGGCTCGGGTTTGGCGTTACGCCTGTGATAAAATGATAACTATCGTATTGAAGGAGAGCGGGCATCGGAGGCTTGGAACAGCAATAGTATGTACTTGATATATGAGAAAAATATATCGAGCAGAAATGAAACCCTGGAATGTGGAGAGCCGCTATATGTAGCGGCGTAGGGAGTCAAGTTGGAAATTAGCACTAAGTGAATAATGGCACCACAAGCTGGGAATGGCACCAAAGTGAACCCTGCGCACCGAAGTAAAAGTATGCCCCCTGGGAGTCATCTTGAGCTCGTAAAGAAAATGTGTAAAGTAAAGCAAATGTAGCTGCAGTTCGCGTTATTCAGAGCGAAGGTTTGAAGTAGGCGGTGCCTTGAAGCGTGCCTGCCGCCAGTTGGATTAAGGTTCGCCGGGCCCAACACTAAAGTTCGTCACTTGAGAGGCCACAAGGTATCCATCAAAGCGAACTTGAAAAACACACGAAGCAAAGAAACAACGTCTAGAGGGTATATTAAGTAAGTAGGACGTATGAACATTGTATATAATCAGTCACCACTGATCTTTGCGTGCCTGAAGTACTTCATGCCAACCCAGGCGACCACAACCCAAACCCATGCCATAACTGCCGTCAATATGATCAGCGCCGGGTAATATCCGACTATAGGTAGCGTTGGGTCATCTTCAAGCTCTGGAGGCGCATACGGCGTCTCTCCAACGTCCCAAGCCCAACTCCAAACCCCGAGGCAGGACCCCATGCCTATAACGAAAACAACCCACGTGACTATCAGGACAACCCAACCCCACCACTCTGTGTCTGCGTAATCCCAGTCATCTTCGGATGAAGTGAGGGCCACTGCTGTGGATCCTCCATGAGGGAGAGGAGAATTTGGCTTCTTCGTTGACCGTCGTCGAAATAGCGCCCCTGGACCTTCCGTTGGGAAGTAAAGAGGGATGTTATTCATAGGCGGGGAGAGAAGATGCTTCGGAAACGACAGTACATCGTCGTCATCGGTAGTAGATGTATATGAGAGAGTTGGACTGGTTTTCAGATTGGGTGCCGTAGGGTCAATAGGTACTGGGGCCAGGATAGGCATTGGAGAGTATGGATTTTGCACCCCATTATTTGTGTTGTGGTCAATCGAAGAGTAGCTTGATGTGTCTAGAGCTCCCAAATTAAACCCTCTGTTTTGCTTTAAATCTTCAGGCGAGATTGGACTGGACACATTGTCACCGTCGATGTCGGCCGCAGCTCTTGTGATCAACGAAGGGATTTCGAGCTCCTTCTTTTCCCGCTGTGCGCCTCTTCCAAGAAGCGCCGCTTTCCTCAAAGAACCCTTCCTTCGTCTTGTCTTCAGCTGCTGGACGGCGACGGCCATTGCTCGTCCAGGCTTTTTAGGAGATGTCGGCTGGCCGTTCGCGACGGGCTCGGGGCTCGGTGGGCCATTGTCGGCTTGGATTTGGTTGTCTTCGGCGCTTGCTCTCAAGAAAGAGAGCTTCGAAAGTCCGCCCGAAGGGCTCCTTTTATGTCCATTCGGCGCGACATCATCGCTTGATGCCCCCTTTGCTGCGTCTGTTTGGCGCTCCTCGCTCACACCGCTTGCCCTTGTACCATCATCCATGCTCTGCAGGATTGTTGTCGAAGTCATTCATCCTCTGAAATCATTGTGCGATCGCGGCCGGTTTGCAATAACTGCTAGCTCGTTGCAATTGTCGCGATGGGCCGTTATTAAAGTTGTTGGATCCAGATCGTGGTTAGTTATCTGTAGGGTGTTCTAGGGCGGATCGGGCGGCCGCTTCTCGACAGTCCGATAACGCCACGGTGGTTGTGACCTTGCGCATGCAACCCGGCTTTGTTTATTACATTGACCTTTCACAAGCCGCAAAAGATATCGCATTACCTACGGAATGCTGCAGATATTTCGAACCGCAAACACCGTACCTTGCTGCCACGCATAAGACGAGCAGCAATGGCTTCGAATCTCCCAATCCCCCAACCGCCACGGACCCCAACGCCGCCGACTCCTAACCCTGAGGAGGACAGGTCTGGCCTTGGTATCTATGGCGGTCCCCGACCTGTCAGTTCGACGATATCTTTCGATCCGAATTCTCTTTCGCCCATGACGGATACATTCCCTCACCGGTTTGGATCAATGGCTACACCTATACCATCTTCTGGAAGTATCGGTAGCCCAGCGAGCATCGATGCCCAGGACAGTGATAGTGGTGGCGCGCCTGCCAAAAACCCCTTCAGTTTTCAAACCCAAACCTATACAATGGCACCCATTGCTAAATCTGTGAGTTAACTTTGGTTGAGAGACTGGTTTGAATGGCCAGTGACAGCTAACACAAGCAGAATATTGGACAGCGGCGCGGCCATAGATACAAGCATAGTAGCGTTTCGACACAGCACCAAGTATTCCTGGAGCCAGCACCGAGAGCCCCATTGGCGCTGCCTGCATCTCTACCTATACCTACATTTAAGGAAGCATGGCAGAGCATGTCCCGCGAGCAAACAACTCGACTGGTGTGGTGCCTTTGCCATATGCTTGTTGCAATATACGTGGTATACAGTGCCGCTGGATCCCTTGCATTAACAGCCCTCTCCCATCTCATCTTCTTCGATGCTATAAGTGCAACCATCTGCGTGGGGGTCGATGTGTTCTGCAACTTTGAAGCCTGGAAACGAAGCTCCATACGCCACCCGTTTGGCCTGGAACGCGCCGAAGTTCTAGCTGGCTTTGCCATGTCCGTCTTCTTGCTCTTCATGGGCTTCGACCTCATCTCTCACAACCTCAAGCACCTCCTTGAGTCGCTTGGCACACACACCCCTCACCGCCCACATACCCACGAACGCGTCTCCCCAGGGTCAGTTGACTCAGCCGCCCTTGCTGCAATCGTCGCAACTCTCGTATCGGCGATCGGGCTGAAGAACCACGCGCGCATCTCACATGCTATGCGGTTTGCTTACATCTCGTCGCTCCCATCAGTGCTCTCCAACCCGTCCCACTTCCTGACCCTATCATTTTCTACCGTCATGCTCGTCCTACCCCTCCTGTCCGTGACGCTGTACCAGTGGCTAGATCGACTTCTTTGCGGCCTCATCTCATTCTCGATGTTCTTTCTTGGCATTTGGCTTGCCATAGCCCAAGGCCTCATGCTCCTGATGTCATATTCAGGAAAGGGGGTGGATGAGTGTTTGCACGAAATCAGCACGGAGCCGGAAGTGTGTGCCATTGAGGAGGCAAAGTTCTGGCAGGTTCATTATGGGCTTTGCATGGCGAATCTCAAGATACGAATTAGGGGAAGCAGGGCAACGGTTGATGAAGGCCGGATGAGTAAGGTCAGGGAACGGATTTCAATGTTGGTTAAGAATCGGCTTGGGGGAGGTTACGGGAGGGGTGGAGTTAAATGGGAGGTCACGACACAGTTGACTCTAGATGGGAACTAAATGGGAACCTGTAATATTAAACGAGTATATTCTATAATTTTGTAGAAGGGCTAGAGTGTGTCAGACGGTCATTGGAGAAATGATTTGAAATGATAAAACAGAGGGTATGAACATAACACCCTGTTTTCCTTCCAACCATCCATATCCTGTGCCTCGAGCTACATGGCAAACTGCCACATTAACTGTTACTGCCTTTTCCGCAGTGACAATACACGCAAACCGAAGACGTCTATCCGCCATGAAAGACACGCCACAAAAACTCCAAAGCCCAATGTCTGTCGACTTTCCCTTGCGAACCCTTGACAACGCGCTAAACATAATCAAACAAAAGACGCTTCAGAAAAATAACCTCATGACAGCTCTGGGAAGTACTGTGTGATCTTGGCAGCACTGCCATAGTTTGTTCTATCCGGAGTAGGACTTGTGTTTGCACTCGTTGCACGCCCCGACCTCGGTGACTGGTAGTCTTGGTCCAAATCCCAGGGAACCTGGGGATCGACCTCTATCAAGCTGACCCGCTTTTTCTTGATGTTTCCCTGCTCCTGCGGCCTTGATGGGTCTCTGCCGGATAAGACTGGCCGATACCCACTGTCACTTGCATTCTCAGGTGAGAGAGATCGCACGGATAGCCCTGACATGCACTCGTTGAGGCGCGAAACAGGAAGAGAAACATGCTTCTTGTAGGAGTCCGACGGCGAAGTTGCTTTGGAGCTTGATACGGATGACGGTGTGGGTGTACCGGCTTCCGTGCACGGCTTACTTGTTGGGTTTGTAGTGAGGCCCTTTTCAGCGACAAACTGTGCGGAGCGCTTATGCGCAGGGTTTTGACTGTAGTTCTCATCGATAATCGGGTGGACCATGACAGTTTGGTTATGGATTGTGAGAGTCGAATTGGTAGGGACAGTTACCCAATTGTCTAGATCCTTGTTAGATACTGCTCCAATCTTGATCTGTGCACACTGGAAAGAAGAACATACCTCGTTCGAAAGTCAGTGGCTCGCTGGCAACAAGCACAATATCGGCTCCCTTATCGCGCCTGTCCATTTGGAAGTTGCCCTTCTTCTCGTCATGCCACGTCGATCCGGATGAGTAGTATAGACTTGCAGCTTCGTCTGTCTGGCTACTCACATACCGTGTGCAGATAACACTGTGGCCATCTGTGACAGCGAAGTTTAGAAGACTGCGGGTGTCCACATTTTCTTCTACGATCAACTTTGGTGGGACTTCTGCAATGAACTGGTTGATGTCCTTGATAACCTTCAACATTGCCTGGCGAAGGACGCCTGGTCCAAACCCGTGCTCCGGAGGATTGCTTGGGTCATGGCCCATTCGCTCTAAGGTGTCAAGGTAGAGAGCAAATGCCCATTCACTGTCGGTACCGCCGCAGACGCCCAAATACCATTTATCGGCCAACCGCTCCCCTAACCGACGCTTGATGTACTTCCAGGCTCCTAACCCTCCATTATGCATCCACATCAAACTTCCATGGCGGAAAGGGTGGCAGTTGTCATCGCTCAGAGAGCCTTCCGTCGTGGCGCGAACATGGGCAAATATGAGTGGCGACGCGGTTTTCGAAGCAATGCGCTGGAGGTTAATGCAGTTCCATGCGGGTATAGTCGAAGTGAAAATGCAAGGTTCCGGGCCTAGCTTCGGGTCTGTATAGTATCCAATTCCAAAGCCATCGCCGTTGTGAGGTCGACGAGTATCCTGCGTTGAGTCAGTTTGCCATGTACAGAATTCGGTGCGTTATCGGAACGGCGAGACATACCAGCCGGAGCCTGGAATCAAAGGACTGTGTGAGGATCGAGTGGGATGGATCGAGGATCAATTTTGATAGTAAAATTTCATCGCTTCCTTTGTAGACCTGGTCCAGAGTTAGTGGTAGTTAGAGCTGTGCGACGGAGGCAACTCACCAAAAAGCGGCACATGGCTGGCCACGGTGTGTTGGGTAGAAAGTAGGTATGGAGTTCCAAAGTCAATTGCCAGCAGACTTTGATATATGTAGGCCTTGCTGGTGTAGTATGAACTTTAATATAGCGATGAGGGAATTCCAACCTCTCCGCTCATTGGTGGCTGTGTGGGATGATGGCGCAATCGATGCTGTGGAAGAGATAAGGGACGAGGAAGAGGGAGGCAACGGTCGCAAGTAATATGACAGTTATTGGGAGTCGACGTCGCGGATGTTTTACACTGGAAACAAACAACAGATGGGAATGGCGACGAAGCAGTTTATGACGTGATTGAGACAGTTGTTGAGAGAGAGGGTTGGGAAAGTTGATCTTGTAGGAGAGACCAAATGTGTTATCAGTCACACAGTCCCGTTCGTTTCCCCGAGGCTGACCATTTCCTCCATTTCTCAGCCTGGTGGTTGTCTCCCCGTTGGTTGACCAGGGGTGGTATAGGCGGCTACCGTAGCAAGCTTCTGCCCCCAAGGAACGATGGTGTCATGTGATTTTCTAACGTTTCGCCACCTCCGAGGCATACACGGTCACGTGAAGCTAGTGCAGTACGAGTACGAGTGAGCCATGGCCAAATTCAGCTTACGTAAGGCGATCTTGTAACTCAAGTGACGGAGGGGAGGGGGAGGCATCATGTCAAATCATAACTGTACATAATTTAAGATCGACCTCTCTGCCGCTGCAACCCGACTGCGAAACATATCGACGTGATCAGATATAGTATTTATGGTATAGAAGACTACCACCTCCTCGAAAACTACTGGTGCCACTTTCGCAATGAGCGGGAGGCTCCTGTCCACCCGTCTCCTGCCTTTGGCGCGACGCGGCGCAAGCCAGAATGCGCGGCAATTCCACCATCGAGCCAGTTCCTCTGCCGGTGGCCTCCTCCGATCCGATGTTGCTGTACGTGTGGCCAGGCGCCGCATGTGGCCGCTGGGCTACAACTCGATGCACAACTCCGTAGCCGTCCGAAACGCCTCCTTCGCCCGCATTCTTCCAAAGCTTGCCCTGAAATTCGCGAGGATACCGGCCATGTTCGGAGGTGCAATGATAGCAGGAATTGCATGGATCCAATACCAAGCCACCCAGGCCGGAAACTATGCTATGGATGTATTTCAGCAGACGGCTGATACTGTTGGCGGAATAGCGGGATCTCTTTTCGGCACGGTGGCAGGCACTGCTGAGCAGATGAAGCGCGGGCTCGAAAATACAAAGGAGGAATTACCAGAAATGCCAGAATGGTTACAGAAGGTGCTTCGGATACATGAGGAAATAGGAACAGGTTCGGGTGGATCTGGAGGGAAGGGAGAAGGGGAATCACCACAGGAAGCCCGCGTCGGTACCGCTGCTGCTGTTGTAGGCTCTGCTGCAGCATATGGATATGGCCAGTCAGACGAGGAGGATGATCGATCAGAGCCGGAGGCCGCAAGGGATGACCAAATGATGGTACTAACGAAGAAGATGATCGAAATCCGATCTCTCCTCCAGACAATTGGCCAATCCGAAGCTCTTATACTACCATCGATTGTCGTTATCGGTTCGCAGTCATCAGGGAAGAGTTCCGTCTTAGAAGCGATTGTGGGGCACGAGTTCTTGCCAAAGGGATCTAATATGGTTACCAGGCGTCCGATCGAGCTGACACTTGTCAATACGCCCGATTCTATGGCCGAATATGGAGAATTCCCAGCACTTGGCCTGGGGAAAATAACAGATTTTTCGAGTATTCAGAGGACGCTTACGGAACTGAATTTGGCCGTACCAGACACCGAGTGTGTTTCCGACGACCCGATACAGCTGACTATATCGTCACCGCATGTCCCGGACCTGTCACTTATTGATCTACCCGGGTATATTCAAGTCGTCGGCCAAGGTCAACCTTTGGAACTGAAGCAGAAGATATCGGATCTATGTGACAAGTACATACAGGCTCCCAATATCATTCTGGCTATATCGGCTGCTGACGTGGATCTTGCAAACTCTACTGCGCTGAGAGCGAGCAGAAGAGTCGACCCTAGAGGAGAAAGGACGATTGGAGTCGTCACAAAGATGGACTTAGTTGACCCGCGACGAGGCTATGACATCCTCACCGATCAAAAGTATCCGCTTCGCCTCGGTTATGTGGGTGTCGTGTGCAAGGCGCCTCAATCAGTTGGTCTGTTTAAAAAGGGCAGTGCCAACATCACCTCGGCCATCGTCAAAAACGAACATGCCTATTTCTCGGCCCACCCAGTCGAATTCGGACCAGAGAATGGGCTGAACACAGGGACAACAACTCTACGCAAGAAACTCATGCAGGTACTTGAGAAGACAATGGCGTCTAGCCTCCAGCATACAAGCGATGCAATCCACCAGGAGTTGGAAGAAGCTACATACGAGTTTAAGGTCCAATACAACGATCGACCATTATCTGCCGAGTCTTACCTTGCAGAGAGTCTTGATGCTTTCAAGCATTCGTTTAAAGCGTTTGCCGAGGAGTTCGGAAGGCCCCAAGTCCGAGAGATACTCAAGGATGAACTTGATCAGCGGGTTCTTGATCTCCTGGCCGCACGATACTGGAACAAGCCCATCGAAGGCCTCGAGGCGCCGGTTTCTGAGCCAAGCGTCCTGGCAGATCTCCCGAAAGCAGACGCCGATTCTTTATACTGGCACCGCAAACTCGATGCCTCAACGTCAGCAATTACGAAGCTAGGTATCGGACGATTAGCGACCACTGTTGTCGCCAATGCCATCCAGGCCAATGTCGATCGACTCGTCACCCAGTCGACTTTCTCACATCACCCCTTTGCACGCCAAACAATCACAGAAGCGTCATCGGGGATACTGAATGAGAGGTTTTACAGCACTAGCGATCAGGTGGAAAACTGCATCAAGCCATTTAAGTTTGAGATTGACGTTGAAGAGTCCGAATGGGCTCGTGGCCGAGACAACATTACGCGCGTGTTGAAGAGGGAGCTGGTCGCCTGTGAATCAGCACATAAGGTCGTCGAAGATAGTGTTGGTGGACGAAAGAAGCTCAAAGACGTGATGAATTTTGTGGACCGTGCACGCAAGAGCGAGATCCAGGTGGATGGGAATGGTACCGGCGGTGCTGGCGGGTTCAGTGCCGCACTGATCAAGAAGGGTAAGTCGAATTCCGTATGTACGCCGTACTTACAGCTGACTCATTATTACAGGTCAAGAAGCGGTATTCCTTCGAGATCGCGCCGATATAATTAAGATGCGCCTCATGGCCGTTAAGTCCAAGCAGTGCGCATCCCTCAAGAACAAGTATTATTGCCCTGAGGTGTTCCTGGATGTAGTCGCGTCGAAACTCACCCAGACCGCTGTCCTCTTCCTAAATGTGGAGCTACTGTCCGAATTCTACTACAACTTCCCCCGAGAACTCGACGCTCGTCTCGGTCGCCATTTATCTGACGATGAGGTCCAGAGATTCGCTCGGGAGGACCCCAAGGTACGCGCGCATTTGGAAGTTATCAGACGGAAGGAGCTGTTGGAGCTGGTTCTTGAGAAGATGGAGAGCTTGAGGGCGCTGGAAGGCAGGGATAAGAGGAGAGAGGCAGCTGGGAGCAAGATCAAGGGGGCCGAGAAGGAGAGGAGCAAGGGATGGGGGCTGTTCTAAGAAGTAGAAACAGTGGTGGCGGAATTATATTCCCTTTCGATGAGGAGTTTGGGTATTTTATTTGTTGTATATGATATCACTCTGTCCACTCTTGGGAACCAATCCAGAGATTAGAAATGGGAAGGCGCTATAATAATGGCAACAGGCTTGATGTTCTATAAAATGGTGATTTATCTATGAGCCGAAGGCTGAAAATTGCCCAGGCTGAAATCTAAAACTAGTGCGCAGCGCTAAACTGGGATCATATGTCACAAAGATCAACAATGTTTCAGCACCCCCTGCTCAATCACTCACAACTTCTCGTAAATAGTTGTTATGAAGATGGTGGGTGTCACAACTCGCCACCTGATCAGTAGAAGTTTAGCAGTAAGTACTCTTACAATATCTCAACTCAATATCTAACTTGGTCTCCGGCACATGATTGATGCGCCCCGAAGCGGACGTGGTTCTATATTGGACGGCGATTATATGTTAAATATAACAGCGCCTGTGCTGCCGGAAGGTCGGAAGCTTACGCAGCCTCATCTCCTTCCGCATCCAGAAGCCGACTGCTCTCGCTGTGTTCGTTCTTGCCTGCTCCAGGATACAAGATGTAATGTTGGATGATAAACATCGAGTCAAACAGGAGTGATGAGTTACCCAGGGAGAGCTTGACGGGGTTCCCGGTAACCCCAGACCAGTCGCGCTGTATATATGAATCGATTCCTAGTTGTCCTAGCGAGAGAAAGCCGCCGATAAGGTCGAGCAGAATTTGGTGGATCGACCAGCCGTGGGTGGATTTGTTGTTGTAGTTGGTAACTAACTGCGGTATGTATTTGATGAGGGTGACGACGAGCTTGACGTATGAGATCGCGTATACCTGTGCATTTCGATGAGCATTCGCCTCTACTGTAAACTGTATTCAGCTGCCAGTGATGAGAAACTCACAACATCGATCCCTGCCCATCCTGTGACTACATCATCGCCTGGATAGCTCGCCACCACAACTGCCACGCCCCCAATGCCTATAATACTGCCAATGAAGATACCCATTACGGTTCTGCCGACCCTTTCCCTCCGTCTGCCCCTATCCTCGAAGCCCCAGATCTGTGGGAAATACTGCGACATGGAGATGGTACTGCATATCGTCGCGTGGGCGGCGAACGCGACATCGTTGAGCTTCACCGTCGGGGTGAGCCCATGGTTGCGCGCCGCATACTGTCGTCGGATTTCAGGGGAGTATAGGAAAGCGGTATTTGAGATGAAGTAGGCAGCAAAACCGAGGATGTTGATCGCAGGGAAGTCAATGGTAGCCCCGCTCGTGCTCCGACGATAGTAGTTGAGCAACGGTTGCGGGTAGAAGGAGAGCGACCAGGATATGAAATATCCCCATCCAAAGATGTAGCTCAGAGCAGGGAGAAGCAATGAGGCCGTCATGGTTACATGGCCGCAGGCCGGATATTGCAAAATAGGTTGGAATTGCGATATTGTTTATATATACGGTGTAAAGATGTCATCGTGAATGCCGAGACGGGGACGGGGGACGGGACTAGCCGGTCATGGGACTAGCCGATCATGAGATGTAGCCTATCATGGGGCTAACCGCCGTCATGGGGCCGCTGCAAGATCGATGATATCAACCCCGCGTATCTCGTATCTCGTACAGTACTCCGTATCTCGCATCTCACCTAAGACAAGAAGGGCTTAGAATCTAATCATATCAGATCTTATCAGATCAAACATCACTTCAAAACGTCAATATATTCCCGATTCAGTCCACAGTGACGACGATAATGACGGCTACTCGTACTACCGCCTCTGCCTCAGCTGCTCTGTCAGTCTCACATTCCTCCTCCATGCTGTGAGTTTTTCAAGATTCCAGTATCCGTGCTGTGCTCTCACCTTAGCTCTTCTCTGCTTTCCCTATGGCCAACAACAGTCTTGCCTTCCTCGCCTTCCCAGGCGAGATCCGCAATCGCATATATACCTTCCTGCTCATTGTCCCACCGCCTTCTACAACTACAGCGCTGGGAGAAACACCACCCATCCACCCGGAGATTCTACGAGTAAACAAACAGATCCACTACGAGGCGCTGCCATTCCTCTACGCACATAACACCTTCATCGCACATCCCATTCGTCTCTACAACTTCCCCCAGCTCCGCCGATGGATCGAACCCGTCCAGGCACCCCACCTCATCTCACTTATCCGACGTTACCACGTTTTCGTAAGGCTAGAGTGCGATGCGGGATTTTCTGCTGAGGCGGCGACAGACGCATTTAGTGGGATCGAAGAACTGACGGTCGAGGTCTTCGAAAGCCAGTTTAAGGGTAGTGGCAATGATGTATTGAGGCTGTTTGAGGGAGTGAGAGGAGTGAGAAAGGCGCGGGTGTTTGGATGTATTGCTGAATGGCCCGAGTATGTGGCTTGGCTTCAGAAAAGGATGATGAGTAAAGAGGGAAGTGAGTTATTGGGGTCAGGGGGGAGGAAAGGCACCGAGGATTTAAACCTCTGTCCTCACATGTCCGAAGCAGTGCAGGTAGCCGCATGAGGATTAATCGACGAGAACATGAAAATTTATGTAGTTACGATGTATATACCAATGTATAATTATCAAATCTAAGTCCGAGATCCTCTATTGATCCATGCCGTCTAATTCCACCAACCGGGTCACGACAGCGACGACCTCGTTATTCGAGAGGTCCATCTCTGGCTCATCGATCTTCTTCGCGAGCACATCGTCTAGCATGCTCCTTAGCCTACTGACCAAAACACCAATCCTCGCCCATCCACGGAGTCTCAACCATCCATCCACGATCAGCCCACGCCCAAGGGTATCCAAAGTGATTGGGCCTGAAAACAAGAGTGCAGTATATGAGTTAAATGCTGTAACATATTAGTATTAACTCGCCTGATGAACCCTATGTGACTTACGTGTCAAATCTCTAATAAATATCTTGCTTGTCGCCATCTTGTTGAAATAACTCATATATGCTGCATTACCTGGGAACGTCTGCGCATCAAACATCGTACTGCTTGGATGCACGAATACCCGTCCATTCTCCTGATTGAAGTATTTAATCGTCCGCGCCTCTGGGTCCAGCTCCACTGCTCCACTAACGGACTGCGCGAACTTTTTGTCCGGGAAATCAATTCGCGCCAGCTGCGGGTTAAATGCGCCAGCGATCAGCGAGCGGAGCAGGGCAACGTTTGAGCTGTTGTGGTTTAGAGTAGCCGAGACACGGTAGGGGATAAATCCAATTTCACGAAGAGATGAGAGATATTGGGTGCGGTTGGAAGCAATATCAGACAAGGTTTGAAATGACAGGAAGTTGTCGCCGCACCAGTTGCGAACCTCGCCCTGGCGAATGCTGCGATTGCTCATCATCTCGTCCCATTGCTCAAACGCATGGAGGTCGCCTATAAGATCGCCTTGATTGCCAGAAAACTTCGCGCGGGCAGCCTTTGATTCTTCGCGCTTCTCCTGAGGAGATACAAAGGGGCTCTTGAGGGTGAGGATCGCGGCAATGATTACGGAGGCGTCTAAGCACCCGAACATAGCACCGTAAACCATCAGCTTACCGCATCGAAGATCTGACGGTATCATGGACAAATGTCGCCCTAAAGCTGTAAGGTCATCTCCATCGAGAGCTCCCATACGGCCAAGGAGGTCAATAGCGCCATCTACAGCAAGGCTCTCTGGCGGAGTCAACGCACTCGCCAGGAAAGCAGCAACCTCTTTGATACCCATTGCGCGTACTGATAAGCATAGCTGCTCAAGAGGTACTCGACGAATTTCAGGCTCTGGCCTTTCGGCCATCTTTGTCAGTTCGGCATTACGTGTATAGAGCTTGTAACATTTTCCAGCCTGGACACGACCAGCACGACCACGCCTTTGCTTGCATGCTGCGCGCGAGGCCCAGACTTCTTCTAACTTTCTCATGTTGTTGGAAGGATCATAGCTGGTTTCTTTTACCCGACCAGTATCTATGACAGCAACGATGTCATCGATGGTGATGGATGTCTCTGCCACATTTGTTGCGCAAATGACCTTCCTTTTTCCACTAGACGCATGAGGGAAGACCCTTCGCTGCTCAACAGACTGCAACGAGGCATGAAGTGGAAGGGCATGAAGGTTTGGGATTGATCGTAGGTTGTCCAATGTTCTGTTGATCTCAACAACTCCAGGAAGAAAGATAAGAATGCCACCGGTTTGCTTCTTGTGCGTCAACTCTGCGTCAATCGCCCGGACTGTCTGGCCTATAAGATCATAGTTGATCCTCATGCCAATGCTTTGAATGGCGCTTCTTACGTCAGAGTCCATGCCCTCCGTGTCTTCGTCTTCATCTCCTCCTCGGCCTCCGCGACCAGTGTTAAAGCCAGTCATTCGGATAACGTCGTCGAGATAGTAATCTTCAACTGGGTACGTACGACCACTAATTTCAATCCTTCCAACCTTTCCATCGCTTCTGAAGTAGCTCTCAAACACACCGGCATCCAGCGTGGCACTCATAAGGATCAACTTGAGATCCTTCCGTTTTCGTAGCACGTCACGAAGGAGCACCAAGAGGAAATCTGTATCCAGACTTCTCTCGTGAACTTCATCGATAATGACGTGGCTAATATCCGCCAACGACGCGACTACATCATCACTGCTTCCACCTGATGTCTGGAGCCGACGAAGCAGTACACCAGTGGTAACAAATGTGATCTTAGTCCGTGGAGACGACTTTGATTCTCCTCTAATAATATATCCGACCTCTTGGCCGACGACGCCACAGCGCTCATCGCTCACACGATCAGCCAGGCCCAAAGCCGAAATTCTTCGAGGTTGCGTGCAGATAATTTTTGCCGTTTCACCTAGAGCCCTCCCGTAAAGGTCATCCAAAATGAATTGCGCGGACTGAGTTGACTTTCCACTACCAGTCTCTCCAGAAATAATGGTGACTTGATGAGAGTTGACGGTATCGATTATATCCTCTCGCATCTCCCATGCCGGAAGTGTTCTCCTATCTGCAATGCGCGCCTGAAGTTTGGCGTCCGTTTGCCTTCGCTGCCACTCATCTTTACTCCTAGGATTTTCAACCCATCGAATTGGCGGGGGGTGTCTCGTTGTCCTTGCTCGTTTTTGCCTATTAGGTGCACTGACTTCACTTATCGAAGACGCTGCTGCCGACACTTCCCTGAGTTTTCCGGGCCTTTCTACAATGCCGTAGAAGTTTTGCTCAACCCAGTCGACGAGGAAGAAAACCATTCCTTCTCCTAAGAGCGTCTCGGTACAATGGCTGAGGGCTCTCTTCATTATACTTAGTCGTATATAAGCCGGCAGAGATGCGACAATCGATATAACAGGCGCTGTTTGTGGGTATTTTGTTGACCTTCGAATCAGGATTTCTGTATCAACTGCTGGATTTCGGCTCCTATTGGCAGGTTGAATTTTGATTTGGCAGACATTTGGCGAAGATCTGGAATATTTGTCACCAAAAACAGATTCGAGGCCAATCTGTTCCTCTTCCCATATTTCGTCCGGATTTGCATCCGGATCAGACCAGCTGGTCGACTCGGATGGAGTATTAGTGTCATCCTGCCCACTGGCCATAAGGATGTTTTGTAACGCTTCTGCCGCCTTTCCCTCATCACCTTGGTTTAAATCGAGAACTTGCTTGCAAAGATCAATCGAATACCCGGCTTCACCCAGGCGCTTAATGATGCCTTCTTTTTTCAGGTCGGTGCTTGCCATGCTAATACCTGCCACGTAACCTTCAGGCAGTGCCCAGCGCGGCAGATCATCCTCAGGGACATGAATAAGAAGCCATTCAAGGGTTTCCTCGCGGTCCTTGCATTCAAGTACTGCCTCTTCAATATGACTTTCTCTAAATTCGAGCTGCTTGAAGTCCTTGATAATAGAGTGCCTCTGAAATTCAGACATCTTGTGATCGTGCGGATTCCAGATCGTATGCTTCCGAATGAGCTCCTCCACTTTAGCTCTCGCCCGTTTCCCCATATCAACTTTTGGAACTTTCATCCAGCCTCTGTGTATATTATGTGCGCCGCTCCCTGCGCCACCTGGACCTCCACTTCGATGCGTGAGGCTAACGCCGCCAGGAGCTCCAGGACTATTAGCTGCCTTTTCTCGAGCAGCATCGCGTTCCTTCCGTTTCTTCTCCATAACTGCTTTCGCCTCCTCGCGCTCCCTCAAAGCCGCAAACGGATCTGCTTCATACATCCACGCCTTGCCTTCCTTGATATCCTCCTTTTTCAGCACCTCGAACTCTCCTTTCCACAAATCCCTGTAGTCTGGAGGCAGCATCATATGTATATTCCGCATGCTGCACACCCGAAATAGTCCGTAGGTGGCGGCAAAGTGTCGAGCTTCGAGTGCGGTTGGTTTCGCCGCAAGGTGTTTATGCGACGGAGGCAATTTGAACGGTGCCAGGCTCACCAGCTCCTGCGTCTTCGGATTCCTCGCCTTCAAAATAACCATCGAGGAGTATCCTTCCGGGGTCTTTGATATTGTATATTCAGGCTTCTCCCATCTCTGCTTCTGGCAATGCTCCGAGAGCATATTCACAGGTAGCTTGCCCGTCCATGACGCCCCACCAATAAGCTTCTTAACATCCGGTCTCTTCGGCGCCTCTCCCAGTATATCCGACCCAGTCGCACCAGACGGTCCAGCCTGCGCGTTCGTCTTCCTAGGCTTGGGCTCTTTGTCCGAATTCGAAAACACGATGAAGCTGTCGTCTGCGCCGGTCGCAGCAGCAGTCGTCTTTTTCGCTCCACCGCCCGCCCCGGGCTTCGGGCCCTTGGGCTGCCCCTTTTTGACCATTGTCGGTCGATTGTATGCGGCAGGTTCAGCGATCCATGTGTTGTGGTGCCTGGCGTGGGGTTCTGGATCCAGCCGGGAGATTTTTTTGAGGGGTGTGTGTTGCGGGACCTATAACTGGACGTCATCCAGTCACGGCTTATCGGTGCGGTATCAGTGATTCTTGGACCCTTATTCACAGCACCCCAACTCCAAACTATATTATACCCTTCAACAACTCTCAGTTGTCACAGCTTGCTGTTGTGTGTGAGGCACAGAAATCTTCTTGTGTTTATAGCCATGGCTTCACCCGCAGAAGAAACACAAGATGCCATAACAGAGGAGGAGATACAAGGCACCATCGTGTCACCAGCCTCATCCACGTCGATACGCCCCAACCGCAACGCATGTAATTATATCCCCCCCTCACCCCCCTCCTCTCCAAACCTCCACTAACCTCCCCAGTCACCGAGCTAATGCGTCACAAATCCCGCAAAACCACGACCATCTCCCCCTCCTTCCCCCACGAAAAACCCATCATGTTCGAAGGCCACCGCGGCCTGGGTGCCTACACCTATAACCCCGCCGCCTTTCCCCCCTCCAATGTGATATTCTACAACGACTTTGCCGTCGCCATCAACGACCTATATCCTAAGTCGAGCGTGCATACTCTCCTTCTACCGCGCTCAGAGCGGAACCTCCTGCACCCCTTCGACGCCTTCGAGGACGCTGCGTTCCTGGCCGCTACGGTGGCTGAGTCGGAGAAGCTGCGCGCGCTCGTGGCGAAGGAGTTGCGGCGGCGGTATGGCAAGTTGTCGAAGCTGGATCAGGCGCGTGAGCGCGTGCTGAATGGCGAGGTGGAGCTTCCAGAGGGGGAGGACCTGCCGAAGGGGAGGGATTGGGAGAGCGAGGTTATGATGGGGATTCATGCACATCCTTCGATGAGCCATCTGCATGTGCATGTGTTGTCCGTGGACTGGTACTCGGAGTGCTTGAAGAATAGAGCTCACTACAATAGTTTTACTACCCCTTTCTTTGTACCTCTTGACGCATTTCCCCTGGCGCAAGACGATCCCAGACGAGATCCCTCGCAGGCGGGGTATTTGAGTCGAGACTTGAAGTGTTGGAGGTGCAGCGCAGGATTTGGGAGGAGCTTTGCTAGATTGAATGAGCATCTTGCTGTGGAGTTTGAGGCCTGGAAAAGGATATGAATGCTGTTTATAATACTGACAGGGGCAGCTACGGCCTGCTTTAACGGATACTTCTAGGTATATAGAAAGCGTAGAGCTTCTGTTAACAATCCAGCCATGCTCATAATTCCTCAACCACAATTGGCTTAATAAGGCTCCAGTCTACCGTCCCCACCTCCCTCTCCGAACCGCTTGGCTTTACCCACTCAGCATCTGGCAAAAACTCCCCTTCCCCTTCAGTGTCGGTTGGCCAAGTCCAATTGCCCTTCTCTTCCTCATAACCGGTAGTATTCAAAAGCACAATCCATTGTCCAGGCGAATCCAAATATCTTGCAACCTTCAGCGTCCCACCATTATGAACAGTCTCGTTACCTCCCCAATATACAGTTCCTGAGGTGCCGGTCGGCGTCGAGGCCTGTAAAATCTCCGCCTGTCTCCCGCCCTTACCGACCATGCCTTTCAACTTAACCACAAACTTCCCCAGCGATGTCGAGTAACCGCCCTCCACATGATTGAGCCACTTTGTCCGCTGCGGGGTGATGCTGTACGACCGGCCCAAAGGCGCAGTAAATTGGATTCCAAGTATGCTTGTGAGAAGAACCATGGTGGGACCGGTACTCCAACCATGGCAGTGGCTATTTCGGGCTGGGTGAGTGTATGCGGGGTACCCGACAGAGCCATCAATCCTGTAGCCCTCCAGAAGTGTAGAATTCGTCATCCCAGGCCCATCAAGCATATACCCCCACATCAGCTCCATCAGCTCAACAGCTGCGTCATAATCTCCAACCGCACAATGTGCCTGCAGCTCAAAGCTGCTCGCAAACGGGCTGATTATATTAGGAGCCTCCACGGCCGGGGGACCAAATTTGGTCCAGCGCGACCTTAGGCTCTTGCTTACATTGAGCCGTCGAGGATCCGACGGGGCGAGCACGCCGGCTAGCAGAAGCCAAGAATTTCCATCCTGGGGGAGCACTTCGTCGGACCCTCCACACCTGCGGTCCTCGCTATTATCCGCGAAGAGGCCGGCACGAGGGCAAGCTAGCTTCTCGACACCCGCTCTGATTCTACTAGCAGTCGTAGACCAAAGACCCCCAGGCTGCGCCTCAGACCTGTCGTCACTGAGGAAGCTCGCAAGTTCAATCGATTTCTGCAGGGCGTCATACAAGATAGCTGTAGCTTCGAGATTATGCCCCGCCATCCCGGACCTCAGCCAATCTGCAGAGCTCGTTACGTGCATTAAGCCAGTTTCATCCACCTTGGCGATGCTAACATGCAGCGCAACGATATAGTGGTCCCAGTGATCCTGCAGCCATCTCAGGTCTCCAGAGTACAACACGTAGTTGTACACCCCAAGGAGGGTATGCATATGGTAAGTGTCGCTAAATTCGTGTATTGTTCCCATAGGCGGCCCCGCATAAGGTAAACTCCCATCACCATATTGGTGAGCGAAGAGAGTGTCGAGGGCGTTCCGAACAGACACCATGTCGAGCGTGGAGACAGCGATTCCAGGGACTGCTATGGACATATCGCCTGGCCACACCATGCGATCCCTCTTGGCGCCATCCGTTGTGACTGAAGTGCCATTGCTGATAGTGAAGTTCGAGTACCACGAATCGACGGGGGATTTGTTGCCATCGACAATAGCGTTGTAGTCTATGGATGCCCCTCCTTGTGTAGGGACGATCGTCGAAAGCTGCAACGTGTATGCGCCAGCGTACCACACGCGATTCAACACAGTGGAAGAGCTGGAGAAATATCCAGTGTATGCCCTCGGGTTTGGATTCGAAGGAAACGCTGTACAGCTGACCCAGAGTTCGGTCAGAGATACTGTGGCACCTGGATCCCTCTTCGAGGCGTCCGCAGCTGATTCCCTTGAACCAGTATCCCAAAACCCCTTGTCCTCCTTGGGGTCCTGAGGTAGACGAATAGATAAAAATCTAAACCCCCCGCGAATAAAACCAGTCCCAACACAGTTCGTGCCGTTTCGGAGCCCAAAGTATAACGGGAGATCGGCGGGCCGTTGATTATTCGTCGCATCCCCATCTACAGTCGCAAACTGCGGCGACTCAGAGTACGTGAGAGCAAGAAACGTATTATTCACCACAGAAGCAACCTGAAAGCAGACACTTGAAAACAATTAGCATCTACATTCTCCCCGAACAAAATAAAACTCCTACCGTCCCCCGATATTCTGCTCAAAATCAAATATCACATTTCCACCAGGACCCAGAGTGAGATGATGGCTGCCTAAAGCCCCTTCCAGCACCGCAGAGGCATTAACAACATCGCCGTTCGTGAGATGCACGCCTTTTGGTCGGATATGCGTTTTATTAGCAGGCGCCTGAATATACCTGTCCCACGGCCCCGGAAAGACAGCCTGCGCGGGCAGCTCTTGTACCAGCGACTGGTGCTCAGTCAAATGCTCCTTCAAAAGCGCCTGCGTCGAGTCCACCCCCGCCGCCGTAACCACAGCACCAGCCACGAATACCAGAGAGAGCGCGAATCGAAATATCATCGAATTCATAAAATCTGGTACTTAATAGATCGTTACAACATCGTGGGGTCGTGCGAGGGCGGGCGGGGACGCCATTTTTAAACCAATTCGGGAATGGTGGCACTCCATTTGCACTGATGGACACGAACCGTGGATCGTCGCTGCCGAAAACTGGGGAAATTCAATAATTTCCCCAGTTTTCGGCAGCGACGGGCCCCAGTCTGGTTTCCCTGGCATCGACCAGGGTGTCAGGTCACGTTATCTGTCCTCGCTCCCAACTTGTTTCATTCTACGAATTGGCATTTCGTCACAAGGTCAGTTTGCGTATATTCAAGTCAAGTGTTATCATACAGAGTACGAACAAACAATCCAAGTAAAATTCCAAACATGCATCCTGCGCCTCTTTGCTTCTCTCCCGAGATTCCAACCCCTCCTCATGCAACTATACACTCCAATCTATCACCCTCCCCAACCCCGTGCTTGCTCGGCTCTAATCTTGCGTTCTGAAGAAGTCTACTGCAAAAATGCAACCGATATGAAAAAGAGATCTAATCCCCCATCTATCCAAACGCACAGACTTTCCACCCAACCGGCACCATCACCACACCCCCCCCCCCCCAAAACAGTCACACACCCACTCACGCCTTCCCCCCCACTATCCTCGGAATCGCCCTCCACCCCTTCTCATCCGGCGTCCTCACGCGCCCAAAATCCTCATCCACATCCAAAATGACCTTCAACGCATTCTTGCTCCTCAAGAACGTCAACGGGCCCTGCGCCTCCCTCAACCCCCCCGCCGCCGCACTCGTCACACCCATATGCGGCGCGTGATCCTGCTCGCTGCCCGGCATCGGGAGGAGGTTCTGCAGAACCTCGTACATAGCGAGGGTAAACCCGAACTGCGGAGACGAGCGCATGATACGCGCGGGGCCGCCCTTGAAGAACGCCTTGAAGCCCTCTTCCTTGTACACCGTCTTCGCGCAGTGGGTGAGCGAGGTGTAGGCTGTGTCGCCCTTGCGGGCCTCGACTTGGAGGCGGGTCTTGATGACGTCGCAGGGGGTGGTGAGGTAGGCGGCGGGCATGCCGGCGATGGCGCCGGCGGTGAGGAGTTGGAGGACGCCGAGTTTCTTGGTGGCGGACTCGCCGAAGTAGTCGCGCTTGAGGTGGTTGTAGGTGGGGAAGTAGATGGCGGAGAAGGGAACGTCGCGGAGGAGACAGGCGGTGGCGCCCTTGTAGAGGCCCATTAGACCGAGGTTCTTGACGATCCACATCGCGGAGCGACGGGGGACGCCCTCGAGGGATTTTGCTGCTTCTCCCTGGACTTGGAGACGGATCTTGACGATCTCAAGGGGGTTGGTGAAGACCTGAATGTACTCATTAGCTAATGAAGAAGTTAAGGGGGCTGCAGGATAATACTCACAACTTGACACGCTCCGGCACTAGCACCCGCCAGAATCTCATGCGGGAGTCTAATCTTCCCATCCTTCGAGAAGTGCGTGCGCACCAAATCGTTAACCGTAAGCTTAATAGCCTTCTCCGGCGCCACCCCAATCAGCTGCGGAATAACACCCGAGTACAGGCCCTTGAAGCCCTCGTTCCTAATAACCTTCTTCGCGCAGTCGAGGGAATTCTTGTACAGCGCCTGTCCAACCCTCGAGCTACGCTGGTTCTGCATACGCGTCTTGACCAGATCAATCGGGTACACCATGAACGCACCAAAGGCACCCGCAAGAGAGCCCAGGCCGAAGTGATGCACGGATTCCAGGATCTGGTGAATCACCTTCTGCGAGGTCGTCTTGACAGCCGCCGCGTTCCTGGCAGCCATATCGCTAACAGCACCGACGAGCGGACTGCGCCACGAAGGATCAAGCACCTTTGCGAAATCAGACAATCCGAGTCTGCCCGACGGCTCGTCGAGACCCGCGAAGTGGAACAGGATATCCGCCTCCATCGGCGTGAAGAGGGAGAACCTGGTGATCCTCGCCGCCTCATTCAAGAAATCCGTGCGCGTAATCTTCCCATCCGGACTCCTATCCGCCGCATGCCTGATAATCAGCTCCACCAAATCCATCTCCCTGATCATATTCTGGAACGCGCGGACGTTGGCGTACGAGATCTTGCTCCCCGCGGAGATATTACACAGCGTGCGCAGGTTGTCGAGGAGGTGGTCCGACAACTTGTGCTTCGCCGTCCCAACAATGATGCGCTGGAAGTCCTCAGGCTCAATGAACCCATCCCCGTCCTTATCGAAGAGGTGGAACGCCTGGCGGATCTTCTCACCCTGCAGGCCGCGCAGCATCTGCGCGAACTGGTCGTACGTCAACTCGTGCCTGTTCTTCTTGCCCCCCGTGTATAGCTTCGCCCACTCGCAGTCCCAGTCGAAGGGGATGCTATCGGTGCCCTTGTTCAGCTCGCACAGCTTCTTGAACTGGTCGTACTTGACCGTCCCCTCGCGGTCGACGTCGAACAGGCGGAAGGCGATGTCGTACTCGGCATCGGGCTTCGCGAGCAGGTTCTCGAACGCGCCGTAGTCTTGCAACGTTATCTGGCCGGTGCCTTTCCTGTCCGCCACGCGGAAGAGTATCGCATATTGTTCACGCTTGATTTTGTGCTAGTTATGCGTCATTAGCCCCAATTCCACTGCCCGCGACGCGTATCGAGGGTGCAGTGTAACTCACATAATCCTCCTTCTCGGGCGCAATCGCATCCACAAACCCGAGCTCGGTCATCACCAGCTCTCCCGCCGCCTCATCGTGATGCGCGTGCTTCATAAAGGTAGCCTGCGTATGCAGCGACAGCTGCGCCGGCTCTTCCGAACCGAGCAGCGTCTCCTTGACAGCCTCCTTGACCTTGGAGACCACGGGGACACCACTAGCAGTCACCATGATTGCGGATTGCACGTCGTGAAGTGTTCGTGCGAGCGAAGTCTAGAAGGGCAGCCACAAAGGGTGTGTGTCGCAGGGGACCTCTGAGTCGTAAATCCGCCACAAGCCCAGCCTCGCAGAATTTCCAAACCACGACCGTCGGCGCTCTCGAATCAATGCAAATCAAATAGTAGCCTTCCTATTTACAACCAATCGCAAAAGACCCCCTCCTCAGCAAAACAAAGAATCGCAAAAAACAAGGGCGTCGGTCGTTGGGGGGTAAAGAATGGATTTTAAGCAAATGCAATCAAAAAAGTGCCTCTCTGTTGCTAGAGTTACTCTGCTCTCCTTCTCCTGTCCCTCTAAATTCCGAGGTCGGCCGGCGTGTAATCGGCCACGGGTGCTCCATACAAAAAGATTTCGCGGCCTGTGCTTTGGGCGCGGGTCGCGGGCTGGGCCAATCAGAGGGCGGGAGTGTTTTACCGTTAGTAGGGAAAAAAGGCGGACTTTTGGTATGCCTCGGGCGTGTCGGATGCCGCCACCCTGGGCATGTCTAAATGCGGGATAGCGCCACTGGGGGGGGTAAAAGGGGAAAAATTGGGAAAATTGGGAAAATTGGGCCAACTAGGGACATTGCAAACAGATCACCAAATCAAAATCATAACAGCCAGCAAGTTAAATGGGCCGAACCGAGGATTTATTCTATTATACCGCCTATCCACACTCCAGAGCTCCCTCCTCCCTTTCCCCCATCCGAATGAAAAGAGAGAAGACAAAAGTAACCCGCCAGAGCGCCCATAACAAACATGGAAGAGAGGCAAAAAACACCCTCGGAAACAAGCCACACTACCAGCCAGAAGAAGCCAACAGTAGTCCATCCCAGTTTTTTTTAATTAAGAAAAAGGTTCCAGTTCAAATGCAAAGGAGAATCGTGTCTCGTGGTATCGTGTCGTGAACGCTGGCCCCACCCTGACAGTAAACGCCGTAGGAAAAGAAAAAAAAAGCGCGGTGTATGCGATTGTTGTTGCCGAGACCTGTAGTGGTCTTCCGATGAGTCGTAATGGTTTCGAAGACTAAGGAAATTATGTACTTCGTGTAGTGGCAGTATGTTCTAATGGCGTATGAGAGCGATGTTTAGTTTGATGACGGTGATAAGACGCAGATGCGGGCGAGACGAGGATGCCGTAATTGGTAATAGACCATAGGCCACCGATGCCTGCCGTACCTGTCGAATAAAGAAAAATTATACAAATACGTAGAGTAATGTACGGATTGTGCTCGAACATTGATGCGGCCGCTGAATCTAGCCCTTGACCTGAACCATGTTGTTGTTGTTGTAGATGCCGTGGGGAGACGAGTATGAGTCGTATGGCATGAAGCCATCCGAGTCACCAATCATTCCGCGGGAGGGAAGAGAGTAGTCTGGGAGAGCGAGAAGAAGCTTGAAGCCCGAAGCAATGGTGGTCTTCACGTACTCGGAAGCACGCTTGTATCGACGATCAGAATACTTGTCGAAGACGGCAGCGTGGTGCTTCTCAGGGTTGCGGCAGCACTCCAGCATAAGAGACACGAGAGGTCTAAGTTGTGTCCAGGTGTAGCCGGAGTAGTGCACGTGTGCAGGAGTCTAATAAAGTTAGCATGCATGCGCATAATGTTATCACTTTAGGTTTGGACTTACCCAGTCACCCTTCTTAAGCATCATGCGAGAGATGCACTGGGCACCAGCAGCAACAAAGCTGGGAGGAGTTCCAACAAATCTCTCATCCATGATAGCCACCTCAAGGAAATATTTAGCCAGAGTGCGGGTCTCAAGGTCGTAATCATCAGCCTTGCTGATACGACGGAGGAAGCTCATTGGTCCCGGCCATCCGAGTTCAAAGTCGAGCATACCAAGCATGAAGCGCTCAGCCTTGAGGATCTCATCCACGGAGTATCCATCGTCAACCATGTAGACGATCTCGCTCACCGAAGGGCAGTTGATCTCCTCATACTTGGCGGCAACGAAGATGGCAGTGGCGCCAACCAGCTGAAGCTTTCCGAGAGACACAATCTTGTGAGACAAAAAGCGATCGATGTAGTTGACACAAAGGAACAGGGTCTCGGGAAGGAGCGAGAAGCGATGGTGAACTTGAATGAGCCAGTCCATGAGAACAGAGCGCATGGACCACTGAATCTCTGCCTGGTTGTCCATGTAGTGTGGGTTTGGGGCCAACTTGATCTAAAAGTGTGGTTGGTCAGTATAGGTCCACCATGTGCTATAGTAAACAAATAAACAGGGGGTGTTGCGGCGTCAACCGTCACATGTAGGAGGGTCGGGCCGGGGGTCGCGTCAAGGCGACAACATCAGCTCCTCGACAAATGAAATTCACAAACAAATAAAAAATTCAGCACTAACCTCGAGTTCTCTCATGTACCCAAAAATCTCATCTCCGTACTCTGCAACCATGCTGGTATCCCACATGTCATCCTCAATCTCCTCACGAGTTCTTGAGCCCTCGACGATCAACTTGGCGGCCTCAAGCTCTCTCTCAACCTTGCTGTTGAGTTTTGGAATCATGACTGTAGTAGCACCGCCGGTAGTATTGTCGCCACGAGATCTGTAGGAGTGGGCGGTGGTGTAGCCCTGCTCATCGTAGACCTCCTCCTCTTCCTCCCAATACTCCTCGGGCTCGGAAGGAAGCGCGGGAAGCTGGCGCTCTTCTGGAACATACTCGTCGGTGGTTGGAACAGCAACTTCGGTAGCAATTGGGTCGGCCTTGACCAGCGACTGGACAGGGGCATCATAGGACTGGTAGTCGTAGCTATTATCTGCGACAGGTGGCAGCTTTGGTTCCTCGGCGACTGGAGCATCTTTGAAGTCGAGGTTCGAAGGAGAGGGTATGGCGTCACTGAGAACGGTTGGCAAGACATTGTACATGTACTTGCTCTGCGTCCGACGAAGTACAGGCTGGTCGAGCTTTAACTGCGGTTGGCTCTTGTGGTGGCGTGGTCCAAGTGTCTGGTGAACTGGTGGGATTGGAGCTGAAGCGATTGGGACGTTTTGTTGTTTTGCAGGCTCCGCTGCCTGTTGGGGCTTTGCAGAATTCTCATCTTTGTAGATAGCTGTGATGCGCTTTGAAGATGCTCGTGGCCTTACGACCTGGGTTGGGATGACCGAAGGGACAGCAGAAATTTTGTTTGTTGTGGTTGGAAGAGCCGACTGGCTGGCTTTGTTGAGCCCCAAAATGGTGTTCTTGACAGTCGCAGTGAGTGGGCGTTGGGCAGGACGGCTGAGTGCGTTTTCTTTCTCCAGCACTTGGAGCTTGACATACTCAGTGCCATTGCCTTTGGCAGAAACAACAAGATCGTCCTTTGCGTGATTGAGAGCCCGAGAGGTATTGCTCACATCACCAAAGGCAGCACGTTTAGCAACAGCGTTCAAGCCAGTAGCACCAGACATGGCGTGATACAATGCTCCAGTCGACTTGTGGCGTTGGTGCAATTGCTTCGTTACAGGAGCTGCGTTCTCGTCGTTGTGGATGTGGGAGGGACCCCGACGATGCGGCTGTTGGAGAAAAGTTGTTAGCAAGAGAGATCGATAGATGGTCTCGCCAAATATATATTGTGCCAGGTATGAGTGAAAGGACAGCGGTGTGTCAGGTTTTGTTGGCGATTGGGAAGGTATGTCGATGTTGTTGTGGTTGATGAGTTCGGATCAAAACAATAACAAGAATGAAAACAAATTTTACCTTCGCGTCCATGACTGCAAAATTCCCGCTCGGAATTGATATTGTTGGGCGTATAAACAACGATTGAGGAAGAGTGCAAAGAGGAGTCGAGAAACTGGTGTTTGTCGCGTCAAAGGTCGAATTAAAGCTTGTTGATGATCATCGAACTCCTTTTCGTAGTAGACACGAAAGGAGGATGTCAATTGGGTGTGTATGGCCTGGCGATTGGGGAAGGAAGAGGAAAAGAAGATTATGTTGATAAATGACAGGAACCAAGCCAAGTCCCTACGGATACCTGATTGATGTTGATGTTATTCAGGACATTGGTTTTGTTGTGGGAGCTGGATTAAGATGATCGAATCTCCCAAAGGGGATGAAGCTCGGTCCCTTTACTATGTTTACTCTCGGCTACTTTGGGATAAGCGTTGCCGTGGGGAAAGTTAGGCGCGTCCCACAACTAAACAATATTTTGGGGGGATTTCTCATAATCAATCGGCACAACTCGCCATGGGTAAAGAATAATTTGCAAATGGTTAATTATTATTTAGAGTATTTATTAAACCGACTTTCCGGCTTCTATAATTAAATATTGCGTCGTGGTTGGGATTTAAGGCCAGAATAGTGGGGATGACGTGTATCGCGTGGCGAAGGGACAACGGGACGCGCCGTCACGTGATACAATTGATGGCACATCGTCATGCATGGATGGATGGGGGATGATGCGACGGTGCCGGTGTTGCCGCTCGAAAGCTGGGGAGGGGGACTGGGCATAGCAGCCAGCGTTTACAGGAATTATGTGCGAATTAGAGATTATAGATCACCTCACCCAGGGCGACGGTCGTCATATTGTCGCCTTCCAAACAGCAGTTTCGTCGGAAATGACGGCTTAACACCGTTTCCCCTCGAACGGCGCGAGTATCCATATTAATTGGATACCCTGATGGATGGAACCACAGCCAATCGTCGCGATGGCAGCGCGACAGGTTAATTACCAATGATACGTGTTTGTAGCCGCTGGGGCCAGTCGGTCTGTTTTAGTTTCTTCGCAGGCCTCGCCGACACATCATCAGTACTACTCGGGCCAGAAACGAGGTCGGCAATGGGGAAACGGGACGCGCCCCCATCCACTCGCGTCGTCGCTCCTGCGGAGATCTGTAGCAGGCCACGGCCAAAGTAACGTAGAGTAAAGTGAGCCACGAACAAGGAGCCAAGGAGGTCATTTCTGTTTTTCGGCAGTCTGCCCCTAGACGCCACCGTCCCACCCCAGGGCGGCTTACGTAGTGTAGTGTAGTGACCCGGGGGGGAGGAGGGAGGGGGGGAGGGGGCGTCCCACCCCAGGCCGGCTTACGAAGTGTTGTGACCCGGGGGGGGAGGGGGAGGGGGGAAGAGGAGGAGGGAGGGGGAGGGGGGGAGAGGAGGAGGAGGGGGGGAGAGGAGGAGGAGGGGGGGGGAGAGGAGGAGAGGGAGGAGGATGAGGAGAGGGAGGAGGATGAAAGAAATATGAGGGGGAGAGGATGAAAGAAAGGTAGGGAGGGAGGGGAAGAGAGAGCGGGTCAACGTATAATATATAATATACAGTGAGTGTAGATATATCTAATATATAATATACAGTTGAGTGTAGATATATCTAATATATCTAATATATAGTGTATCATTAAACTGGCCACTTAATAAGACGGACAAGGAGACGAGTGATGCGAGTGGAATGTATAGTTGCAGTCTAGTTCCGTGTCTATCCTGACCTGTGTTTCTTGTATTGCACCATTAACCATCCATTGATGATGCATTAACCATCCGTTCCCATCCATTAATGATGCATTAACCATCCATTAATCATCCATTCCCATCCATTAATCATCCATTCCCATCCCCATTACCATCCCATCCCCACCATCATCCCCATCACCATTCCCATCACCACCATCATCATCCATTACCATACCATCCCCATCCCCATACCATTCCCATCCCCATAACATAACCATCCCCATAACATAACCATCCCCATAACATAACCATCCCCATAACATAACCATCACCCACCACCATCATCACCCACCACCATCCCCATCTCCCACATCTCCCACCACCCCCATCTCCCACCACCATTCCATATATCCATCTCCCACCACCATCTCATCCATCCATCCTTTGCTGCTATATATCCATCCATCTTTTCCTACAAGTGTGATATGCTCTTGCTGCATATATATATAGGATATATATCCATCTATCCTTTGCTGCATCCATCTTTTCCTACGAGTGTGTATAATGCTCTTGCTGCATATATATATAGGATATATATCCATCTATCCTTTGCTGCATCCATCTTTTCCTACAAGTGTGTATATGCTCTGCTGCCTGTGACTGCACGGCCAACAAACAAATCTGCCCCTATTACCGTACTGTCCATTTTGTCAATCTTCATCTCAACAACGTCAAAGAAGGTAACCTTCCTCGCACCGTCATCTGCCGTTCCGTCCTACTCGAGATGGTTGGGATTGCGATGATAGACACACATGATAGACACATATGATAGACACACATGATAGACACACAGTACTTCCCTGCCCATCGTCGTCTCATGGCGGCCTGTGTTGCCAAAAGCCAAAGGTATAGGATAACCACCAAGTAAAATCCTCCAAACTGAATCCAACACTCCAAATTAAAAAAATGATCAATCATACATAGCCGCCAACAATATCCTCCTCTACATTCGAATTATTGGCGCACACGCTCCCAAACCAGCCGCGTCCACAAAATCGCTACTATGTGGATGGATGGATGTGGATGGATGGTGGTCTCGGAGACGAGACACAATGGATCCTCGCCTGTGGGCCTGACAGCTTCTCCTCGTCCAGCACCACAACACCACCACACCACACACCGAGACGCAACTCGCCCTCATCAACCAAGGCCGACAAACCAGCAAAAAGGTATGTTTCTGAATCCCATCGCTTTTGCAGTGCGAACCCATTCGAGTCTATCACAATCCTCTCCATCCCATTCCTGCCAATCCCGTTACTGACGCTTCATCTTCCCTCCAGAACGAAATCCCCGACCCATACGGCTTCGACCCGATGCAACCATAGGAACCACAACCAAACCTTTGGAGTCTATCTATAGGTTATATCCCTCCAGGAGGTTACGCGATCGAGAAATCGGCTGCATTTTCTCCCCAGCGCCCGAGGTAATTCACAACGCTCTTTCTTTCGTCGTCGCCGCGGGTTGTCCAGCCGCTGACGGACCTGCGATTCCAAGGGCACAGTGTCTCCCACCGACTTTCCGTCTCCTGAATTCCCAACAACCCTACACACCCGGCACGATGACTGCCCACGATGCAGCTGGTGATGCAGGCAGATTGATCACTCCTCCCAGCGCACACGGTGATGCGCAGTATAGCGCAGCCGTGCAGCACAATTCGATGCAGTCCCCAGTTCCCAATCCGACTCCGAAGAGTGTCGCATTCGAACTTCTCGTCCCGGAGAGGCCGCAGTACCGTGCGCGCCTACCAATGCGAGTCCAAATATACCCTCACGATACTACAGACTCGATTATAACAACGGTCAAAAACTTCTATGGCCTATACAACGGGTCCGGCGGTCCGACGGGCATCATTTTTGAAGACGAGCGAGGCCATACCCTCATTGCGCGCTATGAGAACCTACGAGAAAACATGAACGTCTATGTTCGCGTCATCGAGGCATCCCCTCATGTCTCCCCTACATACGGGCCGATGTCATATCACTCTGTCGCCCCCACCACGGGCGAACAGGGCCACTACAATGGCAACAGCCACCACATGCCTCCACCCCAGCCAGCCCAAGCTCTAAGCTACGGCCAGCCTGCTCCTCGACCAGACTCGAGGGCATCACGCAAACGAAGCGTCTCCCCGAATTCGGGCCGCGGCCGTCGCAGTGCGTCGGCAAGCGCCAATCCTCCCAACAAGAAAGCGAGGTCCCAGTCGGGGTACAAGAGTCGAAACTCCAGCGCGCACGGCAGCTTTGCAGATATCTATAGCGATGGAGTCAACGGCTACAGTAGCGGCGATGGTGCTCCTTGTTCTGTATCCAGCAAGACCAAGAGTGAGCACCTTGGAAACACGGAAATCAGCCTGGATAATATCGTCGAGGGCGGCAGGCGCAAGCGCGCCAAGTTTGAGAGCTCTGTAAGTCATCCATGCCTCCACGCAAGCCCCTTCATCTATCAAATGGCATCTAATTTATATTGTTTAGGAGCTCCCACTATTTGCTCCTCCCCAGATGCCTGCGGCTACATCGAACTCCTCCGTGTCGCCTGCCAGGCGCATGGAAAACCAACGGGCTTCTCTGCCATTCACACGACCAGCACACCACGCATTCGTACACCCACAAGTCTTGCAGTCTCCACAAAGCTATAACGGCGGCTTCGCGCAGCCTGGGATGTACACGACACCCAACAATGATGGGCGACGAACCCGAGGTGGCCCTACATACCCACCCTCGAGAGGGTCTACCAACATCACGCCCAACGGCAACAGCTCGGGCATACTCCCAACGCCAGATCCCACGATCGGCAGCTGCATGTCTGAAGAAGACAAAGACGTCGCTCTTCAGCTCATGAGACTCGGCGATATGTCAAACAACTCTCACGGCCGAACCTCAGCGTCTACACTCGATGACACTTTCAGCGGCCACGCCGACGCTGCATCCTCAACCGGAGCCACCAGCGAGTCCGAGAGCGAGAGCGACAACGAGCTCCCACCCGCTCGCCGCCAGAAGCTCGAACACAGCCCGATCCTGCCACCCGGGGCCGTGAAGCGATTCGGCAAGCACATGGACGACAACCTGCCCAGCCAAGACAGCGAGATGAGCGAGGACTACGACGACGGCCGCGACGCAACCTTCAAGCCAGAAGTCTACGACGACATCTCCAACAACTTCAGTCTCGCCTTTGGCGACAAAGCCCGGGCCCGCTCCCAGGGCCCCAGCAAGCCCCGCGCCAAGTCCACAAAGCCCGGCAAGACTCAGCAGCGCCCTGGCGGCGGCAACGCGACGAAATTGAAGGTCGCCAAAGCGGGCTCAGTCGTGGGCCGCCAGCCCATGTCGCCAGCTTCCACCGCCGCTCACTCGCGCAAGACCTCCGTCACATCCGCCATCAACTTCCAGCACCAGCTCGGCGAGGATGAGGAGGATCTATCCTCCAAGCCGCGCTGCCAGCGCTGCCGGAAGAGCAAGAAGGGCTGTGATCGCCAACGCCCGTGCCAGCGCTGCAAGGACGCGGGGTTGAGCGCTGATCAGTGCATTAGTGAGGATGAGGGGAATGGCCGGAAGGGGCGGTATGGACGCCATATGGGCGTTAAGGTGAAGAAGGATGAGATGGAGGCGGCGAATGGGGGGGTTTACCCGCTGGAAATGGGGATGAACACCGTGGGAGGCGTTGATAAGAATAAGAAGAGGAAGAGATAGGCGTGTGCTTCTTACTGTTTATGAGGAACGAGCTGCGGATTATCTGCAGCAGTTTTTCTTTCCTTGTCTGTTTATTCGCCTTGGCCTCGTCGTCAAGGAGGATTCACGCATGCATGCACAATTGTCATTTCTGCATTTTCGCCGCCGCGACGACGCTCATCAGTTATCAGTTATACTGAGTTTACCGGCTGGTGCTCGATCGATCGATTGAGCATCCCGGTGCCCTCAAGTATAAGCTTTTATCGACAGTTACGCTCTCAGCAGCAGCTACTATCTGCTCCGTTACACACGAGCTCTTTTATTACTACATTTTGGTTCCTTTGCTGTTTGATTGTACCGGTACCAGGCAGGCGTTAGGACAACACAGATCGGGGCTCGGTAGCCCATAGACACTCCTTTTTCAAAAACTACTCTTAACACAATTTAACGGCCGGACGAAACTACCAGATCTTTTCCTTGTGTGCTGCTGCTGTGCTGTTGTTTATTACCTTTTAGTTTTCGTTTATATCATTTGCAGGTTCGGGATCCGAGGCGTGGAACTTGTATCTTAATCGTTCTGGGCTTAATGAGGTGTGTGGGTGGTTTTTTTTTTTGGGGGGGGGGGGGGGTGGTGGTGGGTAACTCTTATTTTTTGGGACAGGGCAAGATTTTACGGGTTAGGGATCTGAGTCGTGGAATTTGTATCTTGCTGTGGACACGAATTCCTTGCCAACCCTGCCGTTTCAACCTCTTTTCAAGAACGACTCGATCCACGCGTGAAACTGCGAGCTGTGCATAGTTAGCGATGTATATTCAGGACAGATGCGCAGGATATAGGATGCTTACAATAGTCTGTTTCCATCAAAAGCCACGTCTTTGAGGACAGCGAATGCAATGGCAGCGAATGCACAAACTTAGGATAGTGTGAGCTAAGTCAGATGCAAGTTGTCGCGCATTTGCAGGGGTGAGTATCTCGAATAGCCATTTGATGAATCCGATGATCTGGTTTCGACGGACTCGAAATTATAAACAGAAAATTGAAATTCGAACACCACAACATGATTTCTTCTAGACGATAAGCAGACCAGCTGGCTTAGTAAATCTAATCACATATCCGCAGCCGTGAGAATCATGTTCATGAATTACATTGCTCTGAGCCCTAAGATTCGAAATTAGAAGTTGAAAATGGATTTCTCTCAATCTGATAGCCAGCATAGTAAACATAATCACATATCCGCAGCCGTGAGAAACTGTTCATGAATTACATTGCTCTGAGCCCTAAAACTCGACCAAGCTTTGCTAGCGCTGCGAGACCTTCTCGTCTCTTCCCCCGAAGATCTTCAAGATCAAACTTTATCAGAAACATAAAATACAGACAAATCTAATCTACGCATCCTTTCCAGGCTTGCCCACCAACTTCTTCTTGTCATCATCATCATCCGCCTCATCATCGCTCCAGCCCGCCCCGTCATCGCCAACAGCAAAGATGGTTTCGCCATCTAGTGACTGCCTCGATGCGCTCGGGGCATCATTTGGAGCCTGTGCCTTCGTTGGCGCAGATTTCGGTGCAGCATCGTATCGTGGACCTTCAGTGCCGCGCTCATCGCGGGCCTCCTCTTCATCTCCGGAATCGTCCGCTCCAAAGTCTCCAATCTCGAAACCTTCGTCATCTTGCGCGATCTATTGGTCATATTAGTACGGATATCTGGTGTAGCCACATATTCTTTGCTTACCTCGTCACTCATTGCAAATCTGCGGTTGTTCGCCGTTGGCAGCCACATGTAGCAAATGAACGCAACATCAGCGAAATAGACAATGTTCAGCCATCCGTCAAGGATGAACCATCTTGTCTTCCAGTGCCCTGGAACGAAGTCCGGGTCTCTGACGCCAGCGAATGTGACGCTGTTAAAGAAGAAGAAACCAAAGATGACAGCAATGCTTAGGAGAATGCAGATCCAAAGCTTGCGGTACATGCTAGCCTTCACGTTCTGCTTACGCTCTGTGAGATCCTTAATCGTGTGCGTCAGGGAGTTAAGAGTCCACACATAGAAACCAGTAAGAGTTCCAGCAAGGGGCAGAATAACAAAGAGAACAATGGGTCCTGCATTATCCGGGGTGACTGTCAAACTCGCGATGGCGTAAATGAGGCCAAAGACGAAGTGGGCAAATGCAAGCCAGCGAACGTAGATCATCGTCTTCCCAAGAGTAGGCTTGACAACCCCGTAGCCCATACAGACGATCAAGAGAAGGAAGAATGAGAAAGAGTTGCGGCCAGCGTTCAGAACTGCAACGACAATCATCAATACTTTCGAGCCAACGTTGCTTCCGTTGCGGTTTTGGTAATCATAGTAAAGCCATGTCATGAGCATCTCGACAATCAAGAATATCACGATGGCCGTAATATAGTTCTGGACAGCGAGAATATCGTGCCTATGTTGAACATAGAAGAATCCCCATAAAACTGCTAGTAAGGCATATACGATAGTCAGCCCCCCGTAAAACGGCAGCTTGGCAATCTGAGCACCATCCAGTTCTCCATAAGCGTTTCGAAATTCCACGACTGCTTGATAATCAACGCCTTTGTCGGCATCTGTGCTGACACAGTAGTATCCCGTGGTTTTGATCATGTAGTTTGTTGCTGCTATATTCTTCAGATCAATCGCGGTGGTCTTGAGTTCGGATATCGACGACTCAGCATTTGGCGCCAGAATATATTTGTTGAGATCTGCCTTGTCGCAAAGCTTGTTCTGAATATTCTTTTCGGTGCAAATATATTCTTTCTAAGAGATAGGTTAGTAACTAGCCAGTGGTATAGAACATTGACGTTGTGCATACGGGAGTACCACGAGCAGCCCCCTCGGGGAACACTCCAACAAGCTCCTCATCCTTCCACTCGAATATCACAAGACTAACGGATGCCGCCTTCTGCTCAGCAGGAGGCTTCATAAACTTGACCAGGATGAATGGATCCACGCTCCCTCCCCACGACTTCCGGCTGTACATTCCAGCGCATTTTAATCTGTTGTCCTCTTTCTGATCCTGCCAATCGAGATTAGTTTAGCAATCCATTATACCGCCGTGGAATGGGGACTAACTAATACAACTTCTCCTGCATTGACCGATGCCAGCAGAAGCCCAGCTAACAGGAGTCCATTTTTCCAGGACCTCATGATGACTATGCAGGCCGCGTCGCCTTGAAACGAAGTTGGTGGTTTCGGTCCGCAATGCTCCAAGATGCTTTTGAAGCTTAGGTGTCAATCTCGTAGGTGAAGCTCATCTAGAGTTGGGCTTCGTAGTAGGATCAAAGTAGAGCCAAAACAATATTGTGCCTTGGCATTCAAACGATGTTAAATTGTCGATGGACTTGACACGACCAAGTGAGGCAAGGTACGTCGTAATAGCTCCCAAGAGGCCCACTGCGCCCCTAAGACAAACCAAAGCCGGAGCCACGGAACAACCCACAACCCGCTAACGCCATATCCCTGTCAAAACCGAGGCTGACAAAAGATATTTCAGCCTTGACAACCCCCACTGACAAAAGTCGGGAGGCAACATTAATCTATAATTTTTTACAGCCATACCTGCTAAAATGGCAACTCGAATTATTGATAAGGGGAAGGTAGAGGGTGGAGCTGTATCTATTTGCAAGCGCTGCAATAAAGACGAGGCTACTACGAGTATTCGATCTGAGCCAGTCTGTCTGTGAGTAAACGACCCCTCTCCAACCTAGTCTCGCTGACCCCAAAAGGCAATGCTTCACGTACTATGTGAACACCAAAGCGATTAAGCGCCTAGAGACTTATAAGGATCGCAATCGACAATCAGAGGCGAAGCGATACTTGCTCCCTCTCTCGTTCGGCGCATCTTCTACCTCACTCCTCCATATTCTCGACGAACAACTGCGCAAACAATCAGAGCGCATGGGCCGCACCTCATATGAACTCGTTATCGCACATGTTGATCTTGAATTCGAAGATGAAGCCGCCTCTAAGAAGGTCCGTTCATTATGGAAGGCTGTGCAAGACCGATTCCCAAAGCACACATACGTCGAGGTCAGCATAGCTGATGCCCTCGACATCAAATCGATCGACTGGCCGTCACTTGGCCTGGCGGTTGATAAACAACTCCCAAAAAAGGAGCGCTTGGCAAATCTCCTCAAATCTATTTCGACTGCAACTTCCCGCTCTGATATCGCCTCGACACTCCTCGCGCGCCTCCTGGTATCCGTCGCCGAGAAGAACAGCTGCGGCAGCATCCTATTCGGCGACTCAACTACCCGGCTCGCCGAGAAGACACTCACCGAAACTGCGAAAGGGCGGGGTTTCTCTCTTCCCTGGCAGGTCTCTGATGGCACTTCGCCGTTTCGCGACAACCTGTTCTTCAACTACCCGATGCGCGATCTCTTGAAGAAGGAACTGGTCGCATTCACCAAGCTCACATCACCCCTTCTGGCCGACATAGTGATCCCAGTGAACACCAAGTCAGCGCTGAGTGCTAGCAGCAAGAGCACGACAATTGATGATTTGATGACACAGTATTTCGAGTCTGTCGAGGAGAATTACCCAAGCATTGTGGCGAATGTAGTCAGGACATCGAGCAAGCTCACGGCACCGGAGGTTAATGGCGGCGCAGAATGCACGCTGTGTGGCATCCCAGTCGCTGAAGGCACAGATGGTATTGATGGTTGGAGTGGCGAACAAAGCTCATCCTCGCAGCCCACGAAGGAGGTTGCCAGTGTGCGGCCCATACTGTGCTACGGTTGCGCGAGGTCAATCAACGGTTGAAATTCTGTCTGATAGAACTTGAGGTTACTATTCACGGGCCTTAATTACTCAGATCCGCCTTTCACGGCGTGGACACTCAGTGGTTCAAGCCCAGCGCAGGTTCGACCAGTGATTGCTATACCACATGATGTTTCACAGCATCTATAAGACAATCGAGGTGTATCGCAGCCAATATATTGGCCAGATGGATCTCGGGTATCATTATATACCTACTGGGTGGGATAGAGTAGAATGGATCATATAGAGGCATACAAATAAGGAAGGTTGGATGAAAGATAAATTCTGTACTTCACATTCATTTATTATTTTTTGCCGTTTGATTGCTGGGAGTCGAATTCGTAACCTCTTTATTCATTCCAAGCCCTGGCCAGATTTTCCTGACAGTGGTACTCCCACTGCGCCACTGTGCCGCTAGATGAGAAGTTAAGTTGCTTTATAAGGTGGTAGACGCCTGTGATAGGGGGTGGGGGGTGGTATAAGCCATCAGCAGGAGAACTATCCAATACAATGTTGTCTATACTATCCTACACCACGCTGTATACCAACCTGCATGAAATGCGGCAAGAGAAACGCCTCTCCACCGTTTATTATTATTCCCCAATATCGCCAAATTAACGCCCACACACCCCTTGCATCTCGACAACATCAACTCCCCCTTCTTCATCCAAATAACTTCTCCCAATCCGGCGTCGCCACAATCTTCCCCATCACCCTCCCCATCCCCGTCCCACTCATCTCCTCACCCCCCCCTTCCCCCTTCTCCGCCCCAAGCCCCTGAACCACCACCCCCGTGGTTAAGAAATCGAACTCCGCGCCGCGTCCTAACGCCAGACTCGTACCCCCCCAACTCAACTCCACCTTCCCACTCCGCCTCACCACCAACTTCCCAATCAATCCCGGCTCTTGCACCAGCGCATCCTTCGCTTTGGATCCGTTAATGGGTCGCGGCACATCTGCATCTGCCTCGGCGGCGGGCTCAGCCTTGACTTCTGGCGTGTCGTCGAGGTCGATCGTGCCAGATGGTATGTCACTGAGCTGGACATCCGCGTCCCCTGGGTCTGGCTTGACAAGATGTTCCGCATTCGCCAGCTTCGGCAGGATGGGTGGGAACTGGAAGAGGTACAGACGGCCCTCCTTGTGATCCGGGCTAATTTGGGTGTCTTCACCAATGGCGACATCGCCGTCGGTTTGTGGCGGAGCTGTGGTGCTCATACCACCCAGCTCGCGGGCGAGGATGTCGATGTCCTCGAGGTAGCGCTCGTATTCTTGTTCATCCTCTTCAGTTTGGAGGACGGGTTTCTTGGCGTTGGCAGCGAGGAAGGCTGAGGGCTTCTCTGGTGCTGGCTTTGGGGTTTCTTGTGTGGTGGATGGTGATGCTTCGGCCTCAGCGCCGGCTTGGATATCGCCCATAGGTGTGGCATCGACTTCCATTTTATCCGCCCCGGCAGCTTGGACTCCTGGCTCGCTCTTCACGACTGGCTCCTCTTGTGGAAAGAATAACCCACTCTCCTCAGGGGCTTCAATCTTGACGACATCCTCCACTTCTGTCTTTGGTTCACCACTTGATGAATCTGTGTTGACGAGCATAACACGCACCTTATGTTCATGCCTCGTAAGTCGAATAGGGTTCATCGCATGTCCGCCCGCGAGACCCTTGCCCTTATTCCTCGCCCGAGATTGTCCTGTGACAACATCGTCCTCGTCGTCGCTAATTAGATTGATGTATTCGATATCCGTACGTGGCGCAATGTCAGCACCCTCTTCTAGCTCTTCAGGATAGACAGGCTCGCTGTATCCGCCACCGCCTCCGCCTCCACCACCACCTCCACTCCTATATCCACCGCCATCAGTTTTAATCCTCATCCCCCCTCCACCACCCCCACCACCAGCACCAGACCTCATCCCACTTCCCGGCCCAAATATCCCCCCTCGTTTATCTGCAACCCAAATTAGCCCTACACACCCTTTACGACCTCTCCGCAAACTCACCTCCCGCCTCAGGCGCCTGCGCAAACGGCCCACTCGCCCTCCCAACAACCCTATCCCTATCATCCCCCCTCCCCATCGCATCGCCCCTCCCCCTCCCTCCCCTCCCCCTCGTCCCCCCCCTTCCCCTCCCCCTCCCCCTCTCCCCCTCCTCAAGCTTCGCACTAATCCTCAACCTCTCCGCCTCCTCCCTAGCAGCCTGTTCCCTCTCCTCCGCCGTCCGTCGCCCGGCCCTCGGTATAAACTTCGACGCCGCCCTCGGCGCACCACTCGCTCCCCTCGCGCCCCGACCTCGCAGACTCTCGAGTCGCTGCACCGCCGGGCGCGCCGTCGTGCCGCCGCCCATCGACGCTACTGGCGCTGTGGAACCACCAGCCCCGGAACTCGTAATGGGCGTCGAAGCAGGAGTCTCGGTCGGAGGCGACGCAGGCGACGTGTTCGGTGACGCCATTTCGACATCTGGTGTTGCTACCACGCCATGCGTTGCGTCGACGCTCGCGGGCGTGACTCCCGCGCCGCGCCCTCGTCCCCTTCCGCGACCGCGGCCACGGCCACGACCACGGGTGGTGGTGGGCGCTTGATCGGGGGGCATGCTGGTGTATTCGGACTGTGGGATTGGGGTGTATTTCGTGGTTGAGGAGGAGTTAATGGTTCACGCCATGAGTGCGCAGGATAGGTTTGATGATAGTCAGCCAATGGGTGCTGGGAGCGTGGTGGGGTACAATCAACGCAGTGAACTTTTTGAACAGGGGTGGTGGAGGGCTAGGATGGATGGGGTTAGTGGTGTGTGGCGTGGGAGGCTTGGCTGGATTGGGGAATTTGCGACAACATGTGTTAGCAAGCGCGGGGCAGGAATGGGCGGAAATGGCGGAAATAGCGGGATTAGCGACTTGGAGGTAACTCTATAGCGGTCAGTCGCAGACGATAATATGTGAGCATAATGCTAGAAATATGTAATAAATTGAATATTACTCGTTGCTCTATATATTCTTCTATATTCATTCGTAATATATCTGCCTTAGCACAATACACTGCTGTGATACCGTAACATTCAGTACAATACATAAAATAACTGTACCTCCACAAATTAGCGCGCGCTCACGTGATTTCCCCTACCAAATCTAGACACAGCCAGAGCTTTATATCAACCAGCGCTCCGTATCCCTTGAACTCGAGGGATGAGATATACGGTACCCTCGTAGGTACTAGGCGGTAACCATACAAAGGACAGCTGTGAGAGAGCAACTGTCCCTACTTTTTTAGGATGGTTGACGATGGATCAAAGCGCGCGGAACGGCCGTCCTCCTCTCCTCAAGCCCCCCCTCCACCACTAGACTTCATGGACGTCGTGTCTCCAGCTCTGCAAATTGGCAGCTTAACCGGTTCGTTTACCACCCTTCCAATTGATTCATTTGCAGACATGGGCCTTCATCCACTGCTCTACCCCTTTCACGCTTCGTCACGTGTCTCTCCAGCCCTCGACGAGAAATATATAGACACCCTAACTAACACCCATCCACAGGCGTATCCGGCCTCCTCTTCGGCGCAGTCGGTGGAGTCCTCAGATCAACAACACCCACCATCTTCGCCCTAGCATCAGGCCTCCAATGGTTCACCCTGGGCTCAACATTCTGGGGTAAGCACACCACAACCCCCTTGCCAGCATCCCATCCTAACAGCCTCCCTAGCAACCCGAACAATACTCCTTCACGAACTCCGTGCCGAAACCGGGGAATCCGCGCGCAAAATCTCCGCCAGCGCTATCGCCGGCGGCGTCAGCGGCGGGATTGGTGGGCTCTTAAGTAACCACCCCCCCCATCCCCTTCACTTTGCTACTACCATTGAAGTACGGTGCATGCTAACACACGTCTAGGAAGCAGAAAAAATGTCATCCCCGGCTCCCTAATCTTCGCCACCTTCGGCGCCCTCGGACAAGCAGCCTATAACTACGCCGACGCGCGAGAGGGGCAAAAAGGCAGCGATAAGGGTAAGGAGGAGGGGAAGGGGGGCTGGCTTAATTCAAGATGGAGTCCTGTGAAGGCGTTGTCGGATGAGGAGTATGGGCGGATATTGGAGGAGAGGTTGTTGAAGCTTGATGCGGAGATAACGTTGGTGAATGAGAGTATTGAGGCGGTTAAGAAGACAGTGAGTGCGACTGCTACGCCAACGGTGGCGGCGACGAAGGAGGGGAAGGGGAAGAAATGAGATGGGGGACCAATAACAGGCGATGTGTCTGAAGAGCGCCTGATGGAGAATATGTATGATATTACGAAGTGGAAGGGGGCGCGAAGGAGATTTGTATCATAGTACTCAAACCTCACACCAGGATAAATATAGAGGGTTGTATCATAGTAGACAAAACCATCATATCAGGATAATTATACTCTGAATTTGCCATAGAAACACCAATTTTTTTATCGTACGGAACGGACATATAATCTCTCAGTCCCAATTCAACAACAGCAAAAACGATAACGAAAAAGCCCATAAAAACCATCCACCCATCCATCCCCCCCTTACCCCCAGCCGCCATTTCAACCTCTTTTCAAGAACGACTCGATCCACGTGTGAAACTGCGAGCTGTGCATAGTTAGCGATGTATATTCAAGACAAATGCGCAGGATATAAGATGCTTACAATAGTCTGTTTCCATCAAAAGCCACGTCTTTGAAGACAGCGAATGCAATGACGGCGATGCAACAAATTTAGGATAGTGTGAGCCAAGTCAGATGTAAGTTGTCGCATATTTGTAGGGGTGAGGAGTATCTCGAATAGCCATTTGATGAATTCGACGATCTGGTTCATGGTGTTGCTCTGAGCGTCTTTTAGCTGTTTTTGTAAAGCTTCGATATGGGTTTGTTGAACTGTAATTCGCTCCTTCAATGATTCGATTTCCGTTATCGCATATTGTAGAGTCTGATGGGGCGCCACGGCGACAGGATCTGGAATGGAAATTGTCAAATTACCGCATGTCGGAGTGGGTGAAGCCATGGTGAGGTCGTTGTCATTTCGAACAATTTTCCGGCCATGATTCATAGGTATAGGCAACATGATCTGGACAGACAATGGTTGTTAGAGGCAAATGTGAATCATGAACATGATTGCGAGAAAAGAGCATATGTTTTGTTCCTTCCTCGCAATCGTTGTCACCCGATAGTGGTGCCACAACAACAACGTATCGGCTCTGATGAATCCTGATGACGGAAGATCCGAAAAAATGCCAATGGGATAAAGCTCCATTTACTGAGCAGTGTCGAGGTCGGTCCAATTATCGAAACCCATGTCGAAGAAATCCATATCGGTGAAATCCACATCGGCCATAGGATCGAACTGGCCACCCGTCATATCGAAGCCAAGACTAACTGGCTGAGTCTCATATACGCCGATACCGGCATATTCACCAGAAGGTGCTATCCCGGGTGTGTCCAGGAAATCGAAGAAGCCATCAAGGTAATCGTTGTTGAAGTCGGTTGGTTGAGAATCCTCAGGTGTGGCAGCCTCATTGGGTACAGAAGGCTCAAGCTCCGGTGTTGAAATGGAGGCGAAGAGCTCATCAAAGTCATCATGGTCAGCAGTAGTCAGCTCACTCTCCGTTAATGCGGAAATATTGCTGGATTCATCGGTGGACCCAGGTGGAGGAGCTGCCGAGGACTCAAAACTAGTCTCAAGATCAGATGACGTGGAGGTAATCTGCATATTGCTCTCTGGGAAGTACAGTGATGAAATGGTGGACTGTGTTGTCTGGGCAGTAGTCATTGAGGAGGCTTGAGAAGCAGATGCGTCAAAGCTCGAGGAGCTAGAGTTTGCCACAGGAGACGACCCTGGAGACGGAAGTGGAGGAAACGTCAACTTTGTGGTAAGTGACTTGACCGCTGAACGAGTAATGGCTGAAACGGGTGCTGGCATGTCCAGAAAAATTGGGTTGACCTGTGATCCATGGGAATATCCCAGATTCTGAACGATTGGGAATGAGGCATTTGGCTGCGCAGTACCGACAATGGCCGGACTGGCTGATGGAACAGGAATGCTTGTGGGAAACAGAGCATTTATAACATTGGCAGTAGCAGAACTGGAGGCAGCGCTGGAGGCAGCACTGGACTTCTTCTTTGTAGTCTTCTTTGATTTTGGCGAAGTCTTCGTGGTGGTGCCCTTGGCTGCGCCAGCCGGTAAAGTGCTGCCCTGGGCATTTGGCCCAATAGACAGTTGTCCCGCGGAGTTTGGTAGTTGCACCTGATAGAAAGGTACAACAGGTGTGTTAGGTGTGGTTGGATTTGCACTGTGCTGTGTTGGACGACCAGCATGGTCAATCATCACCGCATTACCCGTCTGGGACAAAAACACCGGATTAGGGCCCGAGATGTCTGCAAATTTCATGGGAAATCCATCGCCAGTCGGCGTATGACCACCGAGAGAATTGTTCGGAGGCGACCCATTGGCAGCCTTTCCCGCAGCATCTTTCTCAGGATCCTTTTCCCAGTTTACACCATCGAAGGCGTTAACCAAGAAGGAACGTGGTCCCGAAGGCAAATTGTTGATTGCTCCTGGTAGATTTCCCAAGACTGGACCTGACATCACCAATGGAGGAAGCTTCGGATGGTTTGGTACATTTGGTACTGGCAACCCACGTGCACGAAGGTCAGCGTGCTGGCGTCTCATGGTGGCGGCTCTAAGCTGGGCCTCTGCAACTCTAGCCGCATGACTCAAGGTTGGAAGCACGAAGTTCTCACCCTGGTTGGTGTTGTTGAGCTGGCGGCCAGATGGTAGAGAGTATGTAGTCGTGGGATTTTGTTGACCCATAGAATTGAAGGTCTGGTTGACATTTGTACCGTATTGCTGAGGGACATAGCCAAGAGCACCCGGAGTTAGCTGGTGCGAATTGAAATTTCCACCTTGGTGGCCACCAAAGGCAGGCTGTAAATTAACAGTCATGAGCTGTCCATTGACCATGATTTGCTGTTTATAAGCTCCGGAAGTTTGCATGTTTGAAGATTGATAGCCAGGAATAGCTGGCATGTTCCCAAACATATTTTGTTGCTCAGGTATGAGCTGACCGCCGGGGCAAACGATGAAGGTAGGAATGTGTGAGCCAAATTGAACTGAATGACCATGAGGATTCTGCATTGCCATTTGCTGGAAGTTGGCATTTTGGGCAAGCGGAGAAAATTGTTGGTTGAAATTCGACAGATTATTAAAATCCATCATGTTTTGTGCATGTTGGTATTGGGCGCCATTGTGCACACCATTGCCTTGCTGCTGGATGCCAAATGATGAGGTAGCATCGTGGTTTTGAAGCTTGATAGCATGCGAGTTGTTAGGTTGAGCAACCACAGATTGTTGGAGGTCACGATCCTGCTTCTCTGCGAAGAGAACGACTCCAAACTGCTCTGGCGACAGTTTCGCAAGCCACTTGCGTTGCTCGTCTTCACCCCAGGTTAGAAAGTCTCTCATTTTGCTGAGGTCATCATCCTCAAGCGATTGACCAGTCGATATCTTCTTGAAGTACTCCAAGCCAGCAGCAAAATCTTCAGGGGAGAATACAGATTCGCCGAGGACAAGAGTTCGTGAGCGTGGAATATGGGGTGTTGCCTTTCCACTGGGGCCCTTACGAGGACGCTTCTTGGGTTGGGTCTGGTGATTGCCAGCATTCTCTCCAGACTGACTATCTGGAGAGCTCATCATCTGCAAGTTAAGTCAGTAAGTGTAAATCAAAACTATTACCTGATTGAATAATAATATCAGGTTTAAGGGAGGGTAGTTGTTGAACACATTAATGATAGCTGAGGCGCAATATGATGCGTCTGAAGCTTTCCCTCCTGGTTCAATCAAGAAAAAAAGGGGGAAAAAAAATACCTGATCATGTGGAAGCTGACGCTTGTTGCTGACAGGCGTAGCTGATGGAAGAGAAGGTGCAATTGAAGCACGGTGGCCAGTCTTGTACTGGTCGAGGGTGAGGCCGATCATGCCGCCAGCACCATTGATGTCATGCTCAGGATTGAGGTGGTAAGTGGAGGCAAGAGAGGTCAGAGCAGGGTCGATGAGGTCCGAAGTAAAAGCTTGAGTATCTTCCGACGCGTAGGAAGCTGTGTTGGGATTGAATGGTGGGTATTGAAGTTGGCCATTTTGGACCGAAGGCCAATTGTGAGAACTCATGTTGCAAGAGAGCAAAGTTGAGAAGGTAAAAAGAGAATTGATTACCACAATGGTAATAAAATAAAGAAGCAAGGTTTGAATTGATTGAAGAATTGTTGTTGAAAGCGTTTTGTAAATTGTTGGTTGAATGTCGAGGTTGTGGAAGAAAAAAAAGTGGTGGGGGGAGATCGGTGAAAGTGAGGTTATAACTAAGCGGCGGAATATATCAATGAATTCACAACTGGAGGGCAAATTGAGGTAGGTGAAGCTTGGACCCCAAGCTCAAATTTCCTAATTTGGCAAAAACCTCCAGCCACCCCAAAATCAATTCGGATTGGAATTGTGAAGTATTTTGTCGCGCAGTGTATTAGACAGTAAGGAGTAGTATACTCCCACAATTTCTCCCATGATATTTCACTGCACCATTTCAATTTCGGGAAGCTGTAGCAATGTGTTACTTCGACTTATATATTCCTCCGTGATAAATCAACGTATAATAATCACTCACGTATATCCCCGCGAAAGTACAGCCATGTAAATGATTTTGCCCAAACTATCAGGCTCACTTGCGACATGTTCTAATCGTCATAATGGGAATATCGCTCGCTATTAGAAATATAAAACACATCATACCTTCTTGAAGCATGTTATCTCATCAGTTATTCCAATTCTCCTTGTTTTCTCTTTCCCAACCAGTGACCGTGCTGTCGGACAGAGCCAGATGTTGGGGCCTTTATCAGAGTCGCATTTTCGACCATTTTCAACCAGAGTCTCGATCTCCTTTGCGACAGTCCTATTGCTGCTTATGGTTGTCATATTATTCGACCAGCCATATAAGAAAACGGACTGGTTGATCACAGAGAATACTTTCGATACTTCAATGGCCATCGGTCCTATGCGGCGTTCCATATCAGGGATGTCCACTTCCACAACATCAATCGGTAGTTTCAGCTCCTGTGGTATTCTGTGAGTTGAAAGCTCCTGCAATCTAGTAACACGTTGTTCGCATGTTAACTCCGCTGTACCATCTCTATCCAAGATAAAGTCTCTCCGTCGTTTCTCCAAGTCTGTCCCTATCAGATCGACAATCTCATGCATACGTTGTGCTGCCTCTCGGGTACACAGAAGTTTCCTTGAACCACAAGCAGGCCACAAACTCTTGGGCAATAGCTGATCGTCCCTCTCCATTTCGATTTGCCTCTTAACTGCCCGGTGATGCCATTCCTCAGTCTCGACCGGACAATGCGACAAGTCGCTCACAAGGGCAAGTAGTATGGTGCAATCAATATTGACAGGGTCCGTAAAGCCTGAAAATGGATTGACAGCAACTCTATCCAACACATCTGCCAATGGAGGTGCTGGTTTAAAATCGTCAGATCTTTGGATTTGGATACCCATTCCTTCGATCTGGCCAAGAATTGCCTCCACTTCTCTCACACAGTTCCGAGGAATCTTGGGTAACACCATGCGAATTTTCGGGTGACGATATCGCACCCTAGCTGCACGAGATGCTGCTACGAATCCCTCTGCCTGTTTTAATAGGCCTTCTGCCTGGACACTGCTGGAGCTGTCTGCTCCGCTGTCGTACTCCTCGTCGCTGGACGAATCGACAATCCAGCCAGCTTTGGCTATGTCAAATAATATCCGTTTCTCAGTCAACGTTGATACCTTCACCCACTCCAGTCCATCCTGAGCGACAATATCAACCAGAACATTGGAGCGCTTGTGGACCGAGCCTGAGGTACTCTGAACTTTCTCTCCGCGGCGAAGGTTCACGGGAGAGGGCCAGTGGAAGCGTTTCCCCAGCGCCACAACGCCCGTACAACCTTTCGCAGCATCCCAAACTGCAGCATAAAAAGGGAAATTGCTAGACCTTAAGGTGTGGGCAGACTTTGGTACTGTAGGATCTGATTTGCAAAGCTGGCTATGAGTCAGAGAGGTCCGGTTTACGATAAATACAGCAAAGAAGCACCTTTTTAAGCAATTTATACTCTGTTTTCACACTGCTCTTAAAGTGCCGCAGCTCAGCAGTTTCCTTTTTCTCGTCCTGGAGGTAGTTTTGGAACACTTCCAGTTCATCAACAAGGACTCGACATCGGTCTAGAAGATCTTGTCCTTGTTCTGCCCCTCCTTCGAGGTCCAATTTTGATAACTGCGAGGAGACATCAACTGACGAGTCTTGACGCTCATTATTTTCGCTCATTGTCTCCTTTTTATTCAGATCAAATGTAAACCTGAATGTCTCGGGGTCCGTCGTCTTCGATGGTGATCACCCCAGCTAGTGCTGCCGCAGAGCCGCACCTTATTTTACAACTACAGTTAGGCTGCGCACTGGGTACTCACGAGTCGAGTAGTAGAATTTTTACTCACCCAGCTGAGTTACTCGCTCATGTCCCGAGTATTGTTGAATGAGGATTACTCACTTGCTGAGTACCTAGTATGGGTCTTGGCAACTCAGTTATATCACGTGTTTGATTAGCCATTACTTATGTTAAAAACGGGGTGCGACTTCATTGATCAAGACGCCATAACTCCAACTCCATTCCCATATTGTTGATGTCCTATTCCACACTATAACCTTTGGCCTTTAGGTACCAGGTTACCAGATGGTTGCCAGAACTCATCTGACCTTCATTCCTGGGTGAGAGACATTTCCATCGATTAAGCCCACAGCTTAAACATCATATCCTGCAAACGCCGAACCAATATCATACCCTTTGCCTGAATTGTCACTCTCTTCGCATGAATAGCGAGGAGGTTTGTCACTATAACTGTTAGTATGTCCCTGTCACTATGTTTAAACATCATACTCTCAAATTCTCGAATGAGGAAGCATTCAGCAGCTTCCTAAAGAGCTAGGATAGCAGATTGCTGGAAGCGAAGATTGGACTTGAAGTCTTCTGTGATTTCCCTAACAAGACGCTGGAATGGGAGCTAGTATCAAGTTGCTGTCTTCTGATATCGCGGAGAGCCTTGGTGCCTATATGTTTATTAGAGAGTTCTGGTAATCCTCTGGTAATCCTCTGGTAATCCTCTTACTAGACTTTGTGCAGCGCGTGGCCTTCTGAGCATGATTGTTGCTAGCTTGAGATGAGCAAACTGGAGCTTTTCTTGCTGTGCCCACAGCCTTTTCCTGTCCCTTTCCGCCAAGCCCAGAGCCAGCCCGTAATCCAAGTGGCATCCTTGGTGCTATGCCGCCAGTTGATCTCCTAGCAGTTTGCTTGGTACGAGTCATTTGCTAATATCAAGGTGAGTTAGTAAAGTAAACACAAGATAAAGAAGTAGATCAAAAGATATGTGTACTTACAGTGAGTTTGTAGAAAGAATATTGCAGAAGAAGAGTATAGTAAAGAGGTAGAGGTTGAAAGGTATGTGTTTTATATGAAGGTGCGCATTGTGGTGTTGTTTTTGGAACAGTAATTCTTTGTAGGTGAATATTCCTTCACAAATATTTTTGTTTGCAACTTTAAAATAACCACGACCTTAGAACCACCTTCCTTGGTTACTCTCCGATCTACACATTCTTCTTCCCTTTTGAGCCTTTACCTCTTCACTAGGACTTCAACTAAGTTTATTATCTTGATTCTATAGCCAGAACTTCTGGAGATCTCTGCTAATCACGTGTTTAGTTAGTATGGCGAAACTCAAGGCACATGAAGAACTCTCCACTAATGCGAATACTATCAAAGCTCGCAACTGCGTCTCCAACCTTACTGAAGATGAGAAGGCTGTTCACTTAGCACTCAAGGCTGACCATGCTGATCTGAGCTACTACTTAAAGAAGTTATATAAGTCTGCAAAGTGTAAGGATGCCTCCTTACCTAGATACTCGAAGAACCCGCCTCAGAGCTGTTACGGTCACCACAAGCATGAAATCCGACTCGGTGTGGTTTCGGACCAGTAGAGGAGGACATAGCGAGTTACACTATAGTGGGGGACAGTAAGGGTGTAGGGTTCAGGGTCGATGCGGACCTGTTGCGGTGGAAGGTTCAGGGCTAGGGTTGGGATAACCGAGTCGGGCCCGTTTCGGGTACTTAAGGAAACAAACTTAACGGGGTTCCCCCTTCATCTTTTTTGTATCCTTCGTAGTAGACCTATAGGATAGCATCCTTTTAGCCTCCAACTCGCACTCTCATATGCTATTACTGTGAGCTGGGTGCCCTGTGTCATTACACAAAGTATATCGCTGCCTCTACTGAAGACAAGACACGTCTACAGAATGAATTGAAGGTTGAGCGTATTTGTGTTCGGTAAGTTCCTTCTGGTAATCTCTGGTAGCCTCAATCTAACTATAAACAGGACTGAGAAGGGTACCCATGCATCTTGCATTGCGAATCAGAAAGTCAAGAATATTAGCGCCTCTTCTTCTCCACAAGCCCCACCATCTACTCCGCCCAAACAACTTCTGTCTGAGCTTGCTGCATTTGAGGGTATCTCAAGTATTCCAATCGATGACAATCATAACAGCGAATGGGAGGATACTGAGGTTGAAGACGATTTGGAGTTGGAGCTTATGTTACAGCGCGAGATATTTTAAATGACGAGGCTGTTCTACCAGATGAGCTTTCCGATGAAGAGATCACTAGCACCCAGGCTCTCTTAACTCAAGCGCACATTGATGTATGCTACCTCATAATCTGGTAATCTTCTGGTGATACTAATAGTTGATAGGCCCATGAAGAGTCCAATTTCCGCAAGTGGCAACATTTCTGGGATAGCTGTATCCACTCATATACGAGAAAGGCTGGAAAGCTGAGAAAGAAGCCTGAGCGTCTCTTTGAGTATATGCCGTGGATTGATGTAGAGGAAGGGTACGTCTCTGATCATCCTAGCAATCTTCTGGCAATACTAATTGTTTATTATAGCACTTTTCACGAGGTTATCCCACCACATAAATATTTCTGTTTGTACGAGCAGGCAGTTTGGAAAGTGGGCCTAATTACCAGGACCTGTGCAGTGGTACCCAAAGTCTTACAATCTTGTCGACAATCATAGTTCTAGCTTCAAAGAGGCGTTCTTACTTGTCTACTCTAAGAAGTTTGATAAGGAAAAGTGGGCTAAGGTATCAGCTGCACAGGATATGTTGTTCCTGGAGCTAGAGTAGAGGAGAACTTGAGTTGCTAAAGTTATAGCGCTGGAGTACCTTTCGCGTTGGAAAACCAGGTATTTAAGTACTTCATCGTAGCCAGACTTCTGGTAACCTTTTGATAATCGAGCAATTTGCCAAATGCCATCTCAATACTCAGAGTTGTTTGATTCTGACAGTATTCTCAGACTCTTTTCCGTCTTCTCAACGACTATCCTCATTAAATCAAGTCTGTAAGGACACAGGGCACCCAGCTCACAGTAATAGCATATGAGAGTGCGAGTCAGAGGCTAAACGGATGCTATCCTATAGGTCTACTACGAAGGATACAAAAAAGATGAAGAGAGGAACCCCCGTTGGGTCAATCTCCTTAAGTACCCGAAACGGGTCCGACTCAGCTAACCTGCCTTAACTCTTATCATGTGACCGTAACCTGCCCGACTCAGCTAACCTGCCTTAACTCTTATCATGTGACCGTAACCTGCCCGACTCAGATCCTTTCCATCACTGAGGGACAGGCATCCTTACAAAGTCCCTGCAGGCCTTGAATATATTGGCAAGTTAAACCAATTCGTCAAATGGACTAAGGATACACACGATATATTCATTGAGTGGTGGAAGCTATCACGATGGTATGAACAACACTCAGATCATACTACAAAACTCCTTATGAAGATTGCATGGGATTCAACCAACTGGAGTTCTCAATACTGGAGAAGTTATCACCAAGGAGCAGACCGGCTTTCTGGAGAACCATGTGTTATTTGTACTTATTGTTCGAAGGCCCTTACGCATCCTGCAATCAAGTCTGCTGGCCCAAAGTCTATGGCAACACATCTTGCATCAGACATTTGCAAAAAGAAGTCACAGATGGGAAGGATAGTCTCTATCAAATGCGAATCAATCAAATGCAACCTCAACAAGTAAGGATTACCAGATTATTACCAGAATTATGTAGGTTAATACCTATAATAAGATCATATTCTCACACAAGAGACATTTTATGAACAAGTTCTATACACAGTTATCTTGACTCATAGCTCGTTCCGCTCAGTCGAGGATCCTCATCAAGACCCTATAAATACTTTAGGTATTAGTAGGTCTGGCCGGCCTCATCAAGCAAGGTGGAGGGATGTTCTTAAGCATATATAATAGATAATAGCGTTCTAATAATCTTCTGATAATCATGGTACTTAGATAGAGGAATATACATGATTCGTTCTCACAGCTTACTAGAGATGGCGAGAGTGATGCTAATAGATGTAATACTTTAACTTAACCATAAAACAGTATTAATCGTATGAGGGACTGTTCACATGATGCATAAATCTTACACGTGATAGCCGAGTACTCACCGGGTTTTTACAGAGTAACTGAGTATTGACCTCACTCACCGAGTCGAGTAAAAGGTTCAGCTACTCACCCAGCTGAGTAACCCACTGAGCGAGTGAGCCGAGTATTGAGCGAGTAGTGCGCAGCCTAACTACAGTACAGTACTGTACTACATATACATAGGTATGTAGTCTTGGGGACTTATCTCATCTCCGAATTACCCCGCACTATCCCCCAATGAGACAATCAGACACACCACCACAACGTCACCATGAGCTGATTTAACTTACCACAAACATCTCACTTTAGATTAGCAAACAAATACAACATCTATTCAGAACTTACCATCTTTCACTATCAGCCCGTCTATATGCGCGTGAACTCCATATTCTCCAAACTCAAATCCTTCATCCTTCACCCGCAATACCTGCTCTATTCCACCATGGCCTGGCGATGCGGTGGTACGACGAACACCGAGCTGGTCGAGAACCTCTTCAGAAATAGGATTGTCCAGACAACCCGTGTGAAAGAGGCTATGCTCAAGGTAATAAACCCACCAACTCTCCACTTCACCCGCCCCACCCCCCCCACCCCCCCGCAGCCCTGGAGAAACAAGCTCACCCATCTACCCACCCAGGTTGACCGCGGACAATACTGTCCCCGCCACACCTCCGCCTACGAAGACAGCCCACAGCCCATCGGATGGCGCGCCACAATCTCCGCACCACACATGCACGCTTCAGCGCTCGAGTCCCTCTTCCCATCGACCTGCTCCGCCGTCACGGGCTACCCCGCCGACCGACCCATGCGCGTCCTCGACGTCGGGTCCGGGTCTGGGTACCTTACTCACGTGATGGCGGAGCTTGCCGGCGCCGATGGGAAGGTGGTTGGGATCGAGCATATCAAAGAGCTTGCTGAGTTGGGGAGGAAGAATATGGCGAAGAGTGCTGAGGGAGCCACGATGTTGGAGAGTGGGAAGGTGAGGTTTGTAGTTGGGGATGGGAGGAAGGGGTGGGTGGAGCCGGATATTGGGAAGAAGAATATCGGACAGGATACGTGGGATGAGAAGGGGTGGGATGCTATTCATGTTGGGGCTGGGGCGGCGCATCTTCATGAAGAATTGGTTGCGCAGCTGAGGCGACCGGGAAGGTACGTTTGAGATGCGATGGTGGAGGAGATGAAGTGCTAACAGATGAATAGAATGTTTATCCCGGTTGATGACGCTACAACTGGGATTGGGCAACATATTTGGCTCGTGGACAAGGACGTAAATGGTGTTGTAAAGAAGAAGCAGATGTATGGGGTTTCCTATGTGCCACTCACGGATCCGAATTTGCTATAATATAATCTAATGTAATCTAATATAAATCAACTGTTTGAAAGTTGGAGTTTTGAGATGTCAGCTAGTTTTTTTTAGGCTCTATTGCTGATGGATTTGTGACGTAAATTAACATATGTTCTGGCCCAACCGTGAGAATTATCGTTTGGCGGGCCCGCTCGTGAGCTAGCCGGCCCAACCAGAAGCCAACCAACCAGAAGTAGGAGTAATTAATCAATTGATCTATATAGCTACGTAGTATTACCCACTGTGTCTGCTCTTGCGTTGGCCTCTCAACTAAAGCTATTTCTGTACGAGTAGATAGGCCTGATACATTTCCCTTTGCATTGGCATGATAGTCCAACCCGTGCACTTGTAGAAGCCTCTCTAGCTGCAAGCACTAATGTTACTTGCTTTGTAGAAGGAGGAATTAGGATATCAGACCATAGATCTTGCTCTACAACACCAAGTGATTTTGTAGGTATAAGACGTTGTATAATACCAGAGTGTGTAAGAATCCGATATCTATGAGGGTAAGGCTCTTCTAAAATGCGTGCAAAGAGCCTCCTATTATTAGTTGAGGTTCTATCCTCTCAAGGCACCTTTATAGAGACTATAGCTCTAATATCAAAGTGCTGAATATCATGCTTATTTGTATACTTGCGTATCATAGAAACCCTCGCTCTTTGAGTAGCTGCTATAGCTCTCTTAATTACAGGGTCGGGTGTAGCCCGAAGCTTAGTCCTAGGCTAGGCTGGCACTTAAGCCTAGGTCCTACGCTAGAGCTTAGAATTGAGCTCTTAAGCTAGCCCTGGCTTAGAGCTAGAGCTAGGCTTGGAATTAAGCCCTGAGTTAGAGAGCTCAATTCCGAGCTCTGCCTTAAGTTCGAGCTCGAGTTCCAAGCCTAGCTCTAGGTCAAGTTCTAGCTTGAGCTTAGAGCCTGGAATTGAGCTCTTGCTCTAGCTCAAACTCAAGCTTAGAGCCAGGCTTGGAATTGAGCCTCGAGCCAGAGAGCTCAATTATCGCATTTTCCTTTTTCATGCATTGTTGCCAGTCAAAGAGAGCTATCTCGAGTTCAGGATATTCGCCATTACTTTTTCTCTTTGTGCCAAGTTAAGTCTTCTTTGTCATACTGACATTCGTTGCACTCAGTTTGCTATCAAACTCAAGAGCAAACTGTAACGCTGACTTCTAAATGATAGAAGGCACAGAGGTTCTCTTGCGTAAAGGTTTACTTATCAGAGGAGGCAGGGGATCAGACACAAAGGCTTCAAGTAACACGTTACTAGTATATAACAAATACTGTATTGAGTTGAGCACGAAGCTCCTATCTAAGGAAATACTATCTACTTATATAGTGGCGTCGTGCCTAGTGGACTCTTGGGAACTCACTCGAGTCCTCGGAGTCCTGGACTCTTAGGATTCTTCTCATCATCCTGCGAGTCCGTCACGTGCCTAGTGGACTCCTGGGAACTCACTCGAGTCCTCGGAGTCCTGGACTCTTAGGACTCTTCTCATCATCCTGCGAGTCCGTCACGTGATACTTTCAGAACTACTATTCCCCGCTGCCCCTCCAGGTACCAGGGCCGGTCTCATGCGACCTCCCTCCTTCCTGTCCTGTAGTTGGCCAGCCTTCTTGTTCCGTCGTAACACACCATACATATCTTGGCTTATCACACCAACAACAGAAGCAATACTACTCAACGATTGCTGCAAACTCTTCTACTACATCTGTTTATGCTACATACATCACGGCATATCATTTGGACACTCATTGAACAAGTTATTAAGAAAATCTCCTCCTTAAGGGGGTGGGCCAATACTACCACATGGCATATCTCTACCAACTAGAGGCCTAGGAACATGAACGATAGCTCTAGAAGCTTCTACAACCCTCTATGATTCATTACACGTCATCGCTCCTTAGTTACCCACAAGATTGGTTAAGTTATGACATAATTTGTCTATAGGTACTCTGACCTTGGACCTCCTTTTCACTTCCTATAGGCTAGGAACCCAAGAGATGGTTCTATGGGATTCTCTTACGTTCACTACATGATTAGCAAGCTAGTTGTGGGTCGCACTTGATTTCTAATACATTTACCAAGCCTGGTTAGTCATGGAAAGTCATGGAAAATGAGAGAACTACACTCCTTTGGCATAAATAGGATTGCCCTTTCCTTAAGAAAGGGCAAGCAGACAATACAGTAAATCGACTATCACATACTTCCACGTCTTTTACAAGCTTCCAAGCATTCATCTTGTTACTCCTTGTTTCTGAAAAGTCAGTGAGGTGTTAACCTCTGACTTACCCCTGAGTTCCCAGACTCAACATTTGTTGCAACTTGTCTGAACCACTTCACTACATCACACACCTGATTGCTGCGTTGTGGAATAGTCTAAGCTACAACCCTTTGGCTCTGTTTCCTAAGACAGTGTGTTGTCTTAGTAAAATCATCCCTTCCTTGGGTGGCTAGATTCTCATATCTGGTGCACCCACCATTACATTCTTCCGTGTATCTGAGTCGAGATATTGGTACTTCATGGAAAGAATTGAGGATATTTGGCCTTGGCTAAGTTGGCGACCTTGAGCTTGAGCGGCATACCAGGCTATAAGTGCAGGCTGAGTGCACGGGTGGCTGGCATATCTGCGTCGAATACATTGTCGCTGAACATCGGTGAGTGCGTGCCTTTTTTTTTGGTTGCGAAGCCTCCATGGTGTAAGGACACAGGGCACCCAGCTCACAGTAATAGCATATGAGAGTGCGAGTCGGAGGCTAAATGGATGCTATCCTATAGGTCTACTACGAAGGATACAAAAAAGATGATGAGGAACCCTGTTGGGTCAATCCCCTTAAGTACCCGAAACGGGTCCGACTCGGCTAACCTGCCCTAACTCTCCCCCCGTGACCGTAACCTGCCCGACTCCGATGCTTTCCATCACTGAGGGCTTTGGCATCCTTACACATGGTGGAGTTGGTGAACATGAGTTATAAGGATTGTTTGGTATAAAAATAATTTTGGGACCACAGATTTAAGGATCATCCTTATACAGAAATAATCCTTATTTTACAGCTAAAAAACTACAGAACCAGACTACCCATCCTTATATTGAGAGATCCTTATATCCAGGTTCAACTGTATCTAGAATCACATGACTATGATGAATCTTTGTGCCCCACCATGTGTAATGGTGGGTGCACCAGATGTGAGAATCTAGCCACCCAAGGAAGGGATGATTTTACTAAGACAACACACTGTCTTAGGAAACAGAGCCAAAGGGTCATAGCTTAGACTATTCCACAACACAGCAATCAGGTGTATGATGTAGTGGAGTGGTTTAGACAAGTTGTAACAAATGTTGAGTCTGAGAACTCAGGGATAAGTCAGAGGTTAGCACCTCACTGACTTTTCAGAAACAAGGAGTAACAAGATCAATGCTTGGAAGCTTGGAAAAGACGTGGAAGTATGTGATAGTCGATTTACTGTATTGTCTGCTTTGTTAAGGAAAGGGCAATCCTATTTATGCTAAAGGAGTGTAGTTCTCTCATTTTCCAAGACTTCCATGACTAACCAGGCTTGGTAACTGTAGTCGATGTAAGAGAATCCCATAGAACCATCTCCTAGGTTCCTAGCCTATAGGAAGTGAAAGGAGGTCCAAGGTCAGAGTACCCCTATAGACAGATTATGTCATAACTTAACCAATCTTGTGGGTAACTAAGGAGCGATGACGTGTAATAATCATAGATGGTTGTAGAAGCTTTTGGAGCTATCGTTCATGTTCCTAGGCCTCTAGTTGATAGAGATATGTCATGTGTAGTATTGGCCCAGTAACTAAGGAGTGATGTCATATAATGAATCATAGAGGGTTGTAGAGATATGCTATGTGGTCATATCGGCCCAGTAACTAAGGAGCAATGACGTTGTAATGACACAGGGCACCCAGCTCACAGTAATAGCATATGAGAGTGCGAGTCGGAGGCTAAACGGATGCTATCCTATAGGTCTACTACGAAGGATACAAAAAAGATGAAGAGAGGAATGTTACGACGGAACAAGAAGGCTGGCCAACTACAGGACAGGAAGGAGGGAGGTCGCATGAGACCGGCCCTGGTACCTGGAGGGGCAGCGGGGAATAGTAGTTCCGAAAGTATCACGTGACGGACTCGCAGGATGATGAGAAGAATCCTAAGAGTCCAGGACTCCGAGGACTCGAGTGAGTTCCCAGGAGTCCACTAGGCACGACGCCACTATACAAGTAGATAGTTAGTTCTTAGATAGGAGCTTCGTGCTCAACTCAATACAGTATTTGTTATATACTAGTAACGTGTTACTTGAAGCCTTTGTGTCTGATCCCCTGCCTCCTCTGATAAGTAAACCTTTACGCAAGAGAACCTCTGTGTCTTCTATCGTTTAGAAGTCAGCGTTACAAGGAACCCCCGTTGAGTCAATTTCCTTAAGTACCCGAAACGGGTCCGACTCGGATAACCTACCCTAATGCTCCCCACGTGACCGTAACCTGCCCGACTCCGATGCTTTCCATCACTGAGGGCTTTGGCATCCTTACACTACCCCCCCTCTTAAGAGAGTGTTTTGTCCGCGAAACACGTGAGAATTATTTCCGCAACATCTCTGAATGGTATCCGTGAGAAGATGCATTCTATTCTGTTTGTAATGGCATCTGTAACAACCCTGTTTATGTGCCATGTCGGGAAGGTGCGTTGTATGTCAGGCTAGAGCTGTGCCATACTGACTCCGTTTATTGTGCGGAATCAGAGTTTACTTTGTTCGCTCTGGGGTACATTGGTGGTGGTCTGAGTGCATTCCGAATCGCATCCACGAAGCGTTCGAGTTATACTTTGTTTTGTTCGCTCGGGGGTGCATTCCTGGCGGTCCGAGTGGACTCCGAATCGCCTCCGCGAAGCGTTCGGATAAGACTGTCCTATGTATGAAAGGAGAAGTGTTCGCGCTAACCCGATTCGGAGTTCATTGTTGTAAGCCAGACTATGAGTGCGCAGCTGCGTCCGCTTCTTCT